CTCATTCTGGGCAGCTGACGGAGGTCCTCCTCAACATGGTGTTGGGAATGCATGGCAGCTGGGCTAGGGTTGTTTTATATATGTATTTGATTTTTTTCAGAGAGGAAGGGAGAGAGCTAGAGAGTTAGAAACATGGATGAGAGAGAAACATCGATCATCTGCCTCCTACCCAACATCCTATTGGGGATATGCCCACAACCAAGGTACATGCCCTTGACCAGAATCGAACCTGGGACCCTTCAGTCCACAGGCCGATGCTCTATCCACTGAGCCAAACAGATTTCGGCTGGGCTAGGTTTTGATGGGTAAACTGCCTTCTTTTAGTTCAGGGCACTCTCTTGTTGGGACAACCAAGGCCTACAATTTGGCCAGGATTTGTTCAGATGGAGGAGAACTGCACAGCCTGCCTGAGGTGTCAGCGGGTTCTGGGTCCAGTTGACCGAGCTCTGCACTGTGGGGTAGCCGTGGGGGGCAGCGAGGGGAGGGGCACTTGGACAGGATGCTGCTGCTGTCAGCTCACCTGGCAATCAAGGCCGATAGGAAACCCCAGTGCAGGCATGTAGGTCACCCCCTGTAACAGCTAGGCTTTCACTTTTCCCTCCTGCCTTTGTCCCCTCTGTCTCAAGCTTGATAAAAGCACGCCGAAGTCCGTGGTGGTTAGAATACTAGCATTTATTGAAAACTGTGGAGGTCTGAGTGCTCAAATGTGTTATCACATTTAGCCTTCTGAGTAGCCCTCCGCTCATGTTCCAACATTATCCCCACTTGGCAGATAAAGAAACTGGGGCATATAGGGATTGGATTGCTTGGCTAGGGTCCCACAGCTTGTATGGTGGCACCGAGCCTACACCTGCAGGCCTGTTCCCCTAAGGACCTGCACCGGCCTTCCCTTCAGTGACACATGGTGTGTTGTCTGCTGGGGCTTCATAGGTGGCCTCGGTCTGGGGTAGTTTAGAAGTCTCATGCACATTTTGCATTCACTCTCGGACAGGCAGCACTGCCTGTCATTTAGCACGGGCTGGGGTGTGGGGGAGGGTAGGGAGGTGTGTGTGTGGCAGCTGGTCCAGGTGTCCAGGCTGTGGGACCTGCAGGGAGCAAAATGACTCATTCCTGCCTTTGTGGAGCTGACCCTGAGCAGAGGAGGCAGAGCCAGCCCAGGTGATTTCAGCACAGTGGCAGGTGCACTGAGAGAAGAGGGCAGTAGCCTGGCCAAGAGAGGGTCTGGGGAGTGGTGGGGGAGTTCCAGGCCGGGCGGACTGGGGTCAAGGAGGGAAGGTGAACCCCGGGCAGTATGAAGCCAGGAAGTCCAGGAGGAGCCAGACCTTTAGGAGGTCTGACACATGACCAGCAGTTTTGTTCCTGGGTGACTCTTGGTTCCTCTTTGGCTGCCATCTCAGGCCTTCACCTGTCAGAATCACTCCCGGAGTGAGGATGACTGTCTCCTAAACTACTCAGCTCACATATGTCCCCCTATGCACCTCCCTTACATGCTCTGGGTTCACATGTCCTTACATGTTCAGTGTTGTGGCTCAGCCTCCTCTTGGAACCAGAATCGAACTGTGACATCCTGGTTCATAAGCTGATACTCAACTACTGAGCCACACTGGCTGGGCAGACCCACTTACTCTGGCGCAGCCCTATGAAGGGCTGACTGCTCATTGCCATTCGGTAGAGGAGGAGAAATAAGGCTCAGAGAGGGAGGACAGATTGTTCACAGTGACATTTCTAGCCGAGCTGCTGGTCCCAGAGCCTGCACTAGCCACACTGCCCCTCAGTGGGTAACAGAGACGAGAAGGCCGGGAGCAGAGTCTGTAGCAGTAGCTCCCCACATGGCCGAGTCATATGCTGAGTCTGGGGGGTGCATTGTCCCAGGCACAAGGGAAGGAGGTTTTCTGAAACCCCTGCTCCTCCTTGACTCCTGCACAGCCACGTGGCTGTTTCTAGCCCAATAGCGAGCTGCATTGTGGCCAGTGGGTGACCTGCTGTCCTTACCTGGCAGAGCAGAAGTGTGGGGTGGAGGCTGCTCAGGCTTGTCCTCCCAGATCCCGCCCCATTGCCCCGGTAATTGGCACAGCCAGGAGAGAAGGTCGGCACAGTGCACATAGTAGGCGCATGGATGGTTGTGTGGATCTGATCCTCCTGATATGGCAGAGAGATGAAAGATCACCCACGCTTACCTCTGCGGAAAGGCACCGCTTCCAAGACGCTTCTGAAGATGGCCTAAAAATAGCTGCTTCCCACCCCCGTAAACGCGTCCATTCCAGAATTTTGCTTAACCAGGCCTGGAGAACCAATGTGCTGAAATGCCGTGAAAGCATTCCACCCTAGAATGTGCAGTAGCTCAAGTTAAGTTTCTAGCTATTTAAAAAAAAAAAAAAAAAAAAAAAAAAAAAAAAAGGCTCTGTCCTTGCCTGAGAGCAGTGCTGGGTAGTTTTAAGTACTTCCAGAAGGTGGATGTGGTTTGAGGGTCAGTGTTGTCCAGAGCCAGGACCAGTGATGTGGGGATTGTGATTGGTTGTGATCTGGGAAGTTGAAACTTGGGGATGGATTCCAACCCCCTGTCAGTCTCAGCAGATTCCAGGAGGAGGGGTGGGCGTGGTGGCCTTGGCTTGTTGTGTCCCTGAGAGAGGCTCACTAGCTCTCCTGCCAGAGAGGCCTCTGGCCCACGGCTCTGCCTTCACACTCCAAACACATCGCAGAACTTCTGTGATCTGCTGTGATGGTCAGACATCGGCACCGCGATGCCGGGTAGCATTTCATTTTCAAGGCGTTGTGAGTCTCCTGTTTCGTGTCGGTTGGGGATGGGGAGGCTTGGGCACTTCGCCATCTGATTGTTTCAAGAGTTTGGGGGAGCATTTGAACCTTGAAGCATTTGAACCTTCTTCACCTGTCAGAATCACTCCCGGAGTGAGGATGACTGTCCTTCCAGCCTCGTAGACCAGCAGGACCTTAAAGGGGGCTTCCCTAGGCGGACACCCACCTCAGATTCATTGGAAACGGAACTTCTGGGCATTGTATTTTTCAGAATTTTGGCTCAGACTTTTACTGGGTCATAATTGACCCGAAATCATTTTGAAAAAGATTCACGTCCCATTCCTCGAGACCAGCATGCATGTATAAGCTGGATAAAGACAGAGCAAGCTGGTTTCATGATTTGATTTATGAAAGAAATCTGCAAGTTTGCATTTGAAAAGCATTTAGCGCACAACTGAGGGAAGTTTGAACTTTGCAGATGGATGCCTGTGGCTGGATGAGACTTGGGCCTGTTCAAGGCCAGCCCTCCACCTTCGCACCCCTGTTACCCTAGCCATTCATAAGCATTCACTTCCTCCCTCCCCTCACCCCACTCTCCTCCCTTTGTTCAAATAAAGAAAACTGGCATGGAAAGTTGTGTGACCTGGAATTTCTTGGGATCAGTTGGTAGCACTTACAGACAGCCTCAGAATAGGACACCTAATCCCCCAATTCAGTCCTGGTGCAAGGCTGCCTGCTGGAGAAATGTGTGGTGTGGTGGGTGAATCCCATGGATCTTAGGGTTCTGGACCGTGTCCTGTGTTTCATGCAGATTGTTGCTGCTTTATTGACCATGGGCCCTTGTGGGCAGCAGAGCTGCCTCCCGGTCACATGGCCAGTGCGGTTGTGCAGGACCCTGTGTTTAGAAGGTCTGTGCTTGCTTTAATGCTCTGCTGCTTGCCCTTTTGAAATTCTTAACACTTTTTGGATAAAGAGCCCTGCATTTTCCTTTGTCACTGGGCCTGTGAGTTCATGTAGACAGATCTGCTTAAAAGCTGTTATTTATACAATTTATTACATAAAACTTCATAGGCTTTAATTATTTATACAATTCATTGCAGAGAATGTCACTGGGCACCATGATTTTGAAGGAGAGGATTGCTCGAAGTCTTACCAGCCAGTTCACGATAATCTTTACTCGTCTCGTTTTACGTGATCAGGTTTTATTATGATAGAATCTGCAAACGTGAAATTACTTTTGGTTTCTGTGGTTTTGGGTGTGGCCTTTTAGGAGAGTCTTTTCTTGTAAAAGATGTAACATTGAACAGGTTAATTAAAAAAAAAGAAAAAAAGATCCCGCCCTTTCGATTTTGAGTGGCATGCCGTTTCCTCTTTATCAGCACGTGAGTCTCTATTTTCCATGGGGTTGTAATTGGGTTTCATTTCCAGTGCAGCTTGGTGTGTGTTTAACCACCATTCAGATGGCTTGTGGTGGGCGGGTGGGACCGGGAGGGGAGCTCTGAGATGAAGAAGGCTCCGTTTCTCCCCAGCAGGTGCTCATGGTCCCGGGGAGGGATGTGGGAGGCTGAGGAGTCCTGGTCACAGAGCTGGTGGGAGGGAAGGGCCGCCAGTCGCCAGATCTGGCCATTGGATGATGAGCCATGGTCTGTACTGCAGGAGGATGGGGTAAAGGGTCTCCCCCTGAAACGGAATACCGAACACTTGACGTTTGAAAACTTTTTTATTATGGAAAATTTTAAACATACACAAAAACAGAAATAATAGCATAATGCATTTTTTATGTACCAAGGCCACCAGTTTACAACATTTTGGGATCTTACTTCACCTATTCCTATCCTCAGATATTGTAAAGCAAATTCCAGCATTGTATCCTCTCACTCTTTTTTTTTTTTTTTAATATATTTTATTGATTTTTTTTTTTTTTTTACAGAGAGGAAGAGAGAGGGATAGAGAGTTAGAAACATGGATGAGAGAGAATCATCGATCAGCTGCCTCTTGCACACGCCCTACTGGGGATGTGCCCGCAACCAAGGTACATGCCCTTAACTGGAATCGAACCCAGGACCTTTCAGTCTGCAGGCCGACGCTCTATCCACTGAGCCAAACCAGTTTTGGCTATCCTCTCACTCTTAAATGATTCAGTATGATTCTCTAACAGACGAGGACTTCATTTCCTTTTCTACAAAGAGCAGGATTCACACTTGTGCAACCCAGAGGAATGACCAAGCCTTTTCCTCTCTCCCTAGACAGCAAAGCCATCGTGGATGGGAACCTGAAGCTCATCCTGGGCCTGGTGTGGACCCTGATCCTCCACTACTCCATCTCCATGCCCGTGTGGGAGGACGAAGGGGATGACGATGCCAAGAAGCAGACGCCGAAGCAGAGGCTGCTGGGATGGATTCAGAACAAGATCCCCTATTTGCCCATCACCAACTTTAACCAGAACTGGCAAGACGGCAAAGCTCTGGGTGCCCTGGTAGACAGTTGTGCTCCAGGTAAGTGCTCATGGTTATCTAAGCCATCTCTTTGAGATGTGGGTATATGGGCCTTAAATTTCTTATTTTCACTGGGAATGCTAGATTTGCTGTGACTGGTGTGTTTCTCATGGTTTTAGCCCATTGTAAGATATCAAAAGGCACTGAAAATGACTCCAATTACCTCTCTAATGGCATGTCTTACAGGTGTATCCATGGACTTGTTTGAGCATTGAATTCGGTTATTTATCCAAATTCCCAGTGAAGGCTTTAATGCTTGGAGCAGGCCTTGGGTTTAGCTTCTAGACTCCAAAGTCCTGCTGCTTCCCATAGTTGGTGTCTAGTTTCCCGTAGCCTTTGGCAAAAACATGTGGCCTGTTAGGTGGCTTGGCATGAAAATCAAAAAACTTTCATTGAGCGGAAAGTACCCATTTTTATCGACCACTGGTTTGACCAAATAAGGCCTTCTCTGCCCCTTTCTTTCTGTGTTGCTATGAAATAGGGCCTGGTCAGGATCCAGTTGGAGCCTTTTCCACCCTTTCCTGAGTAGCTGAGTGTGCCCCAAGACCGTAATTATCCTCATGAAGGGATTGGATTGGTTGGTAGAGTTTGCTGGTACACACTCAATAGAAAAACTGGAGCCTATGCTTATATGTATCTCTCAAAAATTTCTTTAATAAAAGCTCTAATAACCATATTTTCCACTTACTGAGTGCTCTGCATGTGCTGGGCACATTGATATTTAGTAAGCTAGTGCTTTTCAGTATGCTCAGAGCGGGACTGTCTGGTGTCAGTTGGGTATCGGGGGAGGGCTGACTCTGGGCCTCATTCTGTAAGCTGGAGTCATCAGAAGTGATTCGGAGTTCTGCAGCAGGCCAGTGCCTGGTGCCCTCATCCTTGCTTGCATCCAGAGACTCATTTTAGGATATCTCTTTCTAGTTTAAACGTGGGGGGTTTTACTCTAGTTCTAAATACTTCTTGTGCTCTCAAAGGTTTTTGAGATAATTCTAGGTTTGGCCTTTTAGCAAGTGGATTTTTTTTTTTTAATTATACAGGACGCTAGTTCAGTCTTTTTAGATATATCCAAGAATGGGATTGTGATATTGTGACTTAAAATAAGAAATATGTATTTTAGTCTTTGTTCCCTTTCCTGGTGCTGAGCTCCTAAAACCCTTGGAATTTCCTGAGTGACAAGAACCACGATAACGGTATCTTTCAACCACACCTGAGTTTATGTTAATGAGTGACTTTTGGAAAACCCAAAGATGGGGGGAAGTTATCCAGGGAGCCTACCCATTAGAGGATTTCTCTTCTGACCCCCCCGAGAGGGGAGAGGGACTGGAGATTGAGCTAATCACTGATGACCAGGGGTTGGATCAATCCAGGTTAAGTAATGAAGCTTCCACAAAATTCCTGAACTGTGGGGTTTCGGGAGCTTCCAGGTTGGTGAGTACATGGAGGTTCTGAGGGTGACACCCTCAGAGAGGGCATTCCTCCCCCTTCTCCCATCCTTCCCTCTGCATCTCTTCCATCTTTCCGTTCCTGAGTTGTATCCCTTTGTAATAAACTGGTAATCTACCCTGTTTCCCCAAAAATAAGACAGTGTCTTATATTATTTTTTTCTCCCAAAGTTGCACTAGGTCTTATTTTCAGGGGATGTCTTATCTTTCCATGTGCTAGGTTTTATTTTCGGAGGATGTCTTATTTTCGGGGAAACACAGTAGTAAATTTCCCTGAGTTCTGCAAACCACTCCAGTAAATGATGAAACCCACTGAGGGAGTGGTGGGTTTGTATCTGGTTAGTCAGAAGCCCAGGGGAGTGGGAAGAGGGAGTGCAGTTTTGTGGGGCTGAGCTCTTCGCTTTGGGATCTGATGCTGCCTCCAGGCAGATAGTCAGGGTTGAGTTACATTGTAGAACACCCAGTTGGTGTGAACCCCACACTTTTGGTGACCAGGGTACAGAAATGTGAGTGTGGAAGGTTGAAAATTTCTCCTGCAAAAGGCCCCAGGCCCAGGTGGTTTTACGGGCTTTGTTTGCTTATATCGCACCTCGAAGGAGTGGCTAACCCCCATCTTAATGCAAGAAGATAACATCCTGAAAGAGACGTCTCAGCTAAGACAGAAGAGTTCTACCCTCCCATACCATGATACTTTTTGCCTGTAAAGTATATTCAGATGCTCCTTGACTTCCTATCGGGTTATATTCCCTTAAACCCATTGTAGGTTGAAAACATTGAAATTCAAAAAAAGCATTTCATGTGCCTCACCTATCAAATTTAGCTCAGTCTAGCCTTCCTTAAGCAAGTTCAGCCTGTGGTTGGGCAAAAACAACTCGTTGCCACTGCCCGTATTGCACAAGAGTATTGCACCGTATATCACTAGACTGGGAAAAGATCAAAATCCAAAATCATGAATATGGTTTCTACTGATGACGGACTGCTTTTGCACCATTGTAAAGCTCAAAAATCTCTTCAATCAGCTAATACAGCATCTTCTGTGTTATGTTAACAGGTCTGTGCCCAGACTGGGAATCCTGGGATCCACGAAAGCCAGTGGATAATGCACGAGAAGCCATGCAGCAGGCAGACGACTGGCTGGGTGTCCCGCAGGTACTCATGCGCACGCACCACGTCCCAGAGCGCTGCTTCCACCCTCCAGCTTGTTCTGGTACTGGATGGTGTCTTTTTGAGTCCGGCAGGCAGGCTGACCTCCTCAGCATTAACCTTCAAAGACACGCTCCCGTCTTCCTCAGTTTACCTATAATAACAGCTTCTTATGGACTTAGGTCCTTGTAGAGCATCCAAAAGTCTTTCTTAAATATATATATATGTTATATTGATTTTTTTACAGAGAGGAAGGGAGAGAGAGTTAGAAACATCGATGAGAGAGAAACATCGATCAGCTGCCTCCTGCACACCCCCTACCGGAAATGTGCCCCCAACCAAGATACATGTCATTGACCAGAATCAAACCTGGGACTCTTGAGTCCGCAGGCTGACACTCTATCCACTGAGCCAAACCGGTTAGGGCCATCCAAAAGTCTTTACTCTTTGTCACATGTGGCAAAATTTCTAGTATTTCTGTTCCAAAAATTTCAAAGGCTATCTTTGGACAATAGGTTGCAAATGAGGACCTTGATGATTAGGTTGGATCATAAGAAATCAATATTTAATCACTTCTTATCTATTTAAAATTTTTAAAAATTTTAATATCTTAAGAAAGAAACCATGGCACTTAGAACTTAGAAGAAATATAAACCAGGATAACCTACAATTAATGAAAACTTTGGCAGAATTTTTATTGCCCACAATCCTATCACAGAAATATCACAAGAGCACTTGGAAATTATAGTACATCTTAGATACCATCTGCAGTAGCCACATTGAGGTGGATTCTTCTAAGCTCTTCCAAGGAGTCTAGCCCTTCCTCCTCACAATGGAGCACCACGGCTCCCACGGTCAAAGCCCTGGCCAGGAAAAGTTGTGGGTAGCCCATGCCATGGGTGGATGACCTCACCACAGACTCCACTGAGGTCCAAGTTGGTGTTCAGAGCCGAGTTTAGTGCATTTGTAACACGATCTCTTGGGTGGTAGAAAAACTTGCCTCTATTTCTTTGGTTTGGTTTTGGCATCGTGTCTCTGCTTCATGGCCCATTCCTTGGCATTTCCATCGTCGGGAAGTGGCGTGGTGTGGTTTTCATCTCTTAAACCTAAAACCATCTCCTTTTGACGTTCATGTGATGTTGGCACCGTTACGTTGTGGAAGGAGCTGCCTAGACGAAATGCCAAATCACCACCCGTCCTCCATAGTATACAACATATTGTACAAACCCCAATGGCTATTTTGGTGCTGCAGGCTATTCCTCAGAATGATTTCTGTATATTTTTGTTTTTGTTTTTGTTTTGTTGTTGTTGTTGTTTAACCATGGGAACAGGAAAGCTGGGAACGTATGTTGTTCGTCTGCATTTGGTTAACCTGGTTCATGAGACCGGGTCTTCCGTTCATCTCCAGAGGTGTGGCTTGCCTCTTGTCGGGGCAGGAGGATTTTGGGTGCTATTTAGGCCAGGTGATAGAACTGAGTCTGCCATGCCTGCAGTGAGGCTGCCTGGCCAGCATGGGTTATAACTTGACTAATACTCTTGTTCCTAAGATGAGTATCTGCAGAAATTTATCACCTCCCCATTTTTAAAATGGCTTCTGATGTAGAGATATTATAATGTGTTAGCTCCAACTGCCATAACAAAATACCATAGATGCGGAGGCTTAACCCACAGACATTTATTTCTCAGTTCCGGAAACTGGAAGTTAAAGCTCAAGACGCCAGCAGATTCGGTTTTTGGTGAGGGCCCTCTTCCTGGCTAGAGAGAGGAGGGGTGGGTTCGAGGGAGTGAGTGTATGCACATTCTGATCGTTTTTATTCTTCTTATAAGTAACCCATGACCTCATGACCTCATCTAAACCTGCTTAGCTCCCAAAGGTCCACCTCTCATTAGAGGTTAGGGCTTCAGCGTGTGAATTTTGGGAGGTCAAAGACTCTGTCTGTAAGACTACACATTAGATATGACATTATGTGGTCTCTTTTTGTTTTAATTTTTTATTAGTAGCTGGATTAACAGAGAAGTATACAATGGATAGATGAGCAAAGGGAAAAGGCCAGTTTTGCGCTTTATATGTAATTGTCCCTTCGTCCTCCTCACCTGATGTACTTACCTCACTGGAAAGTTTGACCCTGGGAGTGAGTGGTTATTTTGGGGGAGGAGGGAAAGTATGTATTCTAAGAATGACATAGAGAATTATCCAGAGAGGGCCCTCGCTTTCCAAAGGGAATGGTGATCCCACTTTTTAAAGGTCAGAACACTCTGATCTTGGCATGGCACCTGTTGTAAGTTCACTTAATTTCGTATATTTGTAGTATTTAAGAGACGTTTGCAAAAACTGCAGTACCTCGATGTGTTGTGGCGCTCACTCTCCGTGTCGCTGTTCTAGGTCATCACTCCTGAAGAAATCATTCACCCGGACGTGGACGAGCACTCGGTGATGACGTACCTGTCCCAGTTCCCCAAGGCCAAGCTCAAGCCTGGGGCTCCTCTTAAACCCAAACTCAACCCCAAGAAAGCCCGGGCCTATGGCAGAGGTAAGCACCGGTCGTGTTGGATTTGAGGCCTAATTGTGGGTCTTAAAGAGTAAGATGTGGCTTCAAGGAGGAGGGTTTTCTCAAAACCAGGAACGGAGGCTGCATACCCCCTGGGAGCCATTGCCGGCCTTCTTCATCAGCGTTGGTTTGCTTATTTCTTTGTTTTTACCTGAAGGGCATAAACATTGTTTATGACTATCCTGCTCTGCCTTGTGAATCTAGGTTGTAAGAAGCACTGCTGATGTAATGTGCCAGAGACTGGGTTTGCTGCTTGGTGGTTTAATGCACCAGCCCTGGGATGAAGAAAGGGCTGTTGTTCCCATTTCTCAGATGAGGAATCAGAGACATGAGCCACCGGGAGTGGGAGGTGGGAGATAGGAGCGTGGGTCTTGTGGCCGATGATTCATTTTTCCTTTGGTTGTGCTAAAGCTGCTCAGATTTCCAGATGGGATAGGAGCTATTGATAACCCTTGGCAGGCACTTCCTTGCTAAGATATCCTGTTTGTGCAGCCGCCAGGAGTGTTCTGCTCAGAACGTTATGTTGGGTTGAAGGCATTTTGAGGCACTTGGTGTTCTGGTTGGCACCTGGCTTTAAGCAACTAATTTTTATGTTTGTTTGGTTTTAATTACAGCTCACTTTCAATATTATTCTGTATTTGTTTCAGGTATACAGCATAGTGGTTAGACAATCATACACTTTATAGAGTGCTGCGCACTCACCGCGACCCCATAGTCAAGTACCCACCTGGACCCATACGTAGTCATTAAGGACACCTTTTTTTTCTTTTCTTTTTTTTTTTTCCCCCGGGAAATAGTTGTAATTCAGCTCAGTGTGATTTCTGGTAAAGGTCAACATAGCAAGATACAACTTGTTTCTTTTCCTATAGGAGTGCATTGTATTTCTTTTTCGTGTGTGTGTGTGTGTGTGTGTGTGTGTGTCGCGCGTGTGCGTGCGTGTTTAATCCTGACATGAGGATATGTTTTTAATTGATTTTATTTTTTTAGAGAGAGATAGAAAGATGTGAGAGAGAAACATCCATCTGTTGCCTCCTGCGTGTGCCCTGACTGGGGATCAAACCCACAATCTAGGTATGTGCCCTGACTGGGATCATACCTGAAACGTTTTGGTGTACAGGATGACGCTCCGACAAACTGAGCCACCTGGCCAGGGCTGCATTGTATTTCTTAATGACAACTGGGAAAATATTTAGATACACAAAATAACTTGCATATTCTCTTAGAATCTATAGTTCTTAACATTCTGATATAGTTGTGTTCTCGCCCTTTGCGCATTGCATGTATACATGTGTTGTGTGTGTGTGTGTGTGTTGTGAGATTATTGGAAACGTGGTGGCATTTTACTCCTGACTATATTAGCCAAGTCTGTCTGTCCTACAGATAGGACACCCTTTTACAAAACCATAATATACATCATCACACATAAGAAAATTAACAATAATTTCATGTCAACTTATAATTTTGTTTTCAAATTTATCGTCCTAAAATTCTTTTATAGTTTTTGTTATTTTCCAAACCAAGATTTGATTATGACTCACTCACTACATTATTTTTTGTCTTTACACTCTTTTTTTTTTTTTTTTTTATTAAGGTATTATATGTGTACATACCTTACCAATTCCCCCACTCCCATACATGCCCCCCTTCCCCAGAGTTTTTCGTCCATTGGTTATGCTTATATGCATGCATACAAGTCTTTCAGTTGACCTCTTATCTTCCCCATATCTCCCTACCCTCCCTGCTGTAATTTGACAGTCTGTTTGTTGCTTTACTGTCTCTGTATCTACCTTTTTGTTCATCAGTTTATAATGTTCTTTATTATCCATAAATGAGTGAGATCATGTGGTGTTTTTCTTTCATTGACTCTTTACATTCTTTTAATTTAGAATAATTTCCCCCAACTTAAAAAAAAAAAAATGACACTGACTTTCTGAAGAATCCAGAACACTTGTCTTATGGGATGTCCCATACACTCTGTCCCTGTGAAGACAGCATTGCTGTACTTGGCATGAGCTTAGTCTAAGGATGGCCTACAACCAGGGTCGTGGTGGTGACCATGTGTCGTTCTCCATCTCAGCGGCCAGGTCCTTCTCACCTGTCTTTCTAGCATGATTTAGACCAGAACCCAGCTCGACTGTTCTGGAACAAACCCACATGCCATCTGAGGTCCCTTTGGCCATGAGGTGGGGTCTGTGCAGTATTCTATTTTATGTTGTTTGAAAGCCTCCCCCAGGTGCGGCCTCTCCCAGGTCAGTATGCCTGTGCTTGCTCTAAAGGTGCTTTCTGTAAGCCATGCCAGGTGGTGGCTGCAGTAAAGAATCTCTGATTTTAAAGGTTAAAATTTAATCTCTGAATTTAAAGGTTTTTTTGTTTGCCTAAATGGCTAAAAAAAAAAAAAAAGCTCAAACAGCCAAATAAGTCCCTTGTCTACAAAACTGGTCAAATAAATTGAATCCGACCAAGGCACAGAATGCTTGTTTGCAATAACCTTATCACTGGCTGGCCAGTTTCCCCGTTGTTAATGGGAAGTGGTTTCCTCTTATTGCTATTTTCTAAAAACAAAACAAAACAAAACAAAACAAAAAAAACCCCGACAACTTGCTATGCACTTTAGGAATGTGGCTAGTCACTGCTTTTTCCTTCATCTGCCTCTTTGTGTTATATACTTAGTGACCAACCACCTTAAAAACATTTTTTTTATCCTTATCTGAGGATGTTTATTGATTTTAGAGGGAGAAACATTGATGCAAAAGAGAAACTTCAATGTAAGAGAGAAATATCCCTCTGTTGCCTCCCATATGCACCCCAACCAGGGACTGAACCCTCAACCTAATGTGTGCCCTGACCAAGAATTGAACCCATAACCTTTTGGTACACAGAATGATGTCCCAGCCAGCTGAGCTACCTGGCCAGGGTGCAAAAGAGTGAAAGCAGCAACTGAACATATTTGTCTGCAACTGAACACACTTTTAAGGTGTGTGTATGTCTGTGTGTGTGTGTGTGTGTGTGTGGTAAAATACATGTAACATTCACTAACCATTGTTAAGTGTACCATTCAGAGGCATTAAGTACATTCATGGTTGTGTAACCTTCACCACTATTTATCTCCAGAACTTTTACATCTTCCCAAATTGAAACTCTGAACCCATTAAATAATAATTATCCATTCCCCTCCCCTCAGACTCTGGCAACTACCATTCTGTGTCTGCGAATTTGCCTATTCTAAGTTCCTCATGTAAGTGGAATTATATGATATTTGTCCCTTTGTTCCCATGTTTTCAAGGTTCATCTGTGCTGTCACACATCAGAATTCCATTCCTTTATAAAGCTGAGAAATACTCAGTTGTATATAATACATTTTGTTTTTCTACTTTTCCGCCACTGGACATGTGGGTTGTTTCACCTTTGGTTATTGTGAACAGTGCTCTGTGGACATGGGCAGACAAATACTTTTAGTTGCTGCTTTCACTCTTTTGGTATATACCTACAAGAGAATTGCTAAATCATGTGGTTATTCTATGTGTAACTTTTATTTTCTTTTTAAAGAGCAAGGCAACAGGGTCACATATGAGGGCACATGGGTGGGGCCTTAAGACATTACTTGTCCCATCGTGAGACAAAGGGTAGGGGCAGTTTTCTCTCTTTCCTGTGTGGCCACATTGCTTCATGTCTGCCAATGGAACCAAGGAAGAGCGAACGCTTCATCTTCTAGTTTCTGAAGGGTTTTGAGGCTGGCTTTATTTTCTTTTACTGGATATGGACTAGATTGCGGTTACCAGCTGTTTTCCTCTTGCTGGGCCTTGACTTAGTCCCAGTGGGTTGAGAGAGAGAGAGGACTGGGTGGAGGTAAACTTGCAGCCACAGACTTTTGTCCTGGGCTTCCTTGTGGGTCCCAAAGTTGCAGGCATGCGACTCTGAGCAAAGCAGAAACCTTTCTCAAAACCCATGTTCTCTGCGAAGCAAGATGTAATCGCTCTTTGTGCTGAGCAGCCTTTGGTTGTCTGCATGGGTGAGCGTAGTTCCCAGCAATTGCAGGTGGAGGCTCAGCCCAGCCAGCCATGGGGAGCCAGGATCTTGGTTCAGCTGCAGAGCTAGTTGGTCTCAGGCTGGTGGAGTCCGGTGGAGTGGGTATTTATGAATTTGCTAAGTGCATGTTTAAATTTAGTTGTTAAATGATGTGATCACTCTGTAAATTTGAATCAAAAGAAAAATGTAGACAATGAAAATGGAAAGCTTGCTTCTTATCCCTTCCTTCACTCTGAGGTGTTCCTTCCCAGCCATTCCATTCCATTCTTTATATTTGGAAGTGAATTACAACTATGTGTTTTCTTCAATTTGCACTTTTACCTACCATTATATGAATATTATCTTATTATATGATAATCTACCACCAATATATTACAGTCAATTATTTATTGGAAAACTAATACAAATCCAGAGTGTAGTAGCAAACCACTTGGTGTTTTTAACAGACTGATGACAAGGAAAAGAAGAGATGGAAAGAAACCTAGAGATTTAATGCGATTTGAGAGACTTAGCAATCAATTGTAATATATGAGCCTTATGTGGATCCTACTCCAGCTGGCAGTTGAAACAAATTCATGACACTTACAAGATAAGCAAAAATTTGAACACTGACAATATTTGATCATATTAAGGAATTACTATTAATTTTTTATGCAATTTTTGGATGTAGATATTCTGAAATATCATTTAGAAATACATAGTGAGTGCTTATGAGTGACTTGTCTGAGGGCTAGGAATTGTATCAAAATCACACAGGAAGAGGGAAGTGGCGGGAGGGCAGGTGTGAAGCTAGGCAAGCCTTGAGTTTGTCATTGTTGAAGCTGAGTGATAGGAATGCAGTTCTGTCTCTGAATAGGCTTGGAATTCTCCACAAAAAACAACAACAACAAAAAACAAAACAAAAAACTTTAAAAGAAATAATACTTGAACTTGTGCTTCTGGGAAGATGGAGTTGAAGTACTTTTTCCAATTCTTCCTACCCAGTACATCGAACATCGCTGGGCATTTTACACAGAACAAACATAAGAAGACTCTGAAAGAGGAGAAGGCAAGGCAGCTGGGGACCTGGGAGCCCGAGGACTTCAAAAATGAGTTCCTTGGTTTTCCTTTTGCCTCGCGTATTCCAGACTTGGAACTGAAGAAGCTGACAAGCTGGAAATACCAGTGGCACAAACACAAAGCCCCAACAAAAGCCTACTCTTTCTGGCCAGAAGACCGGGAAAGGGCAGCCTAGCAGGGCAGAACACTTTTAGACAATCATTGCTCTGCTCCAGCCCAACACAGCAGAAAACACTGCAGCCCCCATTACACCAACAAAGGCCAAATGGGGAGCCTGGACTTGCACCACAGATTAGGAAGCCACCCCAGTGATGTCAGTAGAGGCCATTTGAGTAACAGTGAGGCATTCCTACCCCTTCCAGCCTCAGGAAGGGGAGGCCTAATAAAAGCTGCAACTCCCACCTCTACCTACCAGTAAAGAGAAGCCCCCGGTATCTGTGGAGTTTGGGGAACCTGGACTTCCTCCCCCACTGGCAGTAATAAGGCCTGCCCTCTTCCTTCTCCTGCTAAAGTGGTCTTATAAAAAGGCAGCTAAAACAGATAGTTTATGTGAGACCCAGAGACTCATAGCATAATACTCAGAATATCCAGGTTGAAGTAGCAAAAATCACTTGCCATACCAAGAACCAGGAAGATCTAAAACTGAATGAAAAAAAAGACAATCAATGCCAACACTGAAGTAATAGAGATATTAGAATTATTTGATAAAGATTTTAAAGCAGCTATTATAAAAATGGCTTTAACAAACAATTACAAATACACTTCAAACAAAAGAAGAGAAACAAAAAAAATAATCTCAGCAAAGAAGTAGAAGATACAGATAAGGAAGAACCAAATGGAATTTTTAGAACTGAAAATTGCAATAACTGAAATAACTCTATGGATGAGCTCAATAGCAGAGTGGGAAGACAGAGAAAATCAGCAAACTGGGAAACAGAACAATAAAAATTACCCATTCTGAATGACAAAGAAAGTAGACTGGCTGAAACCGGTTTGGCTCAGTTGGATAGAGCATCAGCCTGCGGACCGAAGGGTCCCAGGTTCGATTCTGGTCAAGGGCATGTACCTTGGTTGTGGGCACATCTCCAGTAAGGGGTGTGCAAGAGGCAGCTGATCGATGATTCTCTCTCATCGATATTTCTAACTTTCTATCCCTTTCCCTTCCTCTCTGTAAAAAATCAATAAAATATATTAAAAAAAGAAAGTAGACTGAAAAACATGAACACAGCCTCAAGGGCCTTTGGGATGATAACAAAACATCTAACTTGTTATATTAGAGTAAAAATAGGGTGGGGCTAAAAAAATGCTCAAAGAAATAATGGCTGAAAACTCCCCAAATTGAGTAAGCTGAGCTAAACCCAAACAAGATAAATACCAAGAAAAAAAAAAAGAAAAAAAAAAGTTCACATCAAGCCACATCTTAGACAGACTTCAAGGAACTAGACATTAAAAGCTTGAAAGCAATAAGAGAAATGACACCTTACCTATTATATTCCTTTAGATGAGAAATTTCTCATCTACAGGAAGTGGCATAACATTTTTTTATGTGCTGAAAGAAAAGAACAATCAACCCAGAATCCTACATCCAGGGATAATGCACGTTAGGAATGAAGAGGAAATCAAGACATTCCCAGATAAAGGAAAACAAAGAATTTCTCACAAGTACATCTACCCTAAAAGGATGGCTAAAGGAAATTCTCTGGGAAGGAAGGAAGCAATAAGAGAAGGAATCTTGGAATAACAGGAAGAATGAACATGGTAAGCAAAAATGTGGGTAACTATAATAAACTTCGCTCAAGAACCACAGGCTACCAACACCCAACCAAATGAAGTAGATAGCCTGAGTGGATCTATAACTATTAAAGAAATCAAATCTGTAATTTAAAAGATCTTGGAAAATAAATCTCCAGGCTCAGAAGATTTCACTGGAGGAAGAATTAACGTCAATTCTACACAATCTTTTACGGAAATATGAGGAGGGGACACTTCCCATTTCATTTTATGAAGCTAGTATTGCTCTAACCAGACAAAGGCAATGCCAAAAAAAGAAAACTACAAGCCAATATCTCTCACAAATAAAGTTGTAGAAGTCCTTTGTAACAAAATATTAGCAAATAGAATTTTGCAATATATAAAAATAATTATTCATCATGACCAAGTGGAGTTTATTCAAGGGGTGCAAGGCTGGCTTGCTGTTAGCCAATCAGTCAACATAATCTATATTAACAGGCTAGAGAAGAAAAGTCACGTGATCATGTCAATTGATATAGAAATGCATTTGACAGAATTCAGCAGCCATCCATGATAAGAACTCAGAAAAAGAGGGATAGAGAACTTCCTTAATTTGAGTAGCTACCACAAGACACCTACAGTCATTAGTATAATATGGTGAAAGCCTGGGTGTGTTCCCTAAGATCAAGAATAAGGCAAGAATGCCCACTCGCACCTCTGCTATTCAATAGCAGGATGCAAGTTTTAGCTAATACAGCAAGGAAGAGGAAAAAAAAAAAAGACACATATCATAAAGTAAGACATAAAACTTACTTGCAGATGACATGGATGGCCACAAGAAAATACTTTCAAAAAAATTGTTAAAACCCCCCAAAAAACTCTCCTTAAATAAGTTCAGCAATATCTTAGGCTATGAGATCAGCATCCAAATATCCATTGTACTTGTCCACTAGAAGTAACAAAAGAATCCCAAAATTGAAAATAGCATATCATTTGCATTTGCTCAAAAAATTGAGAAATAAGTGCAAATGCAATAAAACATGTATAGGATTTACATGTTGAAAACAACATATTAAAAGAGTAACGAATAAATCAAATAAGACCTAAATAAATGGAGAGACAGACTGCTTCCATGGGTTGAGGAAGTTAAAGATGTCAGTTCTTCCCAAATTGTCATATAGGTTTAACAGAATTGCTATTAAAATCCCAGCAAGACTTTTTTTTCATAGACATAGAAAAGGTTATTATTTCAAAATGGATATGAAAAAGCAGAGAAAGCTATTTTGAGAAAGAAGAATAATGGAGGAAAAAGTCCTTCCTGCCCTGACCAGGAATTGAACTCACAACCTTTTGGTATATGGGACACCACTCCAGCCAACTGAGCAGCTGGCCAGGGCTGCTGCTGTCATTTTTAAATTTGACAGTCTAAGGGAAAAGAGGTCAGTGACCTTGACCAAATAAATAGTCAGGGATGGCATGTTTTAAAAATTCTTGTGGCATGCAGGTTGAAAATTGCTGCTGTAGAGAAGTGTATAGAAATATAGAAGTGCAAGAGGATATTTTCCATTGATTTTTAAAAATATATATTTTTACTGATTTCAGAGAGGAAGCGGGAGAGATAGAAACATCATCAACAGAATCATTGATTGGCTGCCTCCTGCACGCCCCCTACTGGGGATGGAGCCCACAACCCGGGCACGTGCCCATGATCGGGATCGAACTCGGTCCGTGGACTGATGCCTATTCACTGAACCAAACTTGCTAGGGAGAGAAATGCATATTGAAACCACTATGATCTATTAAATAGCTAAAGTAGAAAGTAGTGATAACAGCAAATGCTGGCAAGGATGCAGAGAAACTGGATCCAGATCATGAATACATTGCCGGTGGGAATGTAAAATGGTCCAGGCACTCTGGAACACAGTTTGGCAGTTTTTTTCCTAAGGAACTAAACAGGCAATTACCGTATGACTCGGGAGTTGCATTCCTTGACATTTATTCCCGGGAAATGAAAACATGTTCACACAAACCTATACTCAAATGTTTAAGGCAGCGTTATCAGTCATAGACAACTGGAAGCAACCCAGATGGCCTTCGGTGGGTAAATGATTATGCAAACTCTGGTCTATTCATATCAGGGAATATTACTCATCAATGAAAAGAACAAACAAATAATACAGGCAACAACCTGGATGAATCTACAGAGAATCATGCTAAGTGAAAAAAGACAATTTTAAAATGTTGCATAGCGTATGATTCTGATATTCTGGAAATGACAAAATTAGAGATGGAGTATAGATTCGTGATTGTTGGGGTAGGAGGGGATGAGATGGGAGGGGGGTGGTGTGGCTATAAAAGGGCAACCAGAGGGATCCCGTGAATGGAAATGGTCGGTATTTTGACTGTGTCGAGTTTTGTACTGTGTAACCATTGGGGGAAGTGGATAAAGGAGATTATTTCTTATGCCGGCATGTGAATCTGTCTCAAATTAACTTGCTAAATCGTCTCAAAATAAAATGTTTAATTAAAAAATAATTGAATGTAATTTTTAAATGTTTTAAATAATACAAAATGGTCTTTAATGAAAAATGAGCTGTTCTCCCAAACCGCCTCTCCCCCACATCCCCACGCCACCGCTCTCAATGCCAGCTCTACTGCTAATTACACATCATTTTCATAATTGTATTGATTTCTGGCTGAATTGCTCTGAATATTTCAGAATCGGTTGTTGCTTAACTAACAAGGACAAAATTAGGGATTGGAACCGATTGGATTATTCTTGACACGGCAGTTCATTCTGACTAGTATCTCCCATGTGGCGGCTCCAGGACTGAGTCCCATCTCTCTGTTTCCTGAAGGAAACCCAGTGGGTGATGGCCTGTGTCAGGGCCTGGTTGGATTGTAATGTGCGTGTGCAAACCTTTGGCAGGAATCGAGCCCACTGGAAACATGGTGAAGCAGCCGGCCAAGTTCACGGTGGACACCATCAGCGCCGGGCAAGGAGACCTGATGGTGTTTGTCGAGGACCCAGAAGGGAACAAAGAGGAGGTATGTTGAAGGATGCTGCCTCCCCGGTCAGCATCCAGGGACCTTGTCAAGGGCCAGGGGCTGTGCCTCCATTTTCCCCACTGAAGTTCACAACAAACACTGTTCTTGACCAAAAGGATCCTGAGGCTTATTGTGGTTAAAGTAACTTTCCCAAGGGCTGTACCTTGAAAATTAATATAAACTGATACCCAAGGACACAGTGTTAATAAAATAAAGGATACTTTGAATTTAGCAAAGTCCTTGTTAGTTGATTTTTTTTAAAAAAATAAGTTTTTATTGATTTCAGAGAGAGGAAGGGAGGAGGCAGGTAGAAACATCAATGATTTTAGAAAATCATTGATTGGCTGCTTTCTGCATACTCCCTACTAGGGTTCGAGCCTGGAACCTGGGCATGTGCCCTAACTGGGGAGTTGAACCATGACCTCCTGGTTCATGGGTTGATGCTCAACCATTGAGCTATACCAGCAGGGCAAGTTGAAGTTTTAGATACTAATGGCCAAAATACTAATGAGCAGAATAACAATACAGTATTGATAAGAAACAATACAGTAGCAATACTGATGAACTACTCTCTTCTCACTGTGACCAGCCTTTGATTCTTCCTTCAGAGCCTTTGCACATACTGTTCCTTTTGTCTACTTATCTTCTTAAGACTATATATTCCTATTGCTATGTACCATCTAAAATTATGAGTTTACTGGCATACTGTCCATTTCTCCCACTGGGTCAGGAATTCTGCCTGATTTGTTTTATTTTGGGTACCCAACACTGAGCCCAGCATTTCATAAATGCTTAATTACTACATGGCCGATGAAGGTTTAAGTTACTTGCTTTATAGTCTCTCTCAGTTAGAGCGACTCAGCTCTGAGTCAGTAGAGTCCTGACGTGGTTAAACCTCTGTGCTACCTGATTTGTTTCTGTAACTTCAGGCTCTTCCTCCCCTGGGGTGGGGCAGGAAATAGCCGGGACAGGTGCCTGACCCGCCAGCTCGCAGCAGGAGATGGGCTGGCGCAGCATCCTTTTACTCATACCTGGTGCTTTCTCTAACTGTCACTCATCTTCCATCCTAGGCACAAGTGACCCCCGCCAGCGACAAGAACAAGACCTACTCCGTGGAATATCTGCCCAAGGTCACCGGGCTGCACAAAGTAAGATGAGGTGTCGTGGCTGTTGCTTGGACTCCTCTCCTGGGCTTGCTTCAATACGTGCGGAAGGAAAGGGTTTTCTGAAGTTAACTTCTGATTTTCCTTCCTGATTATAAAAGTTACCGGGCTCATTGTAGAAAATTTGGGATCCCCACGCATCAGAGTTGAGATATTAGCTAATAATTTTGATTGGTTGAATTCCAGTAGGTTGTTGTAATGTCATGGATTTTTCTAGCTGTCCAGGTAACAATGGTTGTCGCTACATGCCTAGAGTATAGGTGCTCAGCCCTGGGCTTTGTCTGGAATGCTGCCTTAAGTCCCCCTTGAGGTGTTGTGGAGCCTCTGTCGGCATGGAGAAGGCCAGTGGACTGTCGCGGAAGCCAGTGGCCCACTCATGCGCCTGGAGAATTGATGGGCATCCAGCCCCCAGGCCCTTTGTCTCACAACATTTTGAATTCTGTTTGAGTTGGTGTGTAGTTGGCTTATGGGATGGGGAACAAGGAAGTCTTGTAGAGACTGGACTGAGCTGGGAGTCTACCTTTTGTTGGAAGAAAGCCTTCAACAGCACATATAGGCCTTTCCCTGTGTACCATGCCACAGACATAGACCATACTCACCACCTTGGGCTTTAGTGAATTCACCTGGAACTGTGGCCATATAGAATTATACCTTTAGAACATCATGAATCTCGAAGAGAGCATTTATGATATCATTAATTTATTCACTTTCTATGAAACCTAACCCAATCACTGTCCCCTTCCCTTCCCATCCCCTTCCCCCCAAACCAATTTAAGAGATGGCTCAAGTTTTAGATGGAAATCTGTACTTTCCCCCAAATCCATGTGAATAGGAATGATCTTGGTCCAATGAAAAATACATTGACTCTGGGTTTGAAATCCTGGAACTGTATGTTGTATTCTGGGGAACAGTGGCCCTCTTCAGTGTTGCCAAAGGGCTCAATGTCTAGAGGCTAGTATTTGTTCGTATCCCACTGGAGAGGCTGAACATCAGACGTAGGCGTTTTGAGTTTGCTGAAGGTCAGCTATCCCAGGCCCGCCGTATGGCTGATGGAGTCAAGTGGGAGTCCCATTCAGGCCACTCGCAGGGCTCCTGGTCCAGCCGCTTCTGTGTGGGTAATCAGGAGGGTGGAGGAGAAGGTCACAAAGCACGGGGCCTTTTCTGGTGGTCTCCCTGGGCAGGGATAAGTGGGTGTTTACCATCTCTGTCACTTGTAGGTCACAGTCCTCTTTGCGGGACAGCATATCTCTAAGAGCCCGTTTGAAGTGAATGTTGACAAGGCCCAGGGAGATGCCAGCAAAGTCACCGCAAAAGGCCCTGGTTTGGAAGCTGCCGGGAACATCGCCAATAAGCCCACCTACTTTGACATCTACACAGCAGGTGAGTGCCTTCTTCCGTGGACCAGGCTTTCTTGAAAAGCCAGAGAATAGTCCTCAGGAACCTAAAGCTCGGGGGTGCCTGACCTTTGTCTTTTAAGTTGAACGATCAACAACAAAAACAACTTTTTTCAATCCATCGCCCTTCCTGCCCCCATACCCTTACACATTTATTTATTTTTAATTTTTTTCTTTTTTTTAAACAAGTTTTCAATTACAGTTTATATTCGTTATTATGTGTAAGTTTCAGGTGTAGAGAATAGTGATTAGGTAATTATATACTTTTTACAAAGTGGTCACCCCAATATTTCAAGTATCTACTTGGCCCCATAGACATAGTTATTACAATATTATTGACTGTATTCCCTGTGCTGTAATTTACATTCCTGTGACTATGCTGTAACTACCAATTTGTACTTCTTAACCCCTTCACCCTTTTCAGCCAGGCCCCAATCCCTCTGGCGACCTTCAGTCTGCTCTCTGTTTCAAATGTATTGGTTATATTTTTATATTTTTCAAAACCAGCCTTTCTTCTAAAGAAACTGAGTTTGAAGAATTATCAACTAGATGATTCTATGCAAGATCCTGTGTGGATTGAGTGGGGAGGGATAAATAAGACAATTCTTGAAATTGACTTCTTTTTTTTCAGGGTAGGAAATTTACAAAATAGAGAATGGGAGAAAAGGAACCTTCAGCCATCACCCTTCTTCCCTGTGGCAGAATGTCAATGTCTTGGTGTGGCCCTTCTGAGTGTCTCTGTTTTCTTCATTTGCATTTTTTCTATTTATTTATTTATTTACTAGAGGCCTAGTGTACAGATGCATGCACATTGAAAGGAAATTAATTATAAGGTAGCTGGCGGGCAAGAGAGACCAGACATGCCCTGAAGCCAACCTCCCATGGTCCCTCCCCAGCTGGCCCCACCTAGGGCAGGCCGAGACTCAAAGGGTGTCTTGTGGAGTGAATGGGGTCCCTCTGGCAGGTGGGATCCATTGGCCTGGCCTGTCAGGATTAGGCCAAAATCAGCAGTCCGACATCCCTCTAGAGGTCCCAGAGTGCAGGAGGTGACCCAGCAAAGTTGCTGTCATTCTGCAGCTCCTGCATTGAGCATCTGCCCCCTAGTGGTCAGTGTGTATCATACCTACCGGCTAGTCAGTGGATCAGGTGGTCACTTAGGCTTTTAGATAGATAGATAGATAGATAGATAGATAGATAGATAGATAGATAGATCACTTAGGCTTTTAGATAGATAGATAGATAGATAGATAGATAGATAGATAGATAGATAGATAGATAGGCAGACAGACTTAAAAATATATATTTTTGTTGATTTCAGAGAGGGAGAGAGAGAAACATCAATGATGAGAGATTCATTGATTGGCTGCATCCTGCACGCCCCCTACTGGGAAATCAAGCCTGCAACCCAGGCATGTGCCCTGACTGGGAATCGAACTGTGACCTTCTGGTTCATAGGTTGACGCTCAACCACTGAGATACGCTGGCTGGACCATTTGCCTTTTGTGTCTGCTTTTACACTCACCAGCGGTGAGCTTCCCAAGAAGGTGACTTGGGCTCATGGAGTGTTTGCTCTATCCCAGGTGCCGGCGTGGGTGACATTGGGGTTGAGGTGGAAGATCCCCAGGGGAAGAACACCGTGGAGCTGCTCGTGGAAGACAAAGGAAACCAGGTGTACCGATGTGTGTACAAACCGATGCATCCTGGCCCTCACGTGGTCAAGGTCACCTTTGCTGGGGACACCATTCCCAAGAGTCCCTTCGTTGTACAGGTTGGGGAAGGTGAGTGCTGGGGTGGCCGGCCAGGTGTGCTGTCTGTGCACATGGCTGGGCTCCAAGGCCGGGAGAATGGTCATTGAATTCCTCTGTCCCCTTTCCGTGGCAAGTGGCTTACTTTGTCCACAAGATATTACTATCTTTCCATGAGCCACAAAGTAACTTCAGTGCTTTACTTGCGTTAACTCATTTAATCCTCCCCAAAACACTTGTCCAGGAGAGTCATTCTTCGCTGAGAAGTGCAGGACGGAAACGGCACAGGGATTGGTGCCTGGGGCTGAAGTTAGCAGCAATAGCATTACTGGTGAGGGGTGCGCGCGCCCCCTCCTTCCCCACCCAAGTCCCCACTGTTTGGCCTTCACTGGCTGCCAGGCTCATCTAATTGTCACACCAGCCTGTGTGTTCCAGGTGCCTTTAGTATCCCCAGTGTGCAGATGGAGACCCTGAGACTTAGATAACATAAGGTATCGATGAGTAAGGGCTAGGCATCAGGAGGAGTAGAACCCAGGTCTCTGTCGATCCCTTCACCACACTGCTGAGCTCCCTCTGCAGGGGAAGCAGGTATTTTCCTAATAGACTCTGTCCTTTTCCTTGTTGCTCTTCCTCCCCCTCTCCCCGCCCCTAGCTCTGCTGCCTTTTCTAATCAATACTTGCCTTTTCCTGTTCTGTCCTGCATCTGTGCCTGCAGACCTGGCTTCCTCCTCTGACTCCTGCCTCTGGGCCGCCTGGACCCCGAAGCTGTTGGCTTCCTAGCTGAGAGCCCTGGGCCCGAGGCACCTTGCTTGGTAAGGGCTGGTTGGGTGGGGCTCCGGTGCCAGGTCTTGGTGCTGCCTGCGGCCTCAGGAAATGACAGTTCAGTCGTTCTCACTGCGTGTCCAGCCAGGCCCCAAGCCTGCCCTCTGATTACATTTAAACATTTCACCACGGAGGAGAATCTGGCAGTTTCCTTCCACATCTTCAGCTCTATTTAGTGTTTATATGAACTAAGTAGTCACCCTTTTTGTTATGGAGACCATTGCCCATGTACAGAATTTCCATGAGTATTTTTTATTTTTATTTTTTTATAAAGACACATTTAAACCCTCCAAGGGAAGTCCTGTGACTTATTCCTGGTATGACCAACTTTTCTTCTCCCCTTGACACATGGAAAACCCCCAACATACTAGTATTCATTAACGAAACTCTTTGACATCATGCAAGCATTTGAATGGCTATCCTGGTTCCAGTAGTGTTTCCTGACCTCCTCTCTCTTGTGGATTGCCTTTTTCATTCCTGGCACGTGTCTCCATCCCTTGTGCTGAGTAGTATTTACTTATTAGAGCTCTTCTCTTGATGTACTAGTCCTTCTTCCATGTAGATGATTTTATATGAAAAAGAAGCCGACATCATTTTCATAGTGAAAAACCAGTGTTACTTGCCACAAAGTGCCGCCATAAACTCACATTCACCCATGAACCACCTAAAATCATCTCTCACCCCAAGAGTGTGTGTATGTATCTGAGGAAAGCAGTTGTTGGCCAAATAGCCAACGAGGACATTGCAGAGAGGAGGGGCCAGAGGAGAAACGACCTTCCTTCTATGAAGTAAATTCAAGTCTCCTCCTCTGGGGTTCGAGACCCATAGTGTATACACAGTATCAGATTTAGGAAGGAAAAGTCACTTAATAAACAACATGACATTTTATCCATTAATCTCTCATTTCTATACATAACCAGAAGGTTGCCCAGGTTGACAAAGAATTCCTGGGGTACAGGGAAGTCTTTTTATCAACTTTCTGATGGTTCCATGGAGCAGTAGTTTTGTGTACCTCATGTAAGGAATGTTAGAAGCTACCTTTGCCCTGAATTTTTATACTTACAAATTTAGCCTTTTTAATCAGATCTAGAAACTGCGTTGAGAGGGGTGTTCGTTGCTGGTCATTGCACTCACAGCTGCCCACCTTCCTAGGACCTGAGACAGAAGGCACTGCAATGGCTGTCTGCCTTGGCCAGTGGAAGGTTGCACTGGCTTCCTTTCGAGCTATCTCCTGGCTCTAAATGGAGAAAACGACACTGTTTAGACTCATAGAAATGACTGACCCAAACTTTGGAGCCTGGTCAGATGTTTTCAAGCGCTACATTTTTCAAGTTGACTTGAAGAAGCCCAGTCTTCCCAATTAGTGGGCCCTTGAGTGTAGCAATGAGGTTTGAACAGTGTCCAGCTCTAGGTCTTAACTCTGCTTCACCACTGAGGGGGGCAGATACGTGCCAGGATTCAGCCGGTACCAGGAGCCCAGGGAATCCACCCTGTGCCCTCTGGCTTTCTTCGCCAAAGAAACACTCTCCAGTCCCTCTGCAGCGTGGCTGGACAAAGTGATGTTGTGTCCTCATTTGCTGCCCGGTGCGCTCCCTCCGTGGGACTCCTGGTCTCAGCAACGGCCGCATACACTTTGTGCAGAGCAAATATTTTCTTGGCGGGTGGCTCCAAGTTACCTTGGCTTGCTCAACTCCGACTAAAGAATGAAAGGTTGAATTGATGTCGAAATTGTGCTTGCAGCCTGCAATCCAAACGCCTGCCGGGCCAGCGGCCGAGGCCTGCAGCCCAAAGGCGTCCGCATCCGGGAGACGGCAGACTTCAAAGTGGACACCAAAGCTGCTGGAAGCGGGGAGCTTGCCGTAACTGTGAAGGGTCCTAGTAAGTGTTCCTTTCTTCCCTCCACTCAGGTGTGATTTCGGCCAGGTTCGTAGCCTGGCCAGTTCTGATCAACTTATCCCAGAGATCTGTGTCGAAGACTTGAGGCTACCTGGGTTCCATAGGCAAGGAAGCAGCGATTGATTTGTAATGTCTGTCCTGGTTGCAGGCAGGGACAGTGGTGTTCCTGCAGACTCACATTGTATTAAGGCTTCTGGGAGTAGAAGGAGCAGTGATGCAATGAGTTTTGGGAAATGCTGTCTTTGGGACAGCAACCTGAAAGGGCCTATTTAAAAAAAAAAAAAAAAAAAAAAATATATATATATATATATATATATATATATATATATATATATATATATATTATTGATTTCAGAGAGGAAGGGATAAGGAGAGAGAAAGAAATAGAAACATCAGTGATGAGAGAGAATCATTGTTTGGCTGCCTCCTGCATGTCCCTTACTGGGGATCAAGCCCACAACCCAGGCCTGGACCCTTTAGACCTCTGGCTGACGTTCTATCTACTGAGCCAAACGAGCCAGGACTGGGGGCCCATTTTTTATTTGCGGAAACTTAGGCTTACAGAGGAAGGATCTTGCCCAAGGTCCCACAGCTTGTAGGCTTCTGAGCTGGAATTCAAGCACAGTTTCCAAAGCCAATGATTTTTCCACTATAGGTTGCACTTTATAGACTATGAAATTATATCAGGCATCTAATTACTATGATCAGTGTGTATAGAAGGGGACTCAGATTCCCTAAGGTGAAGTTTCCTGGTAAACAAATGCCATCCGTGGAGAGGTGGGTTGTACCCTGTACCTCATTCTTGCTCCCTGTTTGGGGAAGGGAGACAGTAGATGTGAGGATGAGGGTGAGGACCACCCTCAAGTTTTCCCCTGGGACGGATAAGCAGCTCGGCATTTCTAGTTGCAGGTATAGAAGCCCTTGACTTGTGGGATCTTGGGCTTCTAGTGTAGGACTGTGCTTCCCCTCTGTGCTCCCAACAGGCTGGGCAGGGGCGTCTGAGTTCCAGAAAGTTAATATTTGTCCTTGGAGCACCAAGCTGTGGGGCAGGCTGAGCCCCAAGGGCAGCCAAGGTTCTAGACTGCTCACACCTAGAGCCAAGCTGCTCTAGGGCTGCCCTCCCTCCTGGCTTGTTGCTACAGGAGCCAAGGAGGCGTGTGTGTTTTTTCCTGACCTTAGATTCTCACTTGACTGAATGTCTTTCCCGGCCAAACCTCAAGGCTCCACATAAAACAAGTTCCTGCCTGATGGTTTGCTCTGGAGCATCTAAAAGCTGTCTTGTAGATAGCGCCGAAGAGCCTTCTCACTTTCATGGTCCGGCTTCAGTTGAAAAAGACATTGCCAGGACACGAACCTGGAACTCATGCCAAATACTCATCCATTCCCTCCCCAGTTTTGGCGGGGAGGGGGGAGCTGAAATGGGTAGAATTATTGAGGAAAAATTGAGATGCAACTAGGTTTATCTTCACACAATCCCTGGAGTTTCAGGCCACATAGCCCCCTAGTGACTGAGAGAGCCCATTAAAGCCAGCTAGCTAAAATCTTCCAGTTCCCCACAATTTGAAGCAGAAATGGGCCCATTTTTAGCTCTGGATGAATCTCCCAGGGTTTTAGGGGTCCCACTCTCTGAGGTGGCCCACTTAGCTTTTCTCTGTGACCATGTTTGTGGCTGTGTCTGTCTTCCTGTCCTTGTCTTTGGGGTTCTCGTTCTGAGCCTCGGATTGCATGGGAAAGGCGGTGTGCTTTCTTCCCACAGAGGGCCTGGAGGAGCTGGTGAAGCAGAAAGGCTTTCTGGATGGCGTCTATGCATTCGAGTATTACCCCAGCGCCCCGGGGAAGTACAGCATTGCCGTCACATGGGGGGGCCACCACATTCCAAAGAGGTGAGCCTCTGTTTCGACTCCTCTGGAGGTGCTGGGCCCAGGGCAGGCTCACCGTGGTGGCTTCCTGAGCTGCAGGAGGGAAAGAGATCTGCTTTGTTGCAAACATTTTTTTTTTTTTTGTCTTCCTGGCAGTTTGCAGACATTTGGCCTCTTCTCAAAAGCAGCAGAAAGTCGCTGTGGTTTCAGCTGCCTTGCTTTAAATCAAATGCTGGCGGTTTGGGGCCGGTGGGAGGCGGAGAAGCCAGAAGGAGCAGTAATAGAGAGCAAATGGACTGTGTGTCTGCATACCCTTACATAAGCCGGGATTCTCTTTCTTTCAATGCATGCCTCTGTTCAGGAATGCCACGGGGTGAAATCTGCTGTGGTTTACATTAACGTCCTCTACGTGAGCGCAGGCAGGAATCCAGGGGGCAGTTTGCAGCTCTGCCGTGTGGGCGTGCAGGTCGCCCGCCCTGTGTTTACGTATTTTCCAGCTCTTCTGGGGGCGACTTTAAACTTTGAATAAATTCAGTTTACCTTGAGGACTATCTGGGCATGTTATAGGGTTCTGAAAATCTAAGCAATCTACTTTTATTTTTTTTTTTTACTTCCTGCATAAAAGTTAAAGCGTGTTCATTAATGTTGAGCTAACGCCTGTTCAACCTAGTTGTGTTTTAAAAAATATATATTTTATTGATTTTTTACAGAGAGGAAGAGAGAGGGATAGAAAGTTAGAAACATCGATGAGAGAGAATCATCAATCAGCTGCCTCTTACACACTCCCTACTGGGGATGTGCCTGCAACCAAGATACATGCCCTTGATCAGAATCGAACTTGGGACCTTTCAGTCCGCAGGCCGATGCTCTATCCACTGAGCCAAACTGGTTTCGGCCAACCTAGTTTTTTATTATAGTCTCGTGTGCCCTACACACAAATGGTAAATGACCAGAAAGACAGTGCAAGGCTGTGTGGCTTGAGCACCAGCCCAGGGGCCACCCAAGTGCCTTGAGACAGCACCTTATACTGGTGACCTAACAATGGCTGTGGGGGCCCTGTGTGGAGGAAGGGCTTGGCTGGAGACTGGAACTGCAGGTCAGAGGATCCAGCAAGTGGAAAGAATAGGTATAAGTGGCTTATGGCTGTAGTTAGCCCCTTCTGCACTATTTAATGCTGCTTCTCCTTTCCTTTTAGCCCCTTTGAAGTTCAAGTTGGCCCTGAAGCAGGCATGCAGAAAGTCCGTGCGTGGGGCCCTGGCCTCCATGGTGGGATTGTGGGGCGGTCGGCGGACTTCGTGGTGGAGTCCATTGGCGCTGAAGTGGGGTCTCTGGGTAAGTGGATGCAGCTGACCAGCAGCTTCTGTAAGGCTGAGATTATAGGCGAGCTTGGGCCTGGTTTTAGGCCGAGAGTTGGGGCCTCCTGAGCCTCACTACTCTTAACCTCCTGGTCTCTTCACCACCAGAGGCCGCCTCTGCACACTGGTGTGGAATTGCAGTTCCCATTTTCCACCTGCCCTTTAGGTTGCTCTCTGCTTCATTCACTCATTCATTCATTCATTCATTCATTCATTCTTCCACGAGAGCAAGCATGTCAAATTCAAAGGCTAACACGGAACAAATAAACAAGGTTAAAGTTTATATGGGCCACAAAAAAAAAACAAAAGCTTCAGTTTTCATAGAAACGTAGACTTATTTTGATAGAGACATGCTGAATACAAAGGGCTGAAAGAAATGAGTAATCGTTAACATAAAAAATATTTTTAACATTAATAAAAATTAATTTTTTTATTGAACATTAACTTGCCAGACACTGAATAACTGCACAAATTAATAAGCGTGGTGCAAATAAACCTATCAAACAAACCTTTTTTTGTTATTCTCCAAAAACAAAATGTTTCCTGTTGTGCACACCAAAAAAGTCAGTCCAAGACTAATGTTGTGGCAAGCAGCTGCTAAAATAGTTGCTGCCATATTTGTGGAGAGAAATGATGTGCCTGCATGTAAGGCGCGTAAGGGAAATGAATGCAACATGATTAGAGTAATCGGTCATTAGCGAACGTTGCAGTTCGTTATTAATCATGTATAACAGGATATTGTAAAAATTAAGTCACAAAATTTTTATTAAAATGTTTCTTACGTATTGTGATATTGGCTGGGCTGCACAAATATTCACTGTGGGTTGTATGTGGCCCGTGGGCCGTGAACTTGACATGCTTGCACTAAAGGCTTTCTGTGGATGTTGTAGGCACTCAACTAACACTGTTGATTGCTCCTTAGTTTAGATGAATGAATTAACTTTTTTTGAAAACAGAAATTTAGGGAGTAAATATTCTTTGGAGCATAACGGACTGTATTTTAAATACACACCTGATGTATATATGATCATTTTAGATCGGTGGTCAGCATTCATCTCTCTTCAAAGGATCAGCTAGCAAATATGTTAGCATTGTGGGCCATATTCTCTCTCACACCTATTCGACTCTGCTGTTGTGGCATGAAAGCAGGAGTAGAAAATACACAAGCGAAGGAGTAGTATGGCTGTTTCAGTAAAACCTTAGTTACAAAAGCAGGCAGTGGTTAGGTATGGCCTAGTGGTCGAAGTTTGATGACCTATATTTCAGGCACTAAAAATAAGCAAAAAGGGGAAAATAAGAAATCACATTAAACTTTTCCTTCTAGAGAGAAACTTAAATATTTCAGTATATCCTTGTAGATGAGAGATACTATTAAGCCTTTTGGTGTATCCTTTTAGACTTTTTTTCTGAGCCTACACATACAAATATGTATCTGCCAGAAAAAAATATCTGGGGGAAGTCCTTTTATCTTCCTGCTTCAGATAAATATAGAACATATCTCAATTTTCCATGACTCCCATGGGATTCCATTGCATGGTTATACCTTATTGGGCTCTCCAGTTATTTCCAGGGTTTTACTATAAAAACAGTGCTTATCCTTATATCTGTTTACATACATCCTTGGTTATTTCCTTCAGATAAAAGTCCACATGCGGATTTGGTAGGGGAAAGGGTGGGCATTGGTTTAAGGCTTTTGGTACGTTTCCATATTGCCAGCAAAGGTTTGCTGGTTGGCCTTATTGTTAGATGATACAAAAAAAAACACAAAAAAAACATAAAATCCAATTCTTCCTCTCTAGTGAAGACTCAGTAGGCTTGGTTTTGTGAGAAAGGGACACACACAGGTTTCCATCTTCTGGGCAACGCTTGGCTTGTAGGCAGGCAGAGGGAGGGAGCTGATAGTAACATAGACTAGGTCCTTTTCCCCATGTAACCAGGGGGCCCCCCACCGATCCCCCCACTCTCCCCAGGGTTTGCCATTGAAGGCCCCTCCCAGGCGAAGATTGAGTATGACGACCAGAATGATGGATCGTGTGACGTCAAGTACTGGCCCAAGGAGCCCGGCGAGTACGCTGTCCACATCATGTGTGACGACGAGGACATCAAGGACAGTCCGTACATGGCCTTCATCCACCCGGCCTCAGGAGACTATAACCCCGATCTGGTGAATCAGCTTGTTTTGTTTCTGGCTTCTGGGACCCTCCCTCGTGCCCGGAGAGGTGCCTCAGGCAGAGTGTTAAAAGATGGCAGAGAGGAGTCTTTTAGAGTTTAGGAAGAAAACGGGCCTGCATGGGAACCACTGAGTATTTTTCTAATGTTGGGCAAGAAACTTACTCTGACTCTTGGTATCTCCCTCTATAAAGTGGGAATGACAGGAGTGTCTGCTTCCTAGAGTTTCTGGGATGCTTCATGGAGGTAACCGACATGCCCAGAGACAGCCCTTAGACCAGTGCGTGGCCCCTGCAGGGGGTCCCATAGGAAGCTGTTTCCTTGCAACCTGGAGCATCATATTTCAGTCTTGCCACTTTTGAGGTTATTATTTCAAGATGTTCCATGGATAATGGTGTGTGTGTTGTTTTTTTCCCCTCCCCAGCTCCCTTCTCTTAAATTAGAGCCGTATTTTCAGTGTTTCCAAGGGTTTTCCTCACACCCTTTGCAGACTGATAAGCATCAAGTCTGAGCCAGCCTGGCCGACAGGAGGAGGCCCCCCCGACCCCCTTGTATGCTGCTGTCTGCCCACATGGGCAGCTGTCCACAGGCTGCCTGCTGGTCCTTTGCTCTCTAGGGGCTGCGCACATTTATCGATAGAACATTGTTTGTAGCAAAGGGTAGCATTGGAATCGGGCATGGCTGGACGTCCCTGGTCCAGTTACTAAAAGTTCTCCATGTCGGCTCAGAATAAGGCAAGGAGCTCAGCCTATTTTGGGTTATAGAGAATTTTCTCTTTCATGAGATGTAAATGGTACTGTTTTTCGTTTTTAAGTTAGAGAACCTACGTTAGCATTTTCCTTCCACTAGCCATCCTGTTATGTAGGTGCTGTAAAGCTGGTGGCCCCTGGTCACCAGTCTTTACGCAGGGATTTAGTTGGGGTATTCATTGCACTGAAAGACAATCATTATTGGCCTTTTGCCCCAGGTCCAAGCGTACGGGCCAGGTTTGGAGAAATCTGGGTGCATTGTCAACAACCTGGCCGAGTTTACCGTGAACCCTCAGAATGCTGGCAAAGCTCCCTTAAAGATATTTGCTCAGGTACGTTTCCAAAGGTCACCTGTGCAGGTAATTGTCAGGTGACAAGATCCCACAGAGCAATGGTAAGTTGCTCGGTTCATCTGATCCTCAGTTTCCTTATCTACACATTGGGAACAATAAAAATGTTTAACCTCACGGATTATGTGGGAAGAAAATGGGGTTCCAGCATGTAAAGCAGGGTGCTTTTCTGCTTTTTTAAAATATGTTTTTATTGATTTCAGAGAGGAAGGGAGAGGGAGATAGAGATAGAAACATCAGTGATGAGAGAGAACCATTGATCAGCTGCCTCTTGCACATCCCCTAATGGGGATCAAGCCCACAACTCGGGCAGATGCCCTTGACCAGAATCAAACTTGGAATCCTTCAGTCCTCAGGTCAACACTCTACTGAACCAAACCGGCTAGGGGAGCAGGCTGCTTTTCTTATTTTTATGATGTTTATTCTGTGGGAACAAGGCTTGATTGTTTCAGATTTCCCTGTAAATATCTTGGTGTACCTGATGAGAGGGCATGATGAGAGGTTTGCAAACAAGGATTTATTAAACAAGTTAATTTAATTGAATGTGGTCAAAGGATTTCAATGCGGGCATTGAAATTAAGCATTGAGTGGTGATGGTTTTCTCTTTTGGCCATTTGCTCTCAATTAAAAAGGAATAAATGCATTAGTGTTTCTCACCTGTGGTCACAGCCACTGTAATGTGAGAAGTGGCACGCCTTTCCCTGTGGTTTTATTGCACGTGTGCGTGGTGACGTGTCTGTCTTGGGAGGCTCCGGTGGCTCTGTTTGTTGAAGACAGTTGAGGGCCAGTTCTGCTCTTAGCCCCTGCTCTTTTTGCAGGATGGAGAAGGCCAACCCATTGACATCCAGATGAAGAGTCGGATGGACGGCACGTACGCCTGCTCCTACACCCCAGTTAAACCCATCAAGCACACCATTGCCGTGGTCTGGGGAGGTGTGAACATCCCACACAGCCCCTACCGGGTAGGTTGTGAGGCAGAATCCTGGCCTTGGTAAGGAAAAGCCCAGTCCTATGGCAGGTCTGGACTCCATCCATGCCTGATGGCCAAGGCGGATTCCTGGGAAGAACCCATCATCCTTGGTGGCCTTGAAAGATGGAGTGCCCTGAAGGCAGAATGCTCTAGATTGCCCAAAAGGACTGTCTCTAACAATGTTAGCTAACAGTGTTTTCCCTTGTCCAGGTGGAGGAAGACTTGGTTATAACTTTCTGTGTCTCCTAGGTCCACATTGGGCAGGGTAGCCATCCCCAGAAGGTCAAAGTGTTTGGGCCAGGCGTGGAGAGAAGTGGACTGAAGGCAAATGAGCCTACTCACTTCACAGTGGACTGTACCGAGGCTGGAGAAGGTGAGAGGGGGCTTCACCCAATGCGGTGATTGCTAATCCTTGGGGAACTAAATTCTTTTTATAATGGTACCAGGGCAGTGAACTTTGAACCAGGAAGTAGTCCACCTGGAATAGGTAACTAATGAGTCTCTGTGTCAGTTCTTTGGCTATATCTTTGCTAATCCTCCATCCTTTCTCCCAGCCCCTGGCTTACCACAATCCCTTTCTCGTGTTTCTTGCCAGTTACGTATTTTGGGGCGTTCTTCCGAGCTGGAAGTGATTGTTTGGGACATGCTATTTCTTGTAAGCTGGTGCTAATGAGCTGGTCTGTTCCAGGTGATGTCAGCGTTGGCATTAAATGTGATGCCCGGGTGTTGAGTGAGGATGAGGAAGACGTGGATTTTGACATTATTCACAACGCCAACGACACGTTTACAGTCAAATATGTGCCTCCTGCCGCCGGGCGATACACAATCAAAGTTCTCTTTGCATCTCAGGTGTGTGGGGCCTGGGTTCTCTCCGGCCACCTGTGCGCATTGGGAAGGTGACTTCAGAACTCCGCCCCATGGTTTTTCTCTTTGGTTCATTAAAACCAAGAAGGAGGGGAAAAACAGAACTAAAGTTTTACCGCTTTCTAACGAAAGTGAGGCAGTGTAGTCAGTGTAGTCCAAAGCAGGGCTCTGGAAGGAAATTGGTTTGTTATAAACTTCCATCAACTTTTTGTTTGAAATGTAATTGAGTTCTACTGTGACCTCTTTGAAGCCATGACTTTGGCCTCAGCCTTGAAACTTTTATAGAGAGGAGACGCTCTGAAGTTTCGGATAAAGTTCCAGTTTATGAATGACCCTGAAGGTAGGATAAGCAATACCTACACGGGGAAGAATGGAACCTGTAATTCTAATTAACCTTGCATAGAAATAGGGACCTCTGAGGGAAGTTCTGTTTCTGTTTCTGAAGGGATTGGTCTTGAGTTGGCCTCATCCCCTTAACCTGTTCAGCCTTTATTTTGATAGTCAATGACATTCTTTTTGAAGAATTATAACCATTCTACTTCTGATCAATTCCTTGCATTCTCCGCTGCCCAAAGAGTACATTTCCCTCCCTCCGACCCCATATATTATTGCCACTTTTGGTCTTATTTTCATTGGTATTTTTTGCATCCTAACTACTCAACCACTGGTGTTAAAGACTCTGGGTTTCCAGATTAGTTTGTGGGAAACCTTCCTTTGGCTGTGAAGAAAATGGGGGAAAGCCTGTGATGTCGTGGATCAAGGCATCCTAAGTGATGGATCACCGCCCTTACCTGATGCTAGAATGAGGGGGTTTAACTTGTGGTAACAAGTGTGCTCGCCACCGCTAGCATCAGAGTTGTGCCAAGGATTCCTTTCTCTGGGGCAGAGGCTAAGTGCGAGGATTCCTTTCTCTGGGGCAGAGGCTAAGTGCGAGGATTCCTTTCTCTGGGGCAGAGGCTAAGTGCTGGCCGTTGCTTTGGGGGCTTTCCTACTGAGACGGTGTCTCTGCTGCAGGAAATCCCGGCCAGCCCCTTCAGAGTCAAAGTGGAGCCTTCCCACGATGCCAGCAAGGTGAAGGCGGAAGGCCCGGGTCTCAGCAAAGCAGGTAAGGAGGCGCGTGTGCGAGGCCACCCTGGAGGCTCTGCAGGCCCGTCGGTGGGCATGCTCAGTGCTCGGTGCGGGGCCTGTGGGGCCCATGGCCCGGCTCCAGGTCAGCAGAGAGCTCTGGCACTGGCTCTGGCTGCCTCTGTAGAGCAGGTGCTGATGAACCTGTCAGACAGGTTCTAAAAGCGAAACCGCTCCAGCCAGGCCTGTCTCCTCACCTCACGGGGTATCTTTCCAGGCGTGGAAAACGGGAAGCCAACCCACTTCACTGTCTACACCAAAGGGGCCGGCAAAGCCCCACTGAACGTGCAGTTCACCAGTCCCCTCCCCGGCGACGCAGTGAAGGATTTGGACATCATCGATAATTATGACTATTCCCACACTGTGAAATACACCCCCAACCAGCAGGTAGGGCTCCCATCCCCTTGTCCACGGGCCCTTCCAAGCCCCTGTCCCCTCCGTGCGGTGCTGGGTCACTTTGGACGCCGAAGGTGTAATCTCTGTTCCCTCATCATGCCTTTTGTTCTGAACCTGATTGGATCTATCAGGAGGGCCTGAAGCCAGCCCATCTCGCCTCACCCCAGTCTCTACCTCTGTTTTTTGGGTTTTAGCAGAGAAATGCCCATGAAATGCAGGACCTAATAATCTACTTCTTTTATACATAGTCTTCCTGTCTGCACAGCTGCCTTTTAGTCTTGGATTGATGGCTCAGAGAGAGTTGTCACGCCTTTGTTTTTTCTTCCTGCCCTTTAAGCTTAGTTTGCCCTCTTTACAAGGTGTGATAGTGGGGTCTTTCTCAGCCTCTCCTCAAAGAACCCGTGGTCAGCCTTTAGGCCTTTCAGGCTTGGAATGCTAGTTAGGGCCCCAGATTGCCCCCTTTTACGAAATGCAGGAACACAGACAGGATTTTACCCTCCAGCGGGTTTTGCTCTGATTATTTTAGGCAATCCGAGCCTAAAAAAGTACCCCGCTGTACAAGTTAATGTTTATTTGTTTAGAGTTGTTTTTCTTCATGTCCACCCTCTGGAGTCTGGGGAGCCAGGAGTCCCTGCAGAAAAGCCCGGATGTTAGTGCTCAGGCAGAGTGTTCTAAACGGGCATCCCAAACCTCCGAGACACCTTCGTGCTTGGAGAGCAGAGCCCCGGCTGAGGAGTCCGTTTGCAGGAGAAGCCGGGCATGCTTTCTGCAGCCTCACTCAGGGACCGGGCCGGGGCGTGGGGAGGAGGGAGGGTACTGTGAGGGTGAGCGAAGGCGGAGGTTCCTTCATCGAGGGCACCGTTTCCCTAGAGAAGGGGTCTTCACTGGGAGAACGTCCCTGACTCTAACGGAGTTTCCCTGGGCAGGTTTGTGTGGCACATTACCAGGGTGGCTTCTTATCTCCAGATGTGCTTCTTCCTGTCGGTTCATCATTATTTTATTATTATTATTATTACTTTTACTTTAATGAGGGGCTCATTATTCGTAGTGGTAAAACGAAGACATTACCCTTTTGTCATCAGGCTGCTCAGTGCTCAGTAGGTGACTATCTTCCTGCGGATGCTCCTGAGGCTGCTGAGGGCCTCGCCTCCAGGGCACTAGCTTCATGTCATCTTTCTTGCCAGCACTCCGCCTTCCTCCGGGGAAGGCACCAGAACGCATGGACACGCACACTGATCAGATCATAAGGTCATAGATTCTTCCAACAGCGTTTTAGATGCTTGCTTTGCCCTGGACCTACGTAGCCTTGTGTGTTCCCGCTGTGCTGCTAAAAAGTCAGCTGCAGAGATAGGACAGGCTTAGGTTTTGACCTGCATCCCAGGAGGGATTTTGGAACCATTGCCCTGGATGACCCGCTGCCGCTTGAGGTCAAGGTGGAGGTCGGGAGCCCAGGTCCTGTTCCGTGGCGTTGGGTATGAGGCTCGAGTGGGAAGGTCCTTACTCATGTCACCAAGGTCAGGGCCATCCAGTGCTCTGATTGCAGCAGGTGGGAAGGATATCTGTGTGCTCAGTGGTCCCTTGGGGCTTTTTGTCCAAATGCTGCCCATCCTACATCCTAGGAGCCTGGCGATGCCCTGGTTAGTCACTCCCTCTGGTGGGAAAAGCTCATGGTGCCTCTCGGGGTCCTTTGCGGTTTAGAGTGAGGTTTTCTGTTTCGCCACTCAGGCAGCTTGCAATTCTGCATATGTCTCTAGGGCATAGAAAACAGACCAAATCTCTCCTCCTGGAGGGTGAGTTCCCCAAGGATAGGATAATAGATAAATGAATTCCTTCTTTCCTCCATAGCCTCGAGCACAGGCCTGGTGCTGTGAGCGCTCGGCTCCACGGGGTATACAGCCCAGTGGATGAAGCCTCAGCTCTGAGACAGTTAAGAACTTTGTAATCCGCTAGAGAGTGGGGCCAGTGCTCCCCTTTCTCCTTTGAACTCTTGTGTTCTGAAGAGCACCTAACAGCTCAGGGTTGGGTTAAATGAGTGTACCTTTTGAGCTCTGCTCTGGGATATAGTTAAGGGGCCTGTGCCAGCCGGAAACCTGTGCCCGTGTAGAGGTGCTGACACCCACGGGGACACTGAGGTGGTTTTAGGGAACAACAGGCTGGAACTTCCCAGCAGTGCAGATGTCTGGTGTGTGTGGAGAGACGGATGCGTGAGCGCTCTGCCCTCGGAATGCAGGCTGTGGTGTGAGGAGCACGGCCTCACCTGATGGCTGGCTCTGCTCCCGCGTACCCGCAGGCTGCTGCTATGTTCTGCAGGGTCCCCGAGCCACAGCTGGGCGCGCTCCCCTGCCTGCCGGGGGCCAGGGATGACCCGGCTGATCCCATAGTTTTGTCGGGAGATAGTGGTCAGAGCTCTTTTTGCCTCAGAGGAGTGGACTGAGGCTAGGGCTTGAGGACCACCTGCAGGTCGGACAAGGCTTGGTTTCATGGAAGGGAAGTTACGCGATGCACTGGTAACAGTCCTTCCCCTGGAGGATTGTGACTGCTGGTGGCTGTGGCCACAGAGGTGGCTCCCGTCCTGTGGACATCTGAGCTCTCAGGCCACGGTCTTGGGGTGTGTGTGTGTGTGTGTGTGTGTGTGTGTGTGTGTGTGCAGAGTAAGATTAGTGTCTCAGAAGCATGTAGGAGTGAGTAAAACTGTCCCCCATTCCGAGAGGAAGTCTGTGAAATGCACCAGTGGTCACGGTTCAGGTCCCTCACCTCGGAGCACAGGCTGGGGCCCGAGCAGACCTTCAGAGGCTGCAGACCATCGCAGGTGTAACAGCTTTCTTCTCCCGTTAGGTTCCTTAAGGAGAGTTAGCTTCCTATCGGAGATTTTTTTCTTAATGACGGGTAATGAGAACGTCCCTTCTCTTACGGCAGTGGTCGGCAAACTCATTAGTTGGCAAACTTATTAGTCAACAGAGCCAAATATCAACAGTTGAAATCTCTTTTGAGAGCCAAATTTTTTAAACTTAAACTATATAGGTAGGAACATTAGGGTACTGCTAAGCCGGCCTTTGCTAAAAACTCAAGAGGCCCAAAGAGTCACATGTGGCTCCCGAGCCTCAGTTTGCCGGTCACTGTCTTATGAGGTGGGGAGGCTTCGCTGGTGGAGGGTTTTCCCTCTCTCCTTTGCCTCCAGAGAGGCGGCTGCATGTGTGCAGCCCGTGGTGGAGAAGGATTCCAGAACCCTGGGTTGGCTGCGAGGCCTGGCCTTCCTGGAGGGAGGTCGGGGCGTTGGGGCACATTAAAGCCCCGATGAGCTGGCGTGTGGGGAATGGCTGGCGTGTCGGGTCTGCTGTGGTGGCCGAAGTTACCCCGTCCCTGCTCTGTTGAATCTGCCCTGTGAACATTTTACCGTGAAATGTTATACACCCTGGAGGCAGGGGCCGGTTGGGTTTGTGTGCAGAGCAAACAAATCCTGGAAAATCAATCCTCCCTTCTTCAGTGATACAGCCGATTTTTTTTCTTGGCTTCCCCCCCACTTTGTTATTATAAAGGGAATGTGAGAAAATATATGCAGGCCAGAAGCCACATCCTTTTAACACTTGCTCAGCCACAGCTTTCAGCAGGGGCTGAATTCCAGGGAACTCTGCTCTGCACTCCCAGGGCGGGGCTCCTCTCTCTCCCCTTCTCCCCCCTCCTTGCCCCTTTGAGGTTAGGGGGATCTTCATTGACTGAGACAGCAGTGGGCTTTCATGAGCCTTGGTGTGGAGGGTGGGGCAGTAGGGAGAGGAAGCTAAGGCCCCCTGCTTCCTCCAGAAACGGGGGTGGGTGGGGGTGGGGATGGGTGGGGAGGTGAGTGGCAGAGCTGCTGGGATACGGGTTTGGGTGCCGTGGGTATGAGGCCCAGCTCACACTTCCCAGGAGGGTGACTCGGGGGAAGTGACTACCTCTCTGAGCCCAAGTTTCCTTTTCTGGAAGAAGTAGGGTGACAGAGGGAGTTACCCCTTAGGATGGTGCTCGAGGCTGAATCCAGGAAATGCCTAAAAGCACAGAGCACAGTGTGCTCCTGGAGTTTTCCCTATTATTGTTGCTCATATTTTATCTGCCTTCCCTGAGGTTCTTACTGTGGGGCCAGGAGCTTAGCGAAATATGTCTGAGATGCTTTCTGTACCCACTGGCATCAAACCCCGTGCCTCTGGGAGGACGAAAGGTCCAGGGGGCAGGTGTAAGCACCAAGTTAGTATGTTCGGACGTAACGGTTTCTCTCGTTCCAGGGGAACATGCAGGTCCTGGTTACCTATGGCGGCGACCCCATCCCCAAAAGCCCTTTCTCTGTGGGCGTGGCCGCCCCTCTGGACCTGAGCAAGATCAAGATTAATGGCCTGGAAAACAGTAAGTGCATGAATGGAGGGGCGGGGCCTGGGAGACCAGCTCCCGGGGTTGCCAGCTAGATTCCCTTCCAAAGACAGCCCAAGGAGGAGCGATTTCTGCCTGAAGAGACTGTAGTGGGACAGACTTGCTTTGGAATTAGGGCCGTGCATTGGGAACTAACATGCAGCTTGAGCTCACCGAGCCCCATTTCTTATTTGTGCAGTGGAGCCAGGGGGCGAGGGGAGGGGGTGGGGAAGGGGTATGTGTGGAGGTGATCAGGAACACTCAAGGGAATATTGACAAAATTAAATGAGCTAATAATTCAGTCCCTGGCACAAGAACTCAGTGCCAGCCCTCAGCTGGCACCACACTGGAATGTTCTCATTACAAAGCAGTCGGGCACATTGCTTTCTGGCGAGCATCTGCGGTGCCAGCTCTCCTTGGCCACGGCATCCACATGAGGGTCGGGCGTCGAGCACCAGAGCCTGCTCCCTGGCACTCAGAAGCCACAACTACCACACAAACTATCCCAACTGTCGGCCCTCCTCCCGCTATTCCCTTTGCTTGTTCGGTAAAAGTTCATTAAAGAAAATTTCAAACAGAGAAAAGAGAATAGTATACTATGAACACTGATGTACTTATCACTCAGCTTCAGAAGTTTAGCATTTGATTATAAAATTATTATTATTATTTTTTTTTTACCAAGAAATACATATACTGTTTTTTTTTCATCTAAAAAAATCACAACTAGGACTAAATTCCACTTTAGCCATTCCCTCTTCCCTCCCTAGGGTTAACCAAAGTTATCGGCTCGTTTTCTGCCCTCCCAGACCCTCTCTCTGCATCTGTGCGTGGGTATCTGCCAGCTGGAAACAGTGGCCATGTTTATTTTTGCATTAAAGTTAAGTTGCTCTCCATTACGCTAAGCGAAATAAGCCAGTCAGAGAAAGATAAATGATACATGATCTCACTCATTTGTGGATTATAATGAACAACATAAACTGATGAACAAAAACAGATCCAGAGACAGAGAAGCATCGATCCAATGCTCAAACCTCAGAGGGAAGGTAGGGGAAGGTGGGAGAAGAGGGAGAGATCAATCAAAAGACTTGTATGCACACATATAAGCCTAACCAATGGACACAGACACCAGGGGGGTGAGGGCATGAACCAGAGTGGGGTGAGGTGAGGGCAGTGGTGAGGTGAGGGTATGTGATACCTTAATCAATAAAGAAAAAAAAAACATTAAAAAAAAAAAAAAACACCTCACGTTGCTCACCCCAGTGTCTTCAGCCTGCCTTCCATCAGCAGCGCTCCTTGGCGAGCATTCGCACCAGGTGGCACAGCCTGGCTGCCCGCGGGGGCACACGCTCAGGTGCGTGGGAGGCTTCAGGCAAACCCCAGGACAGAGGCCTTTTGTCCCTTCCCCCCCCCCCCCACCCTCCCGTGAGGGTCCTATCGGGTCTCAGTGAGGCCACCCGTGAGCGTCTTCCTTGGCCTGTCACCCAAACACTCGTGTTGTGAATGAGGCCAGCTCTCCAGGGCCCTGAATCGAGCTTGATGCCTGCTCTGTCCCCGGAGGCGGCAGCCAGCTCTGAGCATAGGGATGACCACCGTCGAACCTTTCATGTGTCCTCTTGTTGCTCCTTTCTCTGAGACGCCGAGGGCTTCCACTCCAGACCCGGTAACCCTTTGGGACTGGGGCTCCGAGGCCGCCTTGCTGAGGTTGCTCAGTGCTCGTCGAGGCAGGCCCCGTGCTGCTGAGAGTCAGGATTTCCTGGGGTGGGGAGGTGGGGGCCACACTCTGTTCAAGTTCCCAGGGTTTTTGTTTTGGTTCGAAGTCCTTCCCCTGTTTTTGTCGAATGCGGCCTGCTGTGCAAAGACCTTTCAAATACCAGCTCCGTGACTTTTGCCTTCTTGGCTGTTGGATTAAATCTGCTGCCAAGAATTAGTAAATAAAACACTGGTTATGGAAATGTTTTGATACAAAGCGAACACCGAAAGTGAGTAGAGGAGAGGAGACAGTGACGAATGATAACGTGCCGGCCAGCAAAGTAGGGTGTGGAGTCAAGTACAGTCAGGCTTGGGCTCCAGCTTTGTGATCTGCTGGGTACGGCCCCCCGACCAAGGACTCCACCTTCCCGGGCCTCAGTTTCCCCACCGGTGAGAGCCCTTGGCTAGTAGCCAGCACTCCACAGGGTTGTGGCCGAAGGGGAATGCGTTCGGGGAAGGACAGCTGTCGCTGTCAGTACGAAACGTCGTTCCGGAATAGCTGATTGGCTTACCTTTTCCAGGAGTGGAGGTTGGGAAGGACCAGGAGTTCGCCATTGACACCCGAGGGGCGGGAGGCCAAGGCAAGCTGGACGTGACTATCCTGAGCCCCTCGAGGAAGGTGGTGCCGTGCCTGGTGGCGCCGGCGGCCGGCCGGGAGAGCAGCACGGCCAAGTTCATCCCGAGGGAGGAGGGCCTGTACGCCGTCGACGTGACCTACGACGGGCACCCCGTGCTGGGGAGCCCCTACACGGTGGAGGCCTCGCTGCCGCCCGACCCCACCAAGGTCAGCTTCTGTTCTTGCTGGGGACCATGCCGCCCGCTGTCTAACACGCCCCCTCTGATCCTGACAAATGCCTGGACGAGACCCTGCCGTGGCGATCGTCATGTGTCCGTGGCTGACTGTTGTCCCCGCTCCTGCAGGCTGGCGTACAGGGTCCTGTGAGCCGCCAGGCCCCTCCCTGCGCCTCCTCTCATTGTCTGGCTGTGAGGGCCTCCCCTGCTCCGAGTCAGCTCCTCCGTTTGTTAAACTTTGTTTTTAAAATGTGTTTATTGATTTGAGAGAGAGAGAGAGAGAGGAAGGACAAGGGATGGAAACATCAATGAAGAGAGAAACGTCCTCTATCTGCTGCCTCCTGCACGCCCCCCACGGGGGATTGAGCCTGCAGCCTGGGCATGTGCCCTGACCAGAAATCAAATCAGGGACCTCTTGGTTCCTAGGCTGACACTCAACCACGGAGCCACGCCGGCCGAGCTGTTCCTTCACGTCTCAGTGTAATACGGGTACTGGCTTCAAAGGGAGCCTGTCAGGTAGGGGAGATGTGAATGTGGAGGCCTCTGCCCGGCGCCCGGCGCACAGTAGACTCTCCGATAGATGCTGTAATAATAAAAGAGTCATATGCGCATTAGACAGGACAGCCAAACAACCTTCCGGACAGAGCCGTAGTGGCAGGGGCCAAGGCAGGCAGATGAGTGGTTAGGGTTGATCAGACAGGCATGCAGAGTGGTTAGGGCAATGAGGCAGGCAGGCAAGCAGTTAGGGGTGATCAGGCAGGCAGGCAGGCCAGCATTGAGGAGCCAGCGGTCCCAGAATGTGAGAGGGATGTCCGACCGCCGGTTTTAACCCTAAACTGGCAGTCAGACATCCCCAGGGGGGTCCTGAATTACGAGAGGTTCAGGTCAGGCTGAGGGACTCTCCACCCCACTTTACATGCCCCATCCCCCGCCTGGAAGGTGGGGAGGCCCAGAAGGTGGGGGTGGTCTGGAAGGTGAGGGGCTGGAAGGTGGGCGTGGCAGGAGAGAGGACATGTGCTCTGGCTTCAGAGGCCTGCCCCTCTCTGCTGGGCCTCTCAGCACTGATTCATTCATGGCCACATACCCCTGGGCCTTTTGCAGCTCTGGCTCCGTGGTGTGAGCGAGCGTGTCACAGCCTGGGCCCCAGGGAACAGGCCACTTCACGGAGGTGCAGTTCGGTGCTGCCGAAGGGCGTGGGTGGTGAGAGCAGGCACTGCCTGGGTAGCACACAAGCGTCGGCAAAGTTTGACTTTTTACACCTTCTTCCCGCAGGTGAAGGCCCACGGGCCCGGCCTGCAGGGGGGTCTGGTGGGCAAGCCCGCCAAGTTCACCATCGACACCAAAGGAGCGGGGACCGGCGGCCTGGGCCTCACCGTGGAGGGGCCGTGCGAGGCGAAGATCGAGTGCTCCGACAACGGCGACGGGACCTGCTCCGTCTCCTACCTTCCCACGAAGCCCGGGGAATACTTCGTCAACATCCTCTTCGAGGAGGTCCACATCCCCGGCTCTCCCTTCAAGGCCGACATCGAGATGCCCTTCGACCCCTCCAAGGTCACGGCGTTGGGGCCCGGGCTGGAGCGCGGGAAGGTGGGCGAGGCCGGGCTGCTTAGCGTGGACTGCTCGGAGGCCGGGCCCGGGGCGCTGGGCCTGGAGGCCGTCTCGGACGCGGGGGCGAGGGCCGAGGTCCGCATCGAGAACAACAAGGACGGCACCTACGCGGTGACCTACGTGCCCCTGACCGCCGGCATGTACACCCTGACCATGAAGTACGGCGGGGAGCTCGTGCCCCGCTTCCCCGCCCGCGTCAAGGTGGAGCCGGCCGTGGACACCAGCAGGGTCAAAGCCTTCGGGCCGGGAATAGAAGGAAAAGGTGGGTCCCCTCAACAGAAAGGGAGGCTGCGCACTGCCGCCCCCCCCGCCCCCCCCCCCCCCCCCCCGCCAGCCTTTGTCTCCCCACCTTCTGGGCCTTTCCACCTTCCAGACTCCCCCCCCCCCCCCCCCTTCTGGACCTCGGAGGCAGAACTGGAGGCCTAGCATCCAGGCCCACAAACACACACACAGCAGCTCACACTGTGTACAGTGGTTGTGTTGTCACTCCGCTGAGGCTGCCCTAGGAGGGGCTCCTCTCCGGTGTGTGTGGTGGGTGCACGTTAGCTTTCCTGACTTCGAGCCCTGGACCGCTTGTCTGCGGTCCCTTCATTGTGTCTTAAGGGCTAAGAGCCTTGTCCGTGGGCTGCTCCCGGCTCTGAGATGCTGGTGACGTACTGACCGGTGCGATTGCTCCGCAGACGTGTTCCGTGAAGCTACCACCGACTTCACGGTCGACTCCCGGCCCCTGACAAAGGTGGGCGGCAGCCACATCAAGGCCCACATCGCCAACCCCTCGGGGGCCTCCACTGAGTGCTTCGTCACGGACAATGCCGACGGCACCTACCAGGTGGAGTACACGCCCTTCGAGAGAGGTGAGTGGACTTTTCCTTGTTCAAAACCGTGCTCGGCCCTTTCCTCCCGGTGGCTGATGCTGATGTCTGCCCCGTGTGCTCAGCAGAGGCCCCTGCAGAGCGATGGGGACCATTGTAGCCCACCTCAGCCCACCCCCCCATAGAGCCGCCCTCGGGGCCCGGCGTGCTGGCCCTGCTGTGTGACGGTTGGGCTGGGTCTAGCCTGAGCCTCATCGGAGCAGTGATGGGATGATGTCATGGACGTCGATCATTTGTGTAATTTTTTTTAGCACATTGATTTCTTTCCTGAATATTAAGAATTATAAAACATTTTAATAAATGATAAAAGCATGAAGAAAAACACCAAAGTACCATATAGTCTCATTACCTGGATATATGATCTCTATAAATATTCCGGTATAGATATTTTAATCTCTTTTTATAGATGCACGTATATTCTGTTTTATGGATTTTTTTTCTTTGTCTTTTGGTTAATGCCTGGATGGAGTTTTCCAAAGCAGGGGTAGTATGTTTAAAATGACTGACTTCAGTGTAGACTTAGTGACATTTGTTTGCAGGAGAGACCGTGTGTGTGTGTGTGTGTGTGTGTGTGTGAGTATGTGTGTGTGTGTATGGTGAGGGATGGGATGGGGGTGGGTATGTGAATGCCAGGTGAACAGAAAGCATACATAGACAATTTGTATTTTTTAAAAATCAGATTATACCAGTATTCCTGTTTCAAACGATATGGTAAAGCATGCAGACATGATTGTGAAATAAAACCCTGGAGTGGAGTGTCATTTCCCACATTTGGGCAACTCCTGTACGATTTGTTTTTGTTGTTTTGCACAGGCCTCCATGTGGTGGAGGTGACATACGACGATGTGCCCATCCCAAACAGTCCCTTCAAAGTGGCTGTGACCGAAGGCTGCCAGCCGTCTCGGGTTCAAGCCCAAGGTCCTGGGCTGAAAGAGGCCTTCACCCACAAACCCAACGTCTTCACGGTGGTGACCAGGTGAGCAAGGCCTGGGGTTTGTTGCTGATTCCATAAAAGGAGGAGCTCCAAGTAGCTTAACTCTTTTTAAAGAAGTTTAATGGGTGTTGCCTGCATATGTGTAAAGTCTCCCAACATTTGAGAGGCTTTTTTTCTTTTCTTTTTTTTTTTTTTTATGATACAGGAGGCATTTTGTTCTGTAGAGACGTAGTTACAGAGAAAGACCAAGTGTGTATCAAAAAGGTACCATAAAGCACTGATAATAACAGTTATAAAACTACTGAGCAATCCAGGACTAGATGGAAACTCGTTAATTTGACAGTGCTGAAATACATAGCCAATCTCATATCAAGGTGAAATATTAGAAGAATTCCTATTGGAATCAGTCACAGGCACATACCTGAATTGTATGTGCAGTTGCAGCCAGTGCAATTAGATAAGAAAAATAAAAGGATAAGAATTGGAAAGGAGGGTTCAAAGCTGTCTTTACTTATACTACATCGTTGAGAAATTCCCTGTGTGAGGAGTGTCGTAGTAGCTGAGTTGATTTGGCCAAATGGGAAATTTACGGAGGGATTTTAAATGGATTTTGTCAATAAGGAGACTGGCATGAACCATCAGCGCTACTTTGCTTTCTTTTCCACATTTCCCAGAGGGGCAGGAATTGGTGGGCTTGGCATCACTGTCGAGGGACCATCAGAGTCAAAGATAAACTGCAGAGACAACAAAGATGGCAGCTGCAGCGCCGAGTACGTCCCCTTTGCTCCAGGGGATTATGACGTCAATATCACGTACGGAGGAGATCACATCCCTGGTAAGTTCTCCCTCAGAAAGGAACCCAAGAACAGTTGATTTTGCATGAAAGCTGGTTTGATTTTGCATATCTCCCTGAATAAAAAAGATAGCTGGCATTTGCAGTCACTGCAAAGAGAGAGTTCTCCCTAGGGCTGCATCTCCAAGAATGTCCCCACTCCCAGTAGGACCAGAACCGTGATGAAAGAGTGTTTGTTGGCTTGGAGTTTTGACTGACAGTTGTCTTCATGTGTTAGAGAACCTCGTTCTCAATTTGAAGGAAAGCTGTTTATTTACAAAGTTGAAAATTTCCACCTTATTTTGTGGTTGGTTCTTATTCCTCTTATACCAGTACATGCATCTTGTTTTCTATTTTTCAGTCGACAGTTCTGGTAGCTGATAAAGACACACAACTCAGATTCTTTAATTTCTTTTCTGTAGAATGATATACTATATTCATTTACTGAAAAACAGGGTTTGTCGTCCTCAGAACTGTTGATATTTTGGGCAGGATAATTCTTTGTTGTGGGGCTCTTCTGTCCATCATAGGGTATTTAGTGGCCCATTTTTTTGGCAACCAAAAGTGTCTCCAGATATTGTTATATGTCCAGGGAGGGACAGAATGACCCCTAGTAGAGAACCACTGCTGTAAACGATTCAGACAGTAAAGAAATATATGACTTAAGTAAGTAAGGGCCCTCCAACTTTCATGTTCCAGCAGGAGGAGTTTTCATAGGTCCTAGTTCTGTTTATCTGATGAAACATTTGCCATCCAACACACATTGAGATGTGTAGGTGTGGTATGGATGCAAGTTCAAGGACTCGAGGGCTGCTCCTGCATCAGCTTACGCCTTGTCTCAAGAGTGGTGAGGAAGAGGGCAGAGCCCCACCCGAGAGCCCAGAGCAGGAGGAGCCTGGGGTGGGTTGTTCTTACCCTGCAGGCCATGAGCCCAGGGTGAGACCCAGGGGAAGGGCAGGCTGAGGGTCCTATTTTCAGGTTTCTGGATTGGCTCCCGGGAAGCCTGAGTGTCCCGGGACCACACACACACATTCCTGACCCTGCCTGCTCTTTCCCCTTGTCGTGTACAACCTCACACACACTCACAGTCACTTTTTCTCTCTCTCTCACATTGATCAGAAAGCACTGATGTTCTGCTCAACGTAATTCTCAGGTGTTCATTTAAGCATTAATTTATTTAAGGCAATATTTCTCCTCAAACTTGACCTTGTCGCTGTTGCAATATACATTTTAAATTCCTGTAATCACGTATCAAGGGGAATTCAGCCATGGACCAGACAGACAAAGCTCCCGGCCTCTGGAAGCTTCTTGTCTATTGTTTATGGCACTAAAACCCACAGTTTAACTGCTAGGAGGAAAGAGCAGGGCTCAGTGACAGCATACAGAGCCATGGGTGCCTTTTGGAGTTTTACCAGCTCTGCAGTTCATGGAATAGGACAGTGGCTCAGAGAATGTGGCCAGGCATGACCTGGTGGCTCCAGCCAGGCAGGCAGGCAGCAGTGGAGAGGAGCATCTCCTGGCTGTGGATGCCGCAAAGCTATTTTAACTTTATTGGGAAAAGTCTAGGGGACCCTCAGCTTTGAAATTCCCCTTGCAGGAGAGGGTGAGAGTTTGGCCCTGTGGCAGATCCCTGAGCTTGAAGCAAGTGGCCATCTGTGTAACAACAGAAAAAGACCCATCCTCAATGTTCCCTTCTCTCCATTGCTTCCCAGAGCCAAATGCCAATTGCTTCTAAGACCCCAGATTTTTCCCAGGCGGAGTCATGGTGGAGCGTTGGTTGTTTGTCTTAGTGTCAGGCTTTATCGCTAAGGTAGCTCGGGAGGGGCTGCTGTGAAATGTTCAGCAACCTGTTGGCTTTTGATTTGCTTTCATGGGAATTTTAGTTGGTTAAACATTGGCCCAGTTTTCCCTGGCCTGGTACAAACCCATAGCGGGGTTATTTTTAACCAGGTATCCAGGTTAGTTTTAACCAATATCCGCAATGGCATATTGGTTTCCTCTGGTGGTCTGTTTGTGTGGCTGCTTGGGCCACTGGATCGCCTGGGATCAGTGCAGCAGCAAGGAGGTCTGCCGCGGTTGATTGGTGATGTCTGCCTGGGATATGGATCGGGAGTGACACATATTGCTTGATACCTGCCACCTTGAACTTAACATTGCCTTGTCGGTGCTTGGTTGCTCTGGAGTGAAGTTCAGACAGCTTCCAATGGAGCTCAGAATCCAATGGCCTCTTTTCCAGGCAGCCCCTTCAGGGTTCCTGTGAAGGATGTTGTGGACCCCAGCAAGGTCAAGATTGCTGGCCCCGGGTTGGGCTCGGGGGTCCGAGCCCGAATCCCCCAGTCCTTTACGGTGGACAGCAGCAAGGCTGGCCTGGCTCCGCTGGAAGTGAGGGTCCTGGGCCCACGCGGTGAGTATGCATCCTGCCTTCCTGCTGACCTTCAGCTTGCCCAGGGGGAGGCGGCCACTTAGCTTTTGAGTTTGGTCATGAACTTAGTTTTTTAAATTTTTAAAAATTGATTTTTAGAGACAGGGAAAGGGAGAGGGGAAGAGAGAGAGAAAGAGAAACATCACTGAGAGACGCATCAATCGGCTGCCTCCTGCACGTCCCCTACCAGGGATGGAACCACAACCCAAGTTCAGTTCTTTAGAGTAGGGAGATGGAGCAGGTGGTGTTGGGCTCTCCCATATGTAATAATTGTGTAGCTGCTTCATTTTGTATCTCGGTGTTTGTGAGGTGACGGGGGTTAGTCTGGTTAGTCTGGGTTCGGCTCAGAGGTGATACCTCTGTTTGAAATGCCTTCATACTCACATGGAACATGCCTCCACATTTCTGGACATGGCAGATACTCAGCCCACTTGCCACCTGGCCACTGTCCCAACCCCTTGGAGAGAGGGATTCTCTTTGGGGGATGGGCTTTGTTGACAGTTTGGCCCGCCTTTTTGGCACCCTGGAATTGGGGTTTGGTAAGATAAGCAGGCCATTTTGGGACAAAGCAGTTAAGTTACCTTAAATTCCTTAAATTATCTGGATTTGTCCCTAAAGAGGCACCTTTTCTGAAGAGGAGCTTTCTCCTTGAAGGAGTTAGTTCAGGAGGTTATGCCCTTTAAAGCTCATGGTAGGAGTGGTTTGGGGAAATGAGGTCCTTGGGCTAGAACTTGATTGTACAGAGTTTCTAAGCCTCTGTGTGTACCCGTGCGTGTGTGTGATAAAGTGAGTGAGGAGGAGGGGGAAGCTTAGATATATGTACCTCTAGTATGGAGGATTCTTAAGTAACAGCCTCTTAATTTTAGCTGATGAGACAGATTCCCAGTCATGGCGCAGCCCCTTGAAAGCCATTTCAGAGTTCTTTAAAGGGGAGCCGGAGGGTGACTTTATGGAAACAGGTTTGCATTCCTATTGGCTGCTATCTAATTGATGCAATCAGAATGCCTCTTACTGGCCTCACCCCTGAAATTGCCTTGCATGTGCCTCCTCTGCTTTGCTTAATGTGCATGCTACGCTTTGGTTAACCTACCCTGCAGTTGACCCATCGCTGAGGCTTGTGTTTAGAACCGGGATCTAGAATCTACCGGCCCAATGCATTCCTTGATTATGCTTTAACATAACCTCCAACTGTCTCCTGCATGCATCACATTGATGGCTCCCTCACCCCATGAGAAGGGCACCTCCCCTGCCCTGCACTTACACCCAGTGTGCTGCCCCTTCGGTCTTTGCCAAAGTGGCCACAAGTCGCCATCTTCTTCTTCTTCTTCTTCTTCTTTTTTAAAAAAATATATTTTATTGAGTTTTTACAGAGAGAAAGAAAGAGAGGGATAGAGAGTTAGAAACATCAATCAGCTGCCTCCTGCATACCTGCTACTGGGACTGTGCCTGCAACCAAGGTACATGCCGGAATTGAACCCAGGACCCTTCAGTCTGCAAGCTGACGCTCTATCCATTGAGCCAAACTGGTTTCGGCATGGCCACAAGTCTTGACTGGCCAAACCATTGGTTAATTTTTGCTGTTCTGAGTTCTGGACTCTTTGGCCCTTTTCCAGCTGTAGAGTAAAGTTTGCCATGTCTTAAGCATGCCTAACCAGCTTGAAAGGATGTCATAACATGTCTGCAACATGCACCTTCGCCATACGCCCTCCGGAACAAGTGCAGGCAGTCTCCTAAGGTATACTCCAGGGCTGGCTGCGGTACTTGACCCAATAACAAGCTGACGGTGTCTCCTAGAGTCATTCTGCAGCCGGGAATTGAGGATCCTGTCTCCTGTGATTTCCTAAGCCTCTGGTTGTGGCCTACTTGCATTTATGTTATTCATCAGTGGAAACCAATAGCTCTTGGGGATGAATGTGATTCTTTTTGAACTCAGCCCAGGGTGGAGTGTAGGGGAGGGGAGGCAGCTCCTCAGACCTCTCATCTCTGCCCTCAGGCCTGGTGGAGCCGGTGAATGTGGTGGACAATGGGGATGGCACACACACGGTGACCTATACCCCATCCCAAGAAGGGCCGTACATGGTCTCTGTGAAATATGCTGATGAAGAGATCCCTCGTAGGTAAGCTCTTGATACTGAGGGAAGGGTCCAAACCAGACTCAAACCCACCCCTCTGCAGGGTTCACCAGCATTGCTCTGGTGGCCCATGCATCCATCCATCCATTCATCTATCCATGCATCCATCCATCCATCCATCCATCTGATCTATAAGTCCTACTGAGAACCTTTGTGGCTCCTGCCCCTAGCTTCCCCTCCTACCCCTTTCTGCCATTATTAACTTAAAGACCAGCTGGAATTAAGGAGTTGGGAATTTGGGGTGAAGATGCATTAATTTAGCAGTCTTTTTTTCTTCTGACCCTGCAAGTAGTTTTCTGATTCAGGCAAAGACTTCTGCTTTTTTACTTTTCTATCCACAAAGGGTTGGATAGAAATCTTATCCCTCATTCATATTAATACAGAAAATATTGCATAAGCTCTTTACCTCCCACAACAGCCTTCAAAGATTTTTAAAAATCATATTTAAGGTTTAAAAGCTTTGTCCATACCCCAACATACATATTTTACATAAAGATATGTATGTATGGCTAGCTACATAGAAATATGATTTATAAATTATGTTTATGTATTTACTAATAGCATACCATCTAAAGCATACTAAAAAATAGAAAATAAGATGCGGTAAAACATTAAAACTGAAATTTCAGTGTTCTCTTTCTATTGACCATTGTTTTAGCATAATAAAAGTAGGCTAAATATGTTTAACCCCATGTTTCCCAAACTAATTTTGTAATTAGTCTATATCCCCTGGATTGCAGCCAGGGAAAGCTGGTCTATTGTATGATGGTTACTGCCTCATAATTTTAAATTTCTGCTGGACTCAAGACATTGACTAAACTCACCATTTTTATCTGCTGTAGAAATCCTCTTTGCAGTCCCAGTTTCTTTGTGTGAGAGAGGTCAGCTGGAGCAGGGTTGATGTGTATCCATCCTGACTGAAGGTTGTGTGTCTGTCAAGTCCCTTTAAGGTCAAGGTCCTTCCCACATACGATGCCAGCAAAGTGACTGCCAGTGGCCCGGGCCTCAGCTCCTATGGTGTGCCCGCCAGTCTTCCGGTGGAGTTTGCGATCGATGCCAGAGATGCTGGGGAAGGCCTGCTTGCTGTTCAGATAACGGTAACTTTGAGTTCTTTTCTGGAGTCAGACTCATAAAGCCTAATTTTCTGGCCAGAGGTAAGAACCAGGATTTTAATAACCAGCTTCTGGCATGGTACCACTGTCTGACAGATTATTCCCACCAGAGAGTCCGTAAATGTGCATGAGGACGTGCCTGCCTGTCTGAGAGGTCTGAGGGTGTAGCCCCAAGCACCACCTTTGGGTGAATCTCATGTATTATATTTGCTATTATAGCTAGTCCTATGTTTTTATGTTAAAATGTTAAGTTACTCATTGGATTAGTTAGGACTAAGTTCTGTTGCTTATCACGAGCTCCAAAATAAGAGTGGCTTAAACACATGTAATTATTCGCTCCTGTTAAAGAAGCCAGGGGCAAGGCACCTGGGTGCTGTGGCTCATCAGTGAAGGAGGCCCATCTCTGCTTCTCTGTCCTCGCCTGTGGCATCTGTCCTTCAGGTCTCCTCGTGGACCACAAGGCCCCAGTGCCCTGGTTATCGATCCACATGGCAGGCTGAAGGAGGAAGACAGACGGGAGAAATAGCCTTCCCATCAATCAGCTCTCCCAAAGAGCCCTTCATCCTCCCTCACAAGACTTCCACTCCCTTCCCATTCGCCAGAAATCTGTCAAGTCGGGTGGCCAGACCTAGTGACAAAGGATGCTGGGAAGTGGAGTGTTCTATTCTGGGAGCAGTGCACCTAGCTGAGGATTAGGGTCCTATTACCGAGGAGACAAGGGAGTGAGCGTGGTGATGTGCAAGTAGGTCCTCTGCCCCTTGGGGGCATGCACCAATGGATTGGGAAATAAAACACTATTTGTTCACTTGACAGAAAAATTACTAAAAATTGATTGTGTCCATCGTGTTAAAGGGATCTGTGGCCTCCCCCACTTCCTACCAATCAAATTGTGTGAAGCCAGTAATTCTGTCTCCTCCCCTGGAGCAAAATGTGTCAAGGTTTTCCCATGAATTGTTTCTACATCTTGAGGACCACATCCTAAGAAGCATATTTCTCTGTGCTCCGCAGGACCAAGAGGGAAAACCCAAAAGAGCCAATGTCCATGACAATAAAGACGGCACCTACGCTGTCACCTACATCCCCGACAAGACCGGCCGCTATATGATCGGGGTCACCTACGGGGGGGATGACATCCCGTTGTCTCCCTACCGCATCCGGGCCACACAGACCGGCGATGCCAGCAAGTGTCTGGCCACAGGTGAGTGCAGGCCAGGGATCGGAAAGCCTGGGCCTATCCCTTCTCTGCCACGTAAGAGCTGTGTGATCAAGGCCAGATGCTCAACCACGCTGAGCTTCGGTCAGACTTAAATGGAAGATCTTTTTATTTACAACATTTAAATTCAAGAACCTCTTCTAAGGATCAGAAACTGTTTCCCAGGGTTATTGCAAGGATTGGATGAGGTCAGGCATGAAAAATGCATTGCACGGTGCCAGGCACACGGAAGCTGTCATTATTGGGTTGTTTTCGAAGCGGGTGCATTTGTTGAGACGTCAGCTGTGATGCTGCTCCCAGGAAAAGCGGCAGATGGATGCCTCTCCTGGGCTGTTTAATTATTCAGGGTCACCTCAGGCCACTGTGAGAAACACGTTCACGCATCGAGGTTTTTCCCTCCACACTTGGGGCTGATGTCTAAGTCTCTCGGGAGTGCTCCAGGAATATGTGAGCACCATAGGCCCTTCCACTTCTAACAGACAACTGTTGGGACTCTGTGGGTCCTTCAGTTTCTAAAAACAGCTCTTACCGCTCTGATGCCGCTTCAAGCAGATGTCAAAGCATGAATTCCCCATGTCTGAAAGGAAACAGATTTGCTTCTCTTTCAATAAAACTAAACATAGGTCCCCCCCGATGTGTTCTATTTCTCTCCTGTCCTGTCTTGTTTTGAATGGAGAAAACCTTTTGGCTTTCTGGGCAAGCTTGTGAATGGCTCGCCTTCGCCCTTCTTTGGCTCACCCCGGGCAACATTTGAGGAAGTGGGAAATAGTGGCCAGTCTGCCACATGCTAGGTCTGGATTATCGTCGTTAACCTGAGGGCATGTAATACTGGGAGGTGACTTCCTCCTTGCTTTCCCTTCCTTAGCTCAGGCAGAATCCTGAGCAGATACAGGCCACACCCCTGGTCTGTCATGCGGGGGATTGCAAAGTCTGGCTTCTACTCACGTCTGAACAACCTGTTCTTATCCCTGTTGTTTCTGCCCACTTTGACCCCCTCCCTTTTTTTTTTTTTTTTTTTTTTGCCAATGTGCTTTTAATTTACACTTTTCTGCACTCCCTGATGTTGTGTGGATCCTGTGTAAAGGGATCTACAAAGAGAAAGGGAGACTGGTCATTGTTTCGGGACCGAGGTTGAAAGTATTCCTTAGCCAGAAGCACCCACCCTTCAGAATACAGCCATTTCCCCTTTTCTCAGGAAGCCCTCTGTCAATGTGGCAACCCTGGGATAGGACTTTCACAGGACACCTCTCTGGAGAACAACTGAGCATTTTTTCTGTAACTTAGTTCCCCCTCAGGACTTCCACAGCAGGCTGAGCTGTCATTCTTGGTGCCTGGCCTGCATCCCACTGCTCTGTTATATTAGGAGCATCTCAACTGTGCTTAGCTCACCTTTGTGTGCACCTGGCCTTAAGAAAATGCCCAATATATGTTTGCTAATGAACGCTGACTTTCATCCCCCTACCTTGAATGCTGGCAGACCAGATCCAACATTTGGTTGACACCCAGAGCCTGAGATTCTCCTTATTTAATAAACAACGGTGAAATGCTCCCTTGAGCAGTACCTTCCCCAGATGATTCCTGGGACATCCCTGTGTGTGGTGGCAGTTGAAGGTCTAACGTTTATAGATGCAGACAACACGAGAGCGTGTGGTTTGTGTTTAGGTCTCCAGGGGAACTGCCCACAGCTGAAGCTTCCCTCCTCCTGAACTTTTCTCCAGGTCCTGGAATCGCCTCCATTGTGAAAACCGGCGAGGAGGTGGGCTTTGTGGTTGACGCCAAGACTGCCGGGAAGGGGAAAGTGACCTGCACGGTTCTGACCCCGGATGGCACCGAGGCTGAGGCCGACGTTATCGAAAATGAGGACGGCACCTATGACATTTTCTACACGGCTGCCAAGCCGGGCACCTACGTCATCTACGTGCGCTTCGGTGGCGTTGATATCCCCAACAGCCCCTTCACTGTCATGGTAAGGAAACCCCTTCTCTGCAGCATCTGTTACTGGCAGAAACAATAATAGCTGCCATTTGTTAAACCCTGGCTAGCACATCCCCTCCCACATTTCTTTTTTCTTGAAAATTTTTTTTCTTAAGCAGTCATGACCTTTTAGGGACACTCTAGGATCCCAGAGAGCCTTTGGCTCTGAGAGCTTTTAGGGAATGTTACAGCTACCAAGTACCCATCATGCTAAGGGTCTTTGGCAGTGCCCTGGCCTAAGCACAGTTCAGAAAGATAAACTGACAAAAAAAAAAAAAAAAAAAACACTTGTAAGGGAAACATTATTCTTTTTTGTTCTGCTGTCTTTCCCCTTCCTGCTTTCCGACCACCATGGTCTGGAGGAGAGAGACTTGACTTCGGTAACCCATGATTCAGAGTACCTCCAGTTGCGCTTGGAGAGATTCAGACTGCACGTGAAGGGAAATAGCTTGTCTTTTAAAACTAGGAACATCTGGAAGAAAGAAACCATTATGCACACTTCTAGGCCAAAGAAGGACGCGGCTCTTTAATTTTCAATCCGAGTGACTTTTAGATCTTTCTCTGATTATCAAGGTTCTTCAACCAGGAAAGTGGTTAGAAACCTTAGCAGCATTCACTCAGTCAACCCTCAATGCAAGCATTGTTGGCCCTTTCACAAATGAGCTGTAGGAGGAGGTGTCAGACTCTAGTCCACTGAGCCCAGAGTGCCCGCTCTAGACAGCTGCCAAGTGCTGTGCGGTCCTCACCCCGTGTCCTTTGAGGCCGTGGTGACAGCCACCCTTGGCTGCAGAGTTCATAGGCCTCAGTGATCTGCCCCCCTCCCCCCCGCCCAGCCTTCAAAGGCCCTTCTCAGGATTACACTTTATGTGGCCACGGAGAAGGGCCCGAAGACGCCATTTCAAACAGAAGTCCGAGTCTGTCTGCCAACACCGTGCTGTGTGCTGTAGCTCTTTCCCTCCTGTCGCGTTTGTTTATCTGAGAGTGTGCCAGAGGTCTGGAGGCTCTTGCACGCCTCAGGGATACAAACACTTGTCAGCTTGTGACGCTGCTCAGTTGGGAGTGCCTTTCTCCTTCAGGGCTGGAGGAAACTCAGCTGGAGGCTTGGTCACCTTATCCCAGAGAAGGGTCCCATCCCGGGGGTTTTGTCTGGTCGGCTCACATTGGGCAGGGTCCTTGTGCAGACAAGTCAGAGACCTGAAGTGGGAGCCACCAAACTCAGTGGGAATCAATGACCCCTTAACCCTGGGTTGCACGAAGGACACTTTGTGTGGACACACTGCCCCGGGCCACAGCTGACGGCTGAAGGGCGCATCACCCACAGGACCAGGCTTAACGTCTTCCATCTCCCCTCCGCGCTTTCTCCAGCCTCACCTCCAGGCAGACTTTCTTTTCATTGGCTCCTTATGGGTAGATTCCATGCCTTCCCTCTGCAGTCTTAGGGCCAAAAGGCCACGGACACCCAGTCTTGCCTTTGCAGCAAATGTTTCAGGGAGACAGGGTGGGCTGGTTCAATTCTGTATATCACGCAGAAGACGTGCTCAGGAAGTCACCAGACTAGCAGCTTATCTGCTCATCACTGTTGAGAAGTCCTGACTCAGAGGCCATCACGTAGCCATGGAAAGACCTTCGTCCCTGGCCGAGTGTCCCTGCATGTCCCCAGTCTGAGAGGCCCCTAGAAGCAGGGGATGGGGCTGTTCAAATGTTGACGCTCACAAAGCTGCCTTCGTGAGGGAAGCTCCCTCCCAGCATATGACAAAGCACACGAAAAGGCGTGGGCAGGGGTCTGTGGGCCTTCCTGCATAGGCAGGCCTTCCGATGCTTGTTCAATTTGGCAGGAGAGGGAACCCTGTCTTACTAGGTCGGTTGGATCAGGGATATGAAGTCTGGTTTTTTAAAAATTAATTTATAAAGATTTTTAAAATAGAAACTACTGTAGACACTTACCAAGGTAACAGGAAACCACTTACTTGCCCAGTTTCATGCTGCAGAGGCAATGCGTGTTAGCGTTTCCCACCGTTTTTTTTTTGTGCCGGGATCACACCATGCACATTACTTTGCAACTTGCTTCCTTCCCTCATCCGGAAGACCCTTCCATATTCATTTCCCGGACTGGACCGCCTCTCCAGAATGGACAGACGCGCACCATTTACTTAGCCGACTGCCTTACAGATGGGCATGTAGGTTGCTTCAGGTTTTCATGACCGCAAGCAGCTCTGGAAAAACCCCTTGCACTTACCTATAGATTTTCCTGCTAGTATTCTATAGATCTGCTTCCTAGGAATGGGGCCATGGGTTCAAAGGGCACGTGGATCTGACGTTCGAAGAGAGGACGTCAGCTTGCTCCCCACAAGGGTAGGAAGGAGGTAGAGCGAGAGGCTTTCTGCTGTGCACGACGAGCAGATGGGGAGGAAGCAGTCCTCAGGGTGCAGAGCCTACTGAGTAGCAACGTCCCGCCCATGAGATTCCCTACTAATCTCCATTTGCCACCAACCAGGCCACAGATGGGGAAGTCACGGCCGTGGAGGAGGCACCGGTAAATGCATGTTCCCCTGGATTCAGGCCCTGGGTACACTTTTTTTATTTTTCCTTTTTTTTTGCATTTCTGTGTTTACTCGGCCTTCATTTCAGAAAAGCTACAGCCTGCTTCTGGGGATTGCTTAAGCCCTCTGGGTGTCCTGGTCACTGGTTTGACCCCCACTGATCAGTCCATCACAATGAACCCTGCTTTCTCTGCCATGAGACCCACCATGTCATCGTCTGCGCTCCTCCACGAATCGCCCACCGTCACGTCTGATCACGCTCGGTGCAGGGTGTCTCTGTTTAAAGAGAAAGATGGACAGCTGTCTTCAGCCCTCCTGCTGACTCTCAGAGCCGCCACTTGCACATTTGGTTTCTGTTCGGAGGGAAAGCCACCTGCTGCTCCTTTCTGCCACTTAAAACACACCTTCTTTTCCAGGCCACGGCACTAAACTTTTCCCAGTGGAGCCTCTTGGGACTCACGGACATTCTGTCTCTCACTGTCTCACTTTCCCGTGGGCGCTTCTGGGAATTTTACAAGCGAACTGCCTGGTGGTGTTCAGTGATTGGTCAACATGACTTCGAGCCCTCGGGTTCGGTCTGGGGCCCCAGGGCCGGTTGGACAGTGCCCACGCCACATGGGCCGCCACCTTCCCAAATCCTGGCTGCACTGGCTTGCAAAATTCCCAGCTGCTCTGCCCCCTGTAGCTTCACTAGCCCACGCTGTTGTCCACGTTACCCAGTTGACCTCGGCTTCCTGTTTTTAGGTCACCGAAGAGGCCTATGTCCCAGTGAGTGACATGAACGGCCTGGGATTTAAACCTTTCGACCTGGTCATCCCGTTTGCGGTCAGGAAAGGAGAGATCACCGGTAAGCACTGTCATGAAAGCTGTTTCATTCTCACTCACTCGCCTGGTCGGTGATGGGTGGTGGTCCCACCGGTCCCCCAGACCCTCGTTCCTGATCCCAGCATTCCTGGTTCTTGAGCTTGGGATGGGCCATGGGCCCCTGACCTTGCAGAGCGTGCTGTGTATCCACGTGTGCACCTCTGAGGAGGTGGTCGTGTATAGTTTGCATTATGTCGTCGAGAGAGCTGGGGGTTCTCTCTGGGTGAACAACTACTGTGTTTAGATACTTCAACTGTTGGGTTCCTGTTCCCCCTTTTCCTGCCTCTCTGTCTCCCACTTTCCCAGGGCGGTGTAGACACGGGTCTGTGGTGCAGTCACTTTCTCTGCCAGCCGCCTCTGACTGCTGGCTTCTCTTTGGGTTGAGGCTCTGCTGACCCTCTCCTCACAGTCAAGTCCTGTTCAGGGTTCTAACTTGTCTTCAGGGTTCAGGAGTTGCTGCTGCATTTTGTGGGAGCAGAAGGAACAAAATAAAGGGGAAATGCGGGTCTGTTTTCCTGTTCTAGAACTTGGGGGTTTTAGGCAGCAGTGAGTGCTCTTGGATCTAAAAACCTGAACTCGGAAGGCCACCGGTGTGCCGGCTTCTCCGGGGGCAGTCGCTGGTGGCTCATGGCCTGTCTCTGTCTCCCTGTGTCCACAGGAGAGGTCCACATGCCCTCCGGGAAGACAGCCACCCCCGAGATCGTGGACAACAAGGACGGCACGGTCACCGTCAGATACGCCCCCACGGAGGTGGGGCTCCATGAGATGCACATCAAGTACATGGGCAGCCACATCCCCGGTGAGTCGGGCTCCGCGCACGCCCTGCGGGGCTCCGGGACTCGGGAGCCAGGGCTTCTGGGAGGTTTACTGACTGGCAGGTTGAGGAATGTAGTGTCGGTGTCCCTGTGAACCCTAACAGCCTGTGACCCCAGCAGATGTAGCTAATTTCCAGGAGAGATGGTACATCTAAGTGTCCGGGTCACAGTGCAGGCCCTCGGGGCTGTGATTGTGTGTCTTTGTCATGATGCCGAGTGTGGCCAAAGGATGAGCTGGAAGGAAAATGTGAGGCGCATGGAGGGACTTTCCAGCCTGGCCTGCAGAGCCCTGTGTGGCAGGGGGGTGGGCAGAGGAAGAGGTTGTGAGAAGAGAACAAGCTGCCTTCTTTATTTTTTTAAATGTATTTTTTATTGATTTCCGAGAGGAAGGGAGAGGGAGAGAGATAGAAACTTCAACAATGAGGGAGAATTATTGATCAGCTGTCTCCTGCAATCCCCACAGTAGGGATCGAGCCCACAGCCTAGGCATGTGCCTGACCGGGAATCGAACCACAATGTCCAGGTTCATAGTTTGACACTCACTCACTGAGCCACACTGGCTAGGCTAAGCTGCCCCCTTGTCACACTGCCCTTGACGAGGAAAACCAGCTCAGGTTTCCGTGTCCACCAACGAGCACTGTGTTATTCCTGCTCTTTTTCTTAAAAATTCCTTAAATGCATCTCCTTTTTTATTTTTTAAATATATTTTATTGATTTTTATAGAGAGGAAGGGAGAGAGATAGAGAGTTAGAAACATGGATGAGAGAGAAACATGGATCAGCTGCCTCTTGCAACACCCCCTACTGGGGATATGCCTACAACCAAGGTACATGCCCTTGACCGGAATCGAACCTGGGACCTTTCAGTCCACAGGGTGATGCACTATCCACTGAGCCAAACTGGTTAGGGCTCGTCTCCTTTTTCAAAATTTAATATTTTGAGTAGGCCACCTACACATCGTTTAGAAGATGATGTGGAGAAAGGTTTCCTTCCCACCCATCATAACCTGACTGTTAATTTTTTAGGTTGGATTTCAGAATATGTTGAAGACCCTACAAGCAAACAGGAAAATTGATTTCTAATCCTGCCTCCTTTTTGACATCAATAGTAGCATCCTCTACACATTATTGTGTCCTTTTTATCTAACAGTGTATGCAGGAGAGCTGTGCACATGCAAACGATAGCGCATCTTCAGAGCGCCCGCCCATTGGCTGGGCCGTGGCACGTTTAACCACTGCCCCCTTGGAGGACAGTTAGCCCCTTCCACCTTTTGCCACCGTGCATAGCCTTTCCCGCGCAGCACGTCACACCGGCGAAGGCGGACCTGTGAGAAGTGGTTCTGTGGGGCGGAATTTCTGGCCACAGGGACAGGCATCCATCACGTTGCTAGAACTTGCCAAGTTCCCTTTCACTGGGGCTCTTCCGGTTCCCACGCACACCGGCCATGGAGGAGAGGGCGCCTGCTTTTCCACAGATGGGCCAATGGAGTATGCTACCCGGTTTTTGGATCTTCTCCAAACCGATAGTTGCAAAAGCAGTATCTCAGTATTGCTTCATTGGCATTGCTCTTGTGATGAGATTGAGAGCAGCTTTCTGTATGTTTACGTGCCATTTGTATTTCTTTTTCTGTGAACTGGACGTTGGTATCCATGGCCTGGTTTCTCTGTTTGGTTTTTGGCCTTTGTGGTACCCGTTTCTGGGAGCAATTTCAATCCTGGAGAGGTTAGCCGTTGGTGATAGGAATTGCAAATACTTCTCCCAGTTGGATGTTTGCTTTAGTTTATGGGTATATCTGGGCATAATATTTGTTCAAAGCAACAATGTGTTATCTGCTTCTATTTAAATTCCTCAAAGATGCAGATGTAGAGAAAGTAAAAAAAAAAAAAAGTCTTTCTCCCTCTTCCTCCTACCTCCCTGCTGGTCTGTGTGTGGATGTTTCTCTTGGTACCTACAAACATGCCTATAATTTTATTCTGTTTTGTTTTTAAAGGAGTGGGATAATGATATTAATATTATGCAGCAACCTGCCCTTTTCTCTTTTTATTGCAACACGTGGATAATCTCTCAAGTTAGTGCGTACAGACAGACTCCCTCATCCTTTAGTGACCTGACAGAAGAGCCCCCTATTGTTCGGCTCTGTGCTTTTCCGAATTTGCATCTGACCACTGTGGTAATGGAAGTGCTTGCTTAGGGCTGGGGGGTGTGCGGTGTGGGGAGGGGGGGAGAGTAGGTAGAGAGGACCACAGTGGGATCAATTCCCATAGTGTGGGGTGGGCTTCTAGGGCCTTACCTTTTGCCTTCCCAAAAGACCTTCCCAGCTGTGTCCCCTCTGGTAGTGCGTCATTTCTTCACATGGTTGGCCGCTCCCTCCTAATTCAGGAGTGGGGAAGGCCCCGCCCATGGCCCACGAAATCGTTTGGTCTGGCCCTCCCAAGGCATCAGGGGTGAGTTCATTAACTGTTTGACCAAACAGAGCAGGCTAATTCTTTACATGGATAATTTTGTGTGGCCCGAGAATGGTGTTCTAATATCCAGATGGCCCTCCGCAGAAAAAAGGCTCCCCACCCCTGTCCTGACTAGTCCCCTGGAGCCAGGCTCCCCTGTTTTATGTAGCGCCCCCTGCAGTCCGGAGCAGCCTTAGGATTGTTTTCCCTGTGTGACCTTGAAGGAGCAATAGGGAGTAGACGCCGTGGGTGTCCTAGGATGGTGATCTTCAGCAGAGGCTCGGTTCGCGTCTTGCCTCTGCCTGGGTGACGCCACACCTGCCTGCCTGCCGTTAGGGGAAGGTCAGCGCCGCTGTGCAAGGTAGGCATCCCCCGCACTGAGTCCGTTCTGTCTGTGTTCTTTGCACACCCAGAGAGCCCGCTCCAGTTCTACGTGAACTACCCCAACAGTGGGAGCGTGTCTGCTTACGGTCCGGGGCTGGTCTACGGCGTGGCCAACAAAACTGCCACCTTCACCATCGTCACCGAGGACGCAGGAGAAGGTACTGTGACATGCGTGCGTGCGGTGATATGCTCTCAGCTTTCCCTTTGAGAATCCAGTGGGCACAACCCCAGGGCAGCTTTTAAAAAGAAGGCTGCTGGGTAGTAGTATTTATCTTTTTTTTTTGTTTCATGTAAATCTCAGGCACAGCTGCTCTGTCTTCCATCCAAAACAGGACTTTTTGAAGTTCCTGGGGTTCTGATTGAAATCAGATTCACGCTGTGAAACGTTTTATGTGATTTGCCTGAAATCTTAAGTGTTTTGGTTGATGACGTTTTTTTGGTTTTGTTCTTTTTGCACATGTACGTGTGTGTCCATGGGACCACATGAGTTATTTGGCTCTGTGTGCGTGTGCATTGTCTTTGTGGAGACTTTAAAATCTGTGATTCTAATGGTATCGCCACATGGCCTCTAGTCTGACCAGCGTGGCCGTGTGTGTGACACTTACATGTGTGTGGTTGACGTGCAGGGCTCCGGCCCGTTCTCGTCTGCACATTCCAAAGAGCAGTGGCGGGAGACGGGGATTCCTTCAGTCCTTTCCCTGGTGACTTCGGGGCCAGCATCTGGTCCTCCCTTCACCAGGAGAAGTGAAGGATTCAGAGGCGGAGTGTTGTGCCATAGTCCCTTAGTTCTGACCTACGCCCCTGACCTGCGGCTCGCGTGGCTGTGCCAGCCTGGCGCTCCCGACCTCAGGGCTGCCCCGGATGAGTTGCTGTCCCTGTGGAAACAAGCAAACACTCCCTGATGACCCTCCCTCCCCACTCCCATTCTCAGGGGGTCTGGACTTGGCTATCGAGGGGCCCTCCAAGGCTGAAATCAGCTGCATTGACAACAAAGATGGGACGTGCACAGTGACCTATCTGCCCACCCTGCCGGGAGACTACAGCATCCTGGTCAAGTACAATGACAAGCACATCCCCGGCAGCCCCTTCACCGCCAAGATCACAGGTAGGGTTGCCTGACCTGCCGGGGGCTTCCTCCTGGGAGGCCTGGCCACCCTGGCAGCCTGTCTCCGCAACAGACCAGGGGCAACAAGTGAGGTGCCTGGGTTTTTAGGGTTCACAGAGACTCCCTGGGGAGAAACTGGGGTGCAAGGCTAATTCCCCCCTTAGCTGGTAATCCAGGGAAAAGCACTCACATGTGGAGGGCAATCATTTTGTCCAGTCTGACTCCTGCGTGCACACGGAAGGTGCCCAGATAGAGACATTCAAATAACACTTACGGCACGAATAGGTGAGCTCACTGATGCCCTCTGCATCACTGCTGGGTAATTATTCTGCCACTTTACCGATGGGAAAGTGGAGGCGTGGAGAGAGAGTGCTCAGCCAAGTTTCCATGTGGGTATTGTAGGGTGCAGGTTGAGGTTATCTGTCTCAAAGGCCTCTGCTCACCTGTGCGCTCGCTGTGCTGGGATCCTGCGCTCGGGGGGTGGGGGTGGGGGGGTCATACAGAAGATGCTCAGGACAAAGTTCTTGCCCTGAGTCGTTCAGGCCTGTGCAGAGCAGGATGAGGGTTCACCTGGGAAATGCCCCAGGGGGTGGCAAGCAGATGGCAGATGCCTTGCCCGGCAAAAGCTCCTTTAAGAAGTGGTCTGTGGAGACTCGGACTCCAGCTCCTGCCAGCGTCTGGCCTTCCCTTCACCAGGCCCAAGCAGAAGTCATTCGTTGTGGATTAGGTCCACGAGGCACATTTTCTCACTTAAGTCCGGGTAACTGCTTCGGGCTGTTCCTCTGTAAAAGGCATGTGGGGTGAAGGCTCCAGAGAGCGGGTCCCCACGCGTGACGGGCCGTGCGTGGGGGGGTGTTTCCCAGATGACAGCCGGCGGTGCTCTCAAGTGAAGCTGGGCTCTGCCGCCGACTTTCTGCTGGACATCAGCGAGACCGACCTCAGCACGCTGACGGCCAGCATCAAGGCCCCGTCCGGCCGCGACGAGCCCTGCCTCCTGAAGAGGCTGCCCAACAACCACATCGGTGAGCCCGGCTGCCTTCCGGACTGGCTGGGACCCTCTGGTGGGAGACGGGGATCCCTTGGGTCCTTCCTGGGGAAGTATCACACGCCGCGGAGTGTGATACGATGAACCTGCTGGGTCACATGAGTGCATTTCCGTGTTGACCACCCTGGCATACACTCTGGGGTAGCCTGGAAGTCTGGGAGCCATACTTCCATTCCTGCGAGTGTGCCTGCCTCCCTGCTCCCCTCCTTCATCCCCTCTCCCTCCTCTTACAAACCCTGGTGTGTGCCCGGTCCAGGCATCTCCTTCATCCCCCGGGAGGTGGGGGAACACCTGGTCAGCATCAAGAAGAATGGCAACCACGTGGCCAACAGTCCCGTGTCCATCATGGTGGTCCAGTCCGAGATCGGGGACGCCCGCAGAGCCAAAGTCTACGGCCGAGGCCTGTCCGAAGGCCGCACTTTCGAGATGTCGGAGTTCATCGTGGACACGAGAGATGCAGGTCTGTGGCTGGTCCCAGGCGAAAGGCCCGGGGCTGTTTGCTCAAGCGTCTTCATGTTTTCATCCTGTCAACCCCCTTTTCTTTCCGAGCATCCTCCAGACTGTCTGTCCTTCTCCCTGCACTTAGCACGGAAGCCCCATGACCCTGGGGAGGTGGGTGTTGTCTTGTTTTCTAAGTGAAGAACCTGAGGCTCACAGGGGTCAGCAGCCCTCTGCTTCTGGCATTTGAACCCAGAGCCACTACAACTCCCAGGTCTCTCTCTCTCTTGTCATCTGTACTCCCAACCCTGCTCTCAGCTCCCGGGTCTCCTGGACTCCTCCCCAGCGCAGGCTGTTGGGCCAGCTGGCCAGGCCCGCGTCCCGCTCACGGTGCTTCCGTGGAAATGATGAATCTCTTCCTGTTTCCTCTCTGAGATGGTTTGAAGTAGCCCGGGCCTCCCCAACCCAGTGCCACAGCCAGCGCCTTCCTTATCCACCTTCTTGAGTGATGGCTGAATCTAGACAAAGCCATAGTCCTGGGGCAATGGCTGGCAAACTCATTCGTCAACAGAGCCAAATATCAGTGGTACAACAATTGAAATTTCTTTTGAGAGCCAATTTTTTTAAACTTCTTCTAAAGCCACTTCTTCAAAATAGACTGGCCGAGGCTGTCGTATTTTGTGGAAGAGCCACACTCAAGGGGCCAAAGAGCCGCATGTGGCTCGCGAGCCGCAGTTTGCCGGCCACAGTCCTGGAGGAAAGGGCTAGACAATTTCTGGTCCTAACGGGCAGATCCTCATGTTGTTCACCTTCATATCTGCTGTCTTCGTGGTCCCCGGGCTGGAGACCCAGGGCAGCTTGAAAATTCAAATGTTCAGGCCTGTGGCTGGCCAGAGCCCTCGAGGCAGCGCATGCCCTTCTTAGAGGCAGTGTTTTCCCCAGTGGGCTCTGCAGGGCAGTGCTCCGAGCGGCAGTAGGACATCACCCTCCAGGAAATGGTTCTGTGGTCAGAGTCCCGCTCAGCAGGCTATTCCACTGCAGGACCTCTCAGAGCCTTGCACCGGCTCCTCTGTCGGCGGCCTGTCTGTAGCAGGGGTCACCCTGCTTTTTTTTGCTCTCTGGAATTGGCAGTATGCGTTTCCGGGGTCAGATGTCCGTTCTGCATGCACCGAGCTCCCCCTTCCCAACGAGTTGCTGTCCAAACAGCCCCTGGCTCCTGTGTTGCAGGTTATGGCGGCATTTCTCTGGCGGTGGAAGGCCCCAGCAAAGTAGACATCCAGACAGAGGACCTGGAGGACGGCACCTGCAAGGTCTCCTACTTCCCCACCGTGCCCGGGGTCTACATCGTCTCGACCAAGTTCGCCGACGAGCACGTGCCAGGTGCGCGCGGCCCGCTCCGTCCCCTCTGCCCGCTGCTCGAGTTCTCTGTGGGGGCTGTGCCTCGGGCTCCGGGTTGCTCATGGAGCTCTCTCTGTTCTTGCAGGGAGCCCGTTCACCGTGAAGATCAGTGGGGAGGGGAGAGTGAAGGAGAGCATCACCCGCACCAGCCGAGCCCCATCCGTGGCCACTGTCGGGAGCATCTGCGACCTGAACCTGAAAATCCCAGGTGAGCGCGAGGGGCTCATGGGTCAGGGCAGAGGGGCCATTGGAAGACAAGTCCACTATGGGCGACTCGTTTTTTAAATTTCAGTTATAATAGTGTTTTTAATACGTGTTTTCACAGGAGCCCGTTCAGGAAACATGAATCTGTTGACCTGCTATCTTTTTCTTATTCCAAATGAAAATAGTTTTGTGGCATCACCTGGGGGAGATAGATACGCTCTTAGATTGTTCATTTAGTGTTTGCCGAATAGAATGACCCCAGTGAGCGATCTGGCCTTGCTGATGCCAGTGTCTGGGAGTTTTAGAGAGGTGTCAGCCCAGCAGCACCTTCTAAGGCCCATTCGTCTCCTTCGTTCCTAAAACTGGAATGAGGGCTGGGATGCAGGCCTGGTGGGGGTGGGAGGGAAGAGGCACACCTAGCCCTTTGGCCATAAGTTGTTCCTCACGGGGCCAAATTAGTCAGCCAATCGCCACAGTCTTTCTGAAATGGGACCCAGGGTCGTTCCGTAAGGAAATCCCCCAAAAGAGCCGTCACCGAGTGCAGGAAGGCGCCGAGGCTCCTCTGCCCGCAGCTGGCACATGCTGAGCCTCCAGCTGCCCAGGTTCTGTGGACGGAACAGCTGACCCTCACATCCTGGTCTGGCGAGGGGTGCCCATCTTTCCTAATACCCTGTTTCCCAGGGGATGTCTTATCTTTCCATGTGCTAGGTCTTATTTTCGGAGGATGTCTTATTTTCAGGGAAACACGGTATGTTGCATGTCTTTGCTCTGCCCTCTGAGTGACACTTGATGGGTTTCTGTGCAGATGCCAGTCCCGTGTGACTGTGGTAACAGCCTCATTACGTTGGTGTCAGACAGGACCACTGGAACAGGGCTGGGTCGTGACCATAAGGTTCCTCGTTAATGACTCCATGGGATTGCATTTCATGTCTGGGTGCCCCACCCTTCCCTGGGTCTCCTCATGTCACACGCTCTCAGCGTCTGGGCCTCCAGCCCTGTATTCAGTGGGCTGTGCCAGCCTCGGTCACCTCGGTGGGCCTGTGGGGCCGGCGTGTCTCAGATGCTGCTACGCCTTGGCAGCTGCCCTCCAGAACGTGAATCGGTGCCCGTTTCTGTTTCTTACCAGCGCTGGGCACAAAAGTTCACGCTCACGTGGATCAATCCGAGGGAAAAATACGGTGTCTGTGTTCAGTTTCTTTTTTTCTTTTCTTTTTAAAACTATACTTTATTGATTTTTTTTTTTACAGAGAGGAAAGGAGAGGGATAGAGAGTTACAAACATGGATGAGAGAGAAACATTGATCAGTTGCCTCCTGCACACCCACCACTGGGGATGTGCCCGCAACCAAGGTACATGCCCTTGACCGGAATCGAACCTGGGACCCTTCAGTCCGCAGGCCGATGCTCTTCCACTGAGTCAAACCGGTTTCTGCACATTATTATTTTTTAATATTGCTTATTGATTTCTGAGAGGAAGGGAGAGGGAGAGAGAGAGAAAAACATCCATGATGAGAGAGACTCACTGATCGGCTGTATCCTGCACACCCCCTCCTGGGAATCGAGCCTGCAACCTGGGCATGTGCCTTTAGCCAGAACTGAACCTGGGACCCTTCAGTCCGCAGGCCGACGCTCTATCCACTGAGCCAACCCGGCTAGGGCTGTGTTCAGGTTCACTTCCCTGCTCGCCGGTGAAGGGACGTCTTCTTTGCTTTAACGCCTCACTTTACACAGGACTTCCTCTCCCTTCCTCTGCCTCTCGGCGTCTTGTCTCCGTGCGATGTGGACAGTTCCCTTTCTCTTCAGGCTTTTCTGGCTCCCGATGCCTCCTCTTACCCTTCCCAGTGACTTGGCCCCGGAGCGCTCGCTGAGACTCCCTTTCCCCCTCGGTGCCCAAATGATTCTCTCCCGTCTGTTAGAACGGAGGATGGCTCACCAGCTTCCAGGTGTCCGTGGACCCAGGCCGAGTGGGGGCACCTGGCCCTCAGCCTCCCTTCCTTTCTCTGTCCTCAGGGCTCACAGTCCTGCGCTGCTCAGCCCCGACCCCGCAGGGCTGGAGGGTGCAGCTCCCATGGCTCTAGGTGATGGCATTGCTCGGTCACCAGCATGTGGCGTGCCTGGGTGCTCCCCGCCGGTGCAGGCACAGCCTTGGGCGTGGCACAAGCCCCTCGGACGGAGCAGATGTGGCCCGCTTCGCGGGGTGGGTGACCCGACGCGTGGCTGTTCTGCAGCGTGGCGTCTGGTCTCTGGTTTGCTCGGAGCCCTGCTCACGCGTGGTTCCCCCTTGGCTGCTGGGACCGACGCATGTTCGTTCGCCTTTTCCTTTAAACGCATGTCGTCTTGTTGCCGAGAAGGGATGCCGAGGCTCCTTTCGAGGAAGGGATGGGGCACCGCTTGTGTTTTCTGCCCCTGTGAGCATGACGGTGGCCACGTGTCGCCCCGAGCTTAGAGCCATCTGAGCCGTCTTAGTTTTTATATGTCTGTGCAGTAACTGTCCGCTCAGGTCCTGGTTTGAAACTGATGTGTGGCTTTCCCTCCAGCCAGGAAGGCTGTGCACATGCCCACCGCCCCTAGAATATTCTTGGCACTGGTGCCTGGAAGGGCCTGGCTCTTTCCTTGCTGGCCACCGTCTCCCAGGGACTTAAGGGAGACAGGAGGGCCGATGTCCAGACTGTGCACCCAGCACCCCATGCAGCACCCACTTCGCCCTCCGCTGCTCACCCTGCACGTCCTGCTCTGCGGGGCCCGCACTCTGACCCTTCCCCTGTGTCCCCCGCCCCTCGCTCCCTTCCAGAAATCAACAGCAGCGACATGTCGGCCCACGTCACCAGCCCCTCCGGCCGCGTCACCGAGGCGGAGATTGTGCCCGTGGGGAAGAACTCGCACTGTGTCCGGTTCGTGCCCCAGGAGATGGGCGTGCACACGGTCAGCGTCAAGTACCGCGGCCAGCACGTGACCGGCAGCCCCTTCCAGTTCACCGTGGGGCCGCTGGGCGAGGGCGGCGCCCACAAGGTGCGGGCAGGCGGCCCCGGCCTGGAGAGGGGAGAAGCAGGTGTCCCAGGTGAGCGACGGGCAGGCTTCTTCCTGGAGGACAGTCAGGGCTCGGCCGCTGCGGTGAGCACCCTGCCCTCCTCGCCCCGTTCTCAGGAGAAGACTGTGTGTGAGAGAGTCTGATGGGTGGTATCAAGGGGCAGTCTTTTTTTCTTTTTTTAAAAAATATATTTTATTGATTTTTTTTTACAGAGAGGAAGAGAGAGGGGTAGAGAGTTAGAAACAACGATGAGAGAGAAACATTGATCAGCTGCCTCTTGCACACCCCCTACTGGGGATGTGCCCGCAACCAAGGTACATGCCCTTGACCGGAATCGAACCTGGGACCTTTCAGTCCGCAGGCCGACGCTCTATCCACTGAGCCAAACCGGTTTCAGCTCAAGGGGCATTCTTGACAACAAGGCTTCTCTGGCTCAGTTCCTTCGGCCTCTGCTTGTTGGCCCCGTGGGCAGCCCGTAATGACAGGAGCCTGTGATCGGTGACTGTGTGTGGTGCGCCTTGGAGCAGAGGGGAGCAGAGAATGAGGCTGTTTACCGAGCATCCTGCAGGGCTGGTGCTCATGGGACACACTAGGTTCCTGCAAAACCCACCGTGAAGGTGCCTTCGCGTGGTGGATGCTGGCGGAGAGGCCTGTGGGGACAAAACTAAACTTCCTCCTCTCCCTCTGGCTTGGCGTGGGTGTATCCACAAGACGCCCACGGACTTCGTGTGATTGTGGGTGGGACCTAGGAAGCACGCAGCGCCTGTGCTTGGGTGCTGCTGGGGTCGGGGAGAGAAGAGGCCTGGAGTAAGAGTGACCAGCACGGCAGGGTTGGGCAGGAGGGGCCTCGGCCACAGGCCGCCACTCACCAGGTGTCCCTCTGTCTCAGCCGAGTTCAGCATCTGGACCCGGGAGGCAGGCGCGGGAGGCCTCTCCATCGCCGTGGAAGGCCCCAGCAAGGCTGAGATTACCTTCGATGACCACAAAAACGGGTCGTGCGGTGTGTCTTACATTGCCCAAGAGCCGGGTATGTATTCAGGAGCCGACTCCAGGCTTTGCTTTGATTGGGGGTGGCTCGGGGGTGAGGAACAGAAACCCATGGAGCGAGCTCGAGTGGAAGGAATTGATCTCTATGGGCCCGTGGGGCGCTGCCTAGAGATCCAGGGCAGGAAATGCAGCCAGGCCTCCCGGGGGCAGGAATTCTCGTTCTCATTGTCTGTCTGCCTCCGTCAGCCTGTCTGCTTCGGGCTTCATTCAGCTGCTTCGTTCTTCCAATTGACCAGCCTCTGTGCCCAACCTCAGCCACTGGCTTTTGGGACTGCCCAGAAGAGGGGTTTTACCTGGTATCTGCCCTCTCTGGAGCAGGGTCCTCTGCATTTTGTACCAGGAACCCCTCTGGCATCTAAAGCCTATGGGGACATCTTTTTAAAACACATAATACAAATTACATATTATATATAAAAGGCTAAGCTACCATCCAGCAGGCCGGCACCGGTAGCAATGACCACCAGGGGGCAGACGTTCTGACTGGTAGCTATGATTCGCACTGACCACCAGGGGGCAGACACTCAATGCAGGAGCTGCCGAGCTGTGGTGACTTGGCAGCCACAGTTCTTAGCTGACGCACCTGGAACCAGAGAGGAGGGAGCCTGATTCTGGGGTGCCTCACCTGAGAACCGCCCTCTCGCAATCCGGGAGCCCTCGGGGGATGTTGGAGAGCCGGTTTTGGCCTGATCCCCGCAGGCCAGGCTGAGGAACCCCACCTGCTGGAGGGACCCCGCTTACTCCACAGACACCCTTTGAGCTGCGGGAGGTTGGCTCCAGTTCATGTCTGGCCCTTCTTGCCCCGTCCTTACCTGCCAACCACCTTCTAACTAATTTCCTTTGAATGTGCACAAATTCGTGCACCAGGGCACTAGTTGGGTTATAATAAAAAGCATTAAATGCAGTTATCGAAGTTGGTTTGGCTCAGTGGTAGAGCGTCGGTCTGCGGACTGAAAGTCCCAGATTCGATTCCAGTCAAGGGCATGTACCGTGCTTGTGGGCACATCCCCGGTAGGGGGTGTGCAAGAGGCAGCTGGTCAATGTTTCTCTCTCATCGGCGTTTCTAGCTCTCTATCTCTCTCCCTTTCTCTCTGTTAAAAATCAATAAAATATATTTTTTTAAAAATGAAAATGCAGTTATCTGAATCTTACAGGAACAAATATGTAATGTATCAAGGTATGCATGTCTTCATTGATACATTAAACCTAAAATTGGGTGACTACCCTAATTTCAAAAAAAAATTGGGTGACTACCTTAAATTTCAAAATAGTGATGAGTATAAATGAGGTGTCAAGGTATATGTAAAACTGTAAAATGATATGAAAGTATCTGTGAACTTCGGTGACAAAGTCACAAGTACTTTTAAAAATATATATATTTTTATTGATTTCAAAGAAGAGAAAGGTAGAAACATCAAGGATGGGAGGAAATCATTGATCAGCTACTCCTGCATGCCCCCCCACTGGGAATTGAGCCCACAATCTGGGCATGTGCCCGGCTCAGGAGTCGATTCGTGACCTCCTGGTTTATAGGTTGACGTTCAACCACTGAGCCACGCCGGCTGGGCTGTCACAAGTACTTTTAATAAACTGTGGTTTCCTGTCAACATATCTAAAGAAAGAAACTGCCAAATATCAGCTAGAAATATCAGCCAGAGAGGGCAGATATCAGGTCGGAAACTGCGGCACACAAGCCACATGAGGCTCTTTGGCCCCTTGAGTGTGGCTCTTCCACAAAATACCACGGCCTGGGCGAGTCTATTTTGAAGAAGTGGCTTTAGAAGAAGTTTAAGTTTTAAAAAAAAAATTGGCTCTCAAAAGAAATTTCAATCGCTGTCCTGTTGATATTTGTCTCTGTTGACTGACAGGTTTGCCGACCAACTGAGCTAGAGGTTTAGTGAAAGATGTAATTTTTTTCCCACTCAAGTCTTTATGGATCTCCTGCGTTCTATACAGAGGCCCTTTGGGGGACCCTGAGGACTCAAGCTCAGAATCTCTGCCCTTTCCCAATTAAGAAAATCACGTTCGCCCTGCCTGAGCCAGGCAGCCCGCCCTGACCCGAGGGGCGAGGCATGGAGGAGGGCAGGGTCTCCTTGAGGCATTGTCACAGGAAACCTCCCTGCGCCCGCCTTCCTGAATCTCTGCGACGATGGGACTTTCTTGTCCCCACAGGTAACTACGAGGTGTCTATCAAGTTTAACGACGAGCACATCCCCGAGAGCCCCTACCTGGTGCCGGTCATCGCGCCCTCGGACGACGCCCGCCGCCTCACTGTTATGAGCCTTCAGGTGAGACGCAAGGAAGCATCCATGTCCTTGGCCACAGGCCAGCCGGTGGGACCCTGGACTCCTGAGGCCGCTTCAATCCCCTCAGTGTGAGGATCCCAGATGTTTCCCATTGCAGGGAAGCCTTCTCTCGGCAGAGTCAGCTTCCCCCCATGGTTAGGGCAGGAGACAGTTGAGGGAACAAAACAGAGCCACAGTCCGTAAAGCACCTCAGTGCTTGGGGACAAGTTTGTTTTTTAAATATTTATTCAAGAGAAACAAAGGAGGCCCCGTTTATAGTTGGTTGAGGGCTAAGGAGAGCTTTCAAAACAGAGCTAACCGCCCAGTGATGTGCAGGCTTCTTTTTCCTCAAGGAAGTCAATTGTGTTTTATTTTATTACGATGGTTTATTTATAGTAAGTGTGATAGGCACTTTGCTAAGAACTTGGTCAGTGTTACCTTACGAAATCCTTTCAACACCTGGTGAGTGGGCTTCTCTTGGCCCCATTTTAAAGACAGAAAAACTGAGGTACCGAGAGCTTATGGCTACCAGAAATCAGCTCTATGGTTCTAGCACATGTGGTCTTAACGGTGGCCTCCTCAATTGCATTGTGGCCGGTGGCTGCATAGTCCAACCTATTGCACTGCCAGGAAATGCAACTTTTCTCCTGTCTAAACAGGTTCACTGAATCCAAGGTTGCATAGAGGCTCACAGCCAAACAAAGAACCAGTGGGAGATGCTTTGCATCTCTGCTCAGGACCCTGAAAAATAATCAGGTGCCTGAACTCGGAGTAGCAGTTCCATTGTGCAGTAGCACCAGAATCTCTCAAGTATGATTTCTGGCTACGGGGCCTTCTAAATAGCCTTCCTTCCACATCCCCCTCGTTCTTGAAAATCCTGGGCCGATTAAAACCCAGTCTCAGATGGGCAATACCACAAGATCTAGTTCCTGCACGTGGTTTACTTTTGAGATCTCCCACCTCCTCCCGAGGGGACGTGGTATGGCTAGCTGCTCCCCCCGCAGCCAGGACCACCGTCCGCAGATTGCAGAGGCCTCACTGGAGAGCACCGGGGCGCCCACTGGCCGCTGTGGTGCAGATGTTTTTCTTGTGTTTCATCTAAAGGCTTCTTAACAGACGTTCCTTTGGTGCCGGCCCAGCTGAAGCCTCGGGAGGGAGGTAAACCCGGCGCTTGTTGAGGGCAGACAGCTGCCTTCGTGCCCCTGGGAGACTTCTTTCGGATCTTCCGAGGCGTTTATCTCCCTCTTGAGGGTTTAGCGGCAGGCCGATTCAGGTAAGGTAATTGCTTCTGTCCAAAGGGAGCTGATGTGCAGAAATCCTCTCCCGCCAGCTCCTCTGTGGAGTCCTCTCATCACCGTTGGGTCGTAAATATTTAAATACGTTCGCAGCAGGCTGTGTATCCGGCAGGCGGGGGGCCACGGGCGGGCGGGTCAGCTTCGTCCCTGTTCCTCCCGGGTCACTTGATGCCGAGCGATACGTAAATTATTTATCGGAGATTTACTGGAGGCCTGCACAGCAACATCTGGGCCTGGTTAGGGGAGGGAGGGAGAGAGGCACGTATTGTTTTGTCTTGCTTTGGAGGCTTTTTAGAAAATTGGAGTCGGCTGGCATTTTGTGCAGGAGGAGGGGGTGGAGGGATGGGGCTGGCCTGGCGATCAAAGACTCCGTAATTGTGAGTTTGGTCTGTAACCCCCGTCTGTGAACTGTGAGGGCTGTGCAGTCTAATAGAACTCTCTGAAACAGTGGAAATGCCTCATCTTCTCTGTGCCACTAGCTAGTATAACTGAGGAACAGCATTGTACTTATTTAATTTTAATTAATTTAAATCTAAATATACAGTGATGTAGCCACATGTGGCCAGTGGCTACTGAATGAGGCAGCCCAGTTTTAGAGCCTCTCGTCTAAGACGCGGGCCCCGGGACCTACAGCCTCAGCATCGCCTGGGAACTTACTAGAATCCTAGAAGCCCAGGCCCCACCCCAGGCCCGGAATCAGGATGTGCCTTTTAACAAGGCCCCGGGTGCTCAGGCTGCACATTAAGTGTGAATCCTGCTGCGTTAGAGTCACCTGAGCAGTGGCTGCCCAACCGAGTTTACCTCAAAGCTGCTGACTTGTAAAATGTTGCTGTTCAGGATTGGCTGATCTTAAAACACCTTAAGCACCTAAACTTCTAATCCCTTCCTCCCAGAGAGACTATAATTCCCCAGAAAACATGGAAAGTGAAATGGACCCAGTAACTAGCACCAGTTATACTTGTCTGTCAGTCAGTCTGTCTGTCTGTCTCTCTCGCTCTCTTTCTCTCTCTTTTTTAAGGGGATATACAACTTCAATATGCATATTTTTTAAACATATTTTTGTTGTTGATAGTGTTATAGATATCTTCAGCACCCTCCTTATCCCTACCTTCCCAGCCCCATCTCCACTACCCTATTGTCTGTGTCCGTGGGCTGTGCATGTAGGTATGTACGTTCTTTGGTTTATCTCTTCTCGTCCCCCCATCCCCTCAGCGAAGTATGTCAGTCTGTTCCAGGCCTCCCTGCTTTGGGTCTTTGTTGGCCAGTTCATTTTGAAAAAAATGCATATTGATAGTCAATAACCTGACATTTTTGAGCCTTTCTGTAAGGGGGAAGCATTATGCTGAGGACTTGGAATGCACAACTTCATTTCATCCTCACGGCAGCGCTCTCAGACGGATCTGGTTATGACGCACATTTTACACGAGAGGTGACTGAGGCTAAACGAGGTTAGAGGTTAAACGCTGTAGATAGACGTCCGTGAAATGAGAGCGGCCCAGGTTCTGCCGTTGGTCCCTGTGTGGTGCTGAGGGCCCCGCTTACACATTTACAAGTTTATTAAAAGTCCCTCCATGCCTACCTTCCAGGTGAAAAATAGCAGCGACATAGAACGTTGTTCGCATTACTGAGTGTCTGGTTTTGTCAGCCACCAGGCTCCTCCTAAAAGGAGGGCCTTCAGTTTTAGTCTTTTTATTTTTATTTATTTATTTTTTTTGATGACCCCTTTGAGATGCTGAAACAACGGTCCTGTTGATCAGGATGTCTCAAGTCTTCAAACCCGTAACCTCTTCCAGATGGTTTGGGCGCCAGACGCACGCCGCCGTGCACGTCTCTGCTCTCTTACATTCAGCGCTGGAAATGTGGGCCGCACCACCGCTGCTGTGGGATGTGGCTAATGTGCGGGGCCTGTTTGCAGAAGGCCTGTCCCCAGAGTCCCGGTCCGGGTCAGTGTGAGCCGCTAAACAAGGGAGCCGAAAGCCGTAATGTTGTCTGATGTGTTAAATTCTCAGGAATCGGGATTAAAGGTTAACCAGCCAGCCTCCTTTGCTATAAGGCTGAATGGGGCAAAAGGAAAGATCGATGCAAAGGTGCACAGCCCCTCTGGAGCCGTGGAGGAATGCCACGTGTCTGAGCTGGAGCCAGGTAAGCAGTGGGTGGGGTGTGCGGACCCAGCACCAGCATCCTCCCCCCCCCCCCCACCCAGCATGCACTCTGGTGGAGGGCCAGCTGGCCTCACCAAGGCCAGTGAGCCCGCACATTCCCTTTGCTGTTCTTGCCAGACACTGCTTGTAAATTAGGGTGTAAACATTGCCAAGGACAGACAGGGGGACGCTTGGAGATTCAATATCCTCCCTTTTATTCTTGTTTTTGTTCCTGTTCCTTTTCCTCTCTCCCTCCGCCCCCTTTTCCCTCCTCTTTCTCTCTTCCTCTCCCTCTTTTTCTTAAACAAGTATTGCTTTATTTTGTTTATCATATTCTTTTCACATTACAGTCATTGTAATTTTCTCTCATAGTTTAACAAAACCTTACAGATTTTATTATATTGTTGAACTTATGAATAAGTTCACGTGGACCTGACTTCACTCTGAGGAAAAGGTCAATGATGTTCATCTTGAAATTTAAAAGAGAATCTGGTGGTTCAGTACACAGATCTTGTAGCGTAGGAACCAACACCTGAAACCTGTAGGTTCATGTTGACCAATGTCACCCCAATAAATTTAATAAAAAATATTAGAAAAAAAAGAGAGAGAATCTGGGTCTCCAGGATGCTTCACAGGAGGCTTACTCGCCCAAGATCTTGCCTTCTGCCTTGATGTGTGGAATTCCAACGTTTTTTTAAGTCACTTTAATGAGACGTTTGCCAGTAAGCATTCATTGAGTGTCAGACTTGGCAAGACGTGACTCTTGCTCACAAAGAGGAGCTCAGAGTCAGTAAGGACCTGGCCACAGCCTGCAGAGCACGTGAGGACCTGTGTGGTCACCGCTAGCACAGGAGGACTGAGAACCAACTGGTGAAGTTGGTTAGAGCAGGAAAGGGAAGTGAGGTGCCTTGCCAAGGTCAGGAGGGCTCGTCAGAGGAAGTGAACTGACCGTGGGCCCTGATGCACGAGGAAGAACTCTTTGTCGCCGCCCTGATGGGGCATGTGCTGTGGCCCTGCCACTTACAGTGAGGCCAGAGACCAAGGACCCGGGTTAGCATGTAGACGTCTCTCCCTCTGGGCAGAACGGGACAGGGCTGCAAGGAGCCTTAGGAGACACAGTGTGTCTGTGTGGGGGGTGGTGCCCTGGTCAGATCTCTGCTTAAGCCTGGCCACATCCTAGAGAACGTGTTGAGATGTCTGAAAGGCAGAGTGGTTTGTTTGAGAAAACAACATTCATCAGCAGCGTTGGGATGGAGAGGGGGGACTTGAGGCCAGAGAGCTCTAACCTTGGTGACCAGTTTGGCCATAGGGGATGCATGTGAATCAGAAAGGTTACATGTCGCTTGGTGATGGGGTGGAAATAGGGTGCAGCCATGGGTGGGTGAGGCCTTCCAGGGAATTTTTTTTTTTTAATATATTTTATTGATTTTTCACAGAGAGGAAGAGAGAAGGATAGAGAGTTAGAAACATCAATGAGAGAAAATCATCGATCAGCTGCCTCTTGCACACCCCCTACTGGGGATGTGCCCACAACCAAGGTACATGCCCTTGACTGGAATCGAACCCAGGACCTTTCAGTCCCCAGGCCGATGCTCTATCCACTGAGCCAAACCGGTCCCGGCCTTCCTGGGAATTTTGAAGTGTCCCAAAAACATCCAGATAAGGAAGCTCAGGATCGCTAGAGCTATTGGGATTTGGTCAACAAGTGGAGTTAGGTATCTGAGATGGTCAGCATGCCACAGTCAGGATGCTATTGTTTGCAAATTACAGAACGCCCAGCTGAAGCCAGCTCACCCAATAGCGGGGTCTGTTCACTCACATAACTGGAAAATGCAGGGTCCAAGGTGCAGCAGTTTAATCCCGCCGTGCAGCTGCGTCCTCCAGACCCCCAGCTAGCTCTGCTCTCTCTTCTACTTTGTGGGCCTCACTCATCCCCCTGTTGTGGTGACCTTCCTCTTGGTGACAAGATGGCTGCAGAGCCCAGATTTCCCAACCTCACCCCACAGCAGCCACCTCTCCTAAAGAGCCTTTCTCAGAAATCCAAGACACTCCTTTTCCAGAGTCTCCAGCCAACTCCCCCCCGTCTCACCAAACACTGAACACACATGCCAGGTGCTACTTGATGGCTTGGAGAAAGAGGCAACCCTCCCCGAGTCAAAAATCATACCTGATGTGGGGGTGGGACCACCTCCTCTGGAAGCACATTTGCTTTACGGGAGGAGGGGTGGGTACCAGCGAGGGGCTGTTGGGGAAATGCCGTGTGGAAGGGTGGGAATGGGCAGCTGCATGTAGACGTCCATCAGAGGAGAAGTGAAGAGGGCTTGGGTAGAGCTTTGGGGGACAGACATGCTGAAGGGGTGAAGGGTGAGTAGAGGGAGAAAACAGACTGCCTGCATTCCGGGCGAGTTCCTCCAGGAGGAAGGGCTGGTCAGGGGATGCATGATAGCGAGGGTGCTGTTCCGGGTGTCCATTCAGGGGACGGTTACCATGCCCCATTCTGTGACCCAAGCTCCCAGTGAAAAACCTGGCTGTTATTGGGTGGGGGGGGGGGGAAGAGTGGTGTGGGCAAGGCAGTCGCTAGCTTGGAGCTTACCTGCGCAGGATTGGCCCCAGCTGGGACCACACTTTCCCCTTAAGTGGCCAAGCAGAAGGGAGCTTTCGTAAAGGCCATGTTCTCCTGAGGCAGAGGCCACCGAGGAGGAGACAGAACCTGAGATTTGGATGCATCTCCCCGAGGGCTGGCTGAGGACACACAGGCAGGCCCATCTGGCTTTGAAATCCAGCCTCCTGGGCGCCAGGCCTTCAGGACAACCATGGTCTCAGGGAAGATGTGACATTGGCCGCGTCGGGCTGCTTCCCGGCCCGGGTCCTCGCCGCCTCGGTGGTGCCCGCGAGCCCGCTCTCACCTGGTGCCTTCGCTCTCTCCCCCAGATAAGTACGCGGTTCGCTTCATCCCCCACGAGAACGGCGTCCACACGATCGACGTCAAGTTCAACGGGAGCCACGTGGTCGGAAGTCCCTTCAAAGTGCGCGTCGGGGAGCCCGGACAAGCGGGGAACCCGGCCCTGGTGTCCGCCTACGGCGCGGGGCTCGAGGGGGGCATCACAGGTAACACACCGCCTCCCCCTCTCCCTTCAGCTGAGCCGGCTGCGGGGACAGAGCCGGGTGGCAGCCTCCAGGCCGGCGCACCTGTCCCCGGGGACGCTGGGATGAGGTGCACTTCGGAGGCTCTCGAACTCATGGCCGTGTGCTGTGCCCCAGCTGGCTTCCTCTACCAAGTTCCCGGGCCATGGGGCCAGAATGCTGACGAAGGGGGATACGGCCCAGCTCTGATCACTCTGAGGGTTTCTTTGCCCGCGCAGAGTTCATGATGCATGTCACGGGCCCCAAGGGCAGTCCCTCCCCATTCGTGCTTCTCGTGGTCCCCAGGCGCCCAGAAACGCTTTGACTGGCGGTAATGCCTGTCCCGGTCTGTCTCCTCTTTGGACCCTCATGGAGGAGGAGGAAAGTCTGGAACAGTGGAGGAACTCTGAAGCTTTGGGACTTGCTACGATTTATTTCTAATCTTTGCTGCAGATGGGATATTTTTGATTATGAAGAGCTTAGGCAGTGACAAGGTGTATATATAGGCCCAGGCCCCACAGCAGCCACTGGGGTCTCCTGCAGCCGCTGGCAGCCACCTCTGCCTCCTGCTGGGTCACACCTGCTGTGCCGGGGCCCGTGGGCTTCCTCTTGGCTGTTCATGGGCCTGCTCGGGAGCTCTGGTTTCAGACTCTGCATAATAACCTGGCCACTCAGTGTCTATCCTATATAATAAAAGGCTAATATGCAAATTGTCCCCTTGACCAGAAGTTTGACCAGCAGGCAGGCTGCCCAACCACCTCCCCCTGGCCAGGCTGGCCAGACCCCACCCATGCACAAATTCATGCACCGGGCCTCTAATATATATATGTGTGTGCATACACACACACACACACACAAAGTGGCCAGATTATTATGCGTTCAGTGATCACAATAATCTGGCCACTCAGTGTAGAGTGAAACTTAGGCCATCTCTCTGCGGCTCCTTCCTCCCTCCCTCTGGTCCAGGAGGAAACAGGGCTCTCAGCTCAGGGTGACCCTTGGGTTGTCTGTCAGGCTTCATTCTTGGTCACTTGGTTGCTTAGCTGCTGGTTCACCAGAAAGGTAGATACATACTGAGGTTTTGCTTTTATTTTACAGAAGCAACCTTAATGCACATGTTGTTGTACCGCTTGCTTTTTGCTCTTGGCATCCTAAAGAACTGTCCATGTTAAAACATACCCCTCGCCCTCCCCGGTAATGGCTGCAGTTGGTGTTCAGATGGTGACCCCAGAGGTGGGCGTCGGGGGTGTGCAGTGCGTGTCCTTACGGAGAGGCAGGGTGGGAGTGTGTCCAGCTATGCTTCTATGCAGGGAACGTCCAGGCATGGCTCTTGGGACATACTCTACATGTGGGTGTGATTTGGGCCCCAGGAAGGCCGCCCGGTCCCAGTTTCTGGAATCCCTCTTATGTGGGCACTGTGCTTCGTGTTCCCCGATGGGGTGAGTGGGACAGAGCAGACCCGCCTCCCCACGGCGAGGGCATGGGTGGCCTTGGTTACCGGGGAGTGAGAGTCCTAAGTGGCCCAGGCGCCTGCTTAAGGGCAGGAGAGAGTTGGCCCGAGCTGATGTCCCATCTGGGACTCTGCCAAACAGTGGCCTCAGCAGAACCACCCGTGGGGGTGGCACAGGTGCCTCTGGACGCCCCAGGCCCCTCTGGCTCCACACTGAACGCTGGTCCAGCAGCGTGTCCTTTGTGAAAGGCGCGTATGTTTTCACCCTAAGCCGTCCATTTCACAGATGACTCGGAAGGTTGAGTCACTCCCCAAAGCTTACTTAGCGGCAGAGGACTTACTTAGAACCAGGACTTTCCCCCGGATGTCCGGCTCTCCCAGGGGCAGAGACTGAACTGGGGCCCACTCGGCGGCGGTGGTGGTGGGGTCCTAAGCTGGCCCCGGTCTGCCTCGCTGCCGTGGAATGTTTCTGGGCAGCAGTGGATGCATTTGGCCCCTGGCAAGCCACCACCCGCCGTCGGAGCCCAGGTTGGGTCCTCCTGGTACTCGGAGCCACAGCAGGCCGTGGCCCAGGCCCCACAGCAGCCACTGGGGTCTCCTGCAGCCGCTGGCAGCCACCTCTGCCTCCTGCTGGGTCACACCTGCTGTGCCGGGGCCCGTGGGCTTCCTCTTGGCTGTTCACGGGCCTGCTCGGGAGCTCTGGTTTCAGGCTGTGTTTTGCGAGTGCTGGATGCCGCTGAGAGGAGCTGGTCTAGGGAGACTCCCGACCAGGCGGGAGAGGCACAGAGCACGCCTGTTCCAAACCCTGTGTAAATATTGCTCTTGTCCGGGGGAAGGCGTCTTGTTTTTCTAGCCCTCCTGCTCCCCAGCCTTTCCCCGCACCCCCTCCCAGGGTCACACAGCTGCAGTGTGCAGGGAATGAAAAGGTGGCTGTGCTCGCCGCCCGCGGGCCTGGCAGCCTCACCTTCGGGACAAAGCAAACGTCCCTGTGCTTTTACGGGTGGACTCGCTGTATCTTTTGGCTCGAACTTTACATGGCCCGTTCTGCAGGTTTGGGAGCGGGGCGTGGGGAGGATTGGGGAGGGACTGGGCTGCAGAGCGTAGAGGAGCTGGGAGGTAGACCGAGCGGTCTGGGCTGGGAGCACCGTCTCCCGAGGAAATGCTCCAGGAACCCCCGTGTGCGGGAACAGAGAGCCCCTCCCCCCCTTGCCCGCCTTGAAGATGCTTTGCACACGCGTGACCGTCACAGGAACTCAGCTGTGCGTGCGTGCGGGCAGCCGTGATGTTCAGGTTGCCCGTGGTCGGCTGGAGGCGGTGGTGAGGGGGACGCCTGTGTGTGGATCCTTTCTCCAGTCTTCTCTCCTGTTGGAGTTTAAATCTCCTTTGTGCCATTTTCCAGCTGTGTGACTCACTGAGCCTCCCCTTCCTTCCTACAAAATGGGAATGATGAGGGCGCCCCCAGACAGGCTGTCCCAGGTACCGCTGGTCCTGACTCCTTATTTCCCCTTCCCACCGTGTCTTCTCTGCCCTCTTCTCTGCCCTCGGCCTCGCAGCCAGGAGGAGCTGAGTTTTCAGGAATGGAGCAGCTTGTTGAAAAGGGTGGGGCTTCTTCCCGTTAGCCAGGCCTTCTCCAAGCTGAGTATCTCAGCTCCTTCCTAGGATGCTGCCTGAGGGGCTTCGAGGCTGCGCAGTTTAGATACAGGGTTGAAGTGGGGGGCGGGGTGCTGGGTGTGGGAGTGCTGGGACCAGAGCCTCCAGAGCTTCCAGAAACAGCTGGGTTGTGTTTGGGAGTTGCATGATAGCAGCTCCTTTGTTTTATTGATAAGCAGAACAATCATTCTTTCTCTGGCCTAGGAGCTATAATTAAACCAAAATAGTTCCCAGCTGGGACTCGTCCAGGGCCCTAGAGAAAGCACAGCCCTGCCTGGGGCTGCTATGCCAGGGACGGCCCAGGGAGGGCACTGCGGCAGGCGCACAGCTGGTGCCTGGGCCCCCAAGTGGCCCTCACAGAGCAGCTCATCCCCTCTGGACTGGAAAGAGGCCTGGGGCGGGCTGGGGGTGGGGGTGGGGTGGGGTGGGGCTGGGGTGGGGCTGGGGGTGGGGCTGGGTGGGGGCAGGGTGGGAGTGGGTGTGGGGATGCTTCTGCTGGGCCCTGGGCTCAGGCGGGAATGCTGCCATCGCCATCGGTGGCACTCCTGCCCAGCTTGCCTTCTGTTGTACCCGTCTGTGCAGGAGACCCTCAGGGTCCTAGGGCTGCTGCACCAGGGCATCCAAGGCAGCCACACTGTCCACCCAGTGGCCAAGAGCGGGGCCTGGGCTCGGAGCTGCGCAGACTGCTCAGATGCCCCTCTCGGGAGCTCTGACTGGCAGGGGCTGTCCTGTTGGCACCTGCACTGCCATGGGGCTCAGGGAGCCGCGGCTGCTGTGCTGGTCCGTTCCGTTGCCAGTATTATTGTGGCGGAGGCGGCGGCAGATCCCGGGGCTGCTTCGGTCTCCAGGGTGGAGTCTGGGGCAGGGAGCCTGAGAGGAAGGAGGCGGCGCTGACTCCGTGGCTTCTCGGAGTCACACAGAGGAGGCAGGGAAGGTCAGGGGCCCACGCCTCCCCTCGCCCTGGCGCAGAGCGGGGGCAGCGTGTCAGGCTCACGGTGACCCTCGGACCTCCCGCCCATCGCCGCTGCTCGCTGCTCGTGCCCAGAGGAGAGGACAGGGTGTGCTGGTGGGGAAATGTCAGCCCCACCCCTGCCTGGAGTTACCGACCCCAGGGCCCGTGGCGCACTGTGCCAGGAGTTCAAAGCTGGTAGTGGTGGGTTCCCATGCCACCAAGGGATCCTACTCTGAGGGATCCTGTGTGTGCCTCTGCCACTGCTTCAGTACCCCCGGGAGCACTCCCCAAACCCTACCCCACCATTCCTCCAGACCATCCACATGATATTTACTCCCACTTCCTTTCTCCCAGGGAGCCAGTCTGAGTTCTACATCAACACCACCAGAGCGGGGCCAGGCACGCTATCGGTCACCATTGAAGGCCCGTCCAAGGTCAAAATGGATTGCCAGGAAAGCCCAGAAGGGTATAAAGTAATGTACACCCCCATGGCCCCCGGAAACTACCTGATCGGCGTCAAATACGGCGGGCCCAACCACATCGCAGGCAGTCCCTTCAAGGCCAAGGTGACAGGTAACCAGATACCTTTGAAATTATACCCCTCCCCCAATCCTTTGTCAAAATGTCAACAGAGCTGCTTGATCGTAGAAACTGTGGGTGATTTTAAATATTATACGTTGAATCTACTTTGAATCCTGATTGTAGAGAAGTGGTAGGGCCCTGTGTGGCTCAGTTGGTGGTCGATTCCCAATCAGGGCTCATACCCAGGTTGTAGATTCAATCCCCAGTTGGGCCACGTGCCAGAGGCAACTGATTAATTTATCTCTCCCTCTCACTCCTTTCCTCTCTCTCAAAATCAGTTTAAAAAAAGAAATGGTAGGACAGGTAGAGGGGGGTGCATGTTTGAAACTTGCGAAATAACTACCCTGTTTCCCCGAAAATAAGACAGTGTCTTATATTAGTTTTTTTCTCCTAAAATTGTGCCAGGTCTTATTTTCAGGGGATGTCTTGTCTTTCCATGCGCTAGGTCTCATTTTCGGAGGGCGTCTTATTTTTGGGGAAACACAGTAGGTAGAATGGGAGGGCAGAAGTTTAAAAAGGTTGTTAGGTGTATTCTGCCTCTCACAGAAAAAATAAATTTTACATATTTGAAATCTTATGTATTTGTTTAAATCAGAGTTTAAAAAAATCACTCCAATTAATTCACTTTAAAAATAATTAGAAGTCTTTATTAAACTTATAAAAAAAAAATGTGCTTCCTTCAGAACACTGGGAAAAATACCAAACAGTAAAATCACCTCACAGCCTCCATCCAGGTAACCACCATAAGCCTTGTGGTAAATTCCTCCCACGTGTCTCTCTTTCTCCGTCCACTGCTATATAAACAGCATAGGGTCCGTGCAGAAAAACTAAAGATTCAGACAGGAGAACCATCTCCCGTGCAGAGAGAATCCCTTGTGATATTTCATTTGTCCTTGCAGACTTCTACACTGCGCATCCCTGTAAGCTCTACAGTACAGAGTCCACACTGCTACACTGCGGTGTAAGTCTGCAGTGTGAGCTTACAGGGACATGCAGTGTAGCGTCTGTACTGACACGCAGAGTGCTTATGTAAATGGAAACCTATGGCTTCTACTGGGGGGCACGTGGTTCTGTGGGAGCAGTCTACAGGCTGGAACCTAGTTAGAACCTAGGTAGTTGTGTGGGGCATGACTGGGGGGGGGAGGGGGGGGGAGTAAGAATACATTATGGGTGTGAGACGGGGAAGTGGTGGCTTTTGGATCAGGTGTTGGGGGGCGGGGACACTTTCCTCCTCTGGCTGAGAGACACTCTTGATCCGGTCATTCATGCCCTGCTCCCTCCCTCCCATGTCCTAGGCCAGCGTCTGGTCAGCCCCGGCTTGGCCAACGAGACCTCGTCCATCCTGGTGGAGTCGGTGACCAGGTCCTCGACAGAGACCTGCTACAGCGCCATCCCCAAGGCCTCCTCGGACGCCAGCAAGGTCACCTCCAAGGGGGCGGGACTGTCGAAGGCCTTTGTGGGCCAGAAGAGCTCCTTCCTGGTGGACTGCAGCAAAGCTGGTAGGCAGCCTGGCCTGCTCCGGGGGTGGGGCAGCTGGGCACCCGCCTCTGCTTGGGTCTTCCCTGCTCCTCCCGTGGAGCCCAGCCATGTGCAGGTCACCGTGTTCATTACCTTATTCTTATGCTTTTCCTCTGATTTTTTTTTCTGCCCCTAATTGCTTCACACTTACTAGTAATTTGGACCTGGGGTATTTGTCCGGGTGTCAGTAGTGAATTGGCTGGGCTCTGGCATCTAGCACATCTGGCCTGGAAACCTGGCTGGTTCCACCACTCATCCCTTCCTCCTCTCCTCCTTCCCTCCCTCCCTTTCTCTCTCCCTCCCTTCCTCTCTTCCTTCCCTAAATGCCATGTGGCCTTGGGAAATGCACTAAGTCTCTTTCTAAAAGTCAGTTTTCTCTTCTCTAAAATAATAGGAAGAATAATGCCTTCCATAAAGTTCTCATGAGAATAACAGAACAATTACACCTACAGGGAGAGAGCCCTTATCCTGCGCTGAGGGCTTCCCAGAACCCTCCTCCCGGCGAGGCTGGTGCCAGTGCTCCCCTGTTGACGGACAGGGAAGCTGAGACAGGGGGAAGTGGCGTTCCGTGTCCAAGGTCACCCGGCCAGGAAGTGGCAGGGCCAGGATTTGAACCCACAAGTGTTGGGCTCTATGAGGCTGCTCAGAATCCCACACTCCCCCCTCTCAGACCCCAACATCATCCTAGGAGCTCAGCCGGCGGTGACTGGCACCGCTCCGTCGGCTCCCTTCGGGTGCTCTGCCGCCTGGGGCCCAGCCTCCGGAGTAACCGCCTCCCTCTGCCGCTCAGGTTCCAACATGCTGCTGATCGGGGTCCACGGGCCCACCACCCCCTGCGAAGAGGTCTCCATGAAGCACGTGGGCAGCCAGCAGTACAACGTCACCTACGTCGTGAAGGAGCGGGGGGAGTACGTCCTGGCCGTGAAGTGGGGGGAGGAGCACATCCCCGGCAGCCCCTTCCACATCACCGTGCCTTAGGCAAGCCATCAGATCCCGGGACGTGCTTCCGGCGGTTGCTTTTGTTGCCTGTTTGTAACTCGTTTTTTTGTTTTGTTTTGTTTTGTGTTTTTTTTTTTTTTTTTTTTTACACAAAGTCCTCCGGCCTGTGTGTGGGTCTGAAACCCCATCCCGAAAACATTGCCATTCTAAAGTGCCTTCAGAACGAAATCCTAGACTTGACTCCTTGGGGACGCGTTGGGGACACTGGGGACATGCAAGCTCGTATGGTGGGCTGAGCAACGCTGACCTCTGGTGGCTCAGAGGGTCCCCTGCAGACAGACCGAGAACACAGGCAAGGCTGGCGTTAAAAATGGCACCCGGCACCGGCTTAGGAAACCAGACAGAGACGAGCAGCAGGGGAAAAGAGGCTTCTCGCTTAGGTGGTTGTTTAGGGAACTGGATGGCTTACCACCAGCGTCCTCTCCTCCAGCGCCCACAGCACGTGAGAAAAGGCTGCTAACGTGGGCACGTTGTTTTGACCACTCATTCCCACCCCACGCCGCTCTGTGGCCTTTTTACCATGTGGCAGCCGGCCGGTCGGTCTGGAGGGCTCTCGGCCGCCTCTCCCTCACCGGCTGGTAATTGCCCTGCAAAGTCCGACCGTGTGACCGTCTTGGCAGCCATGTGTCTGTTCTTGCTCTTCAAGTCTGGTCAGTCTCGGTCTGGAGGAAGGTCTGCAGCGGCCAGCAGCCCCGGCCCCCCCTCCCCACTTGCCAAAGATCCCTTTTTGTAACCAACACACTAGCCCCTGTGCCTAACACACACTCCAGCCACGTGCCCGTCGGATGAGCTCTCCCAGCACGCTCTCCGTGGCTGTGAAGGGTCCCTGTGTCAGCGGAAGGCTTCGCATGACACAGCCCTCCACACCCAGCCCGGGCTGTCTCGGGGGCCGCTTTTTCTGGAAAATAGTTATAGATAGGAAAGAAGGAATGTCCTGCCAACTTCTGGTCTGATCAGGGACCGTGGAAGGGGGTGGACTGCAGCTTCTCGGCGCTCCTTCGCTGTTTGGCAAAAATAGCAAAAGCTGCGTGCCCGGTGGTGGCTGTGTCTTTGGCCCTGACCCCCTATCATCCAGACGGTGTTTGGAAAGCAACAGGCAGGTGCAAGATTCTACAAACGGGGTGCAAGGCCTTGTGCCCCCCTTCCTGCACCCATGTTTGGGACCAAAGCTAGAGCGTCAGGGGCTGGCTGGCTGCAGGGCCCGCAGTGGAGTGTGGTCGGGGCAGCAGCCCCTCCTGGCTGCTGCCCGGTCCTCAGGAAGTGGCACTGCGGCTGACGTGCCTCTGTGGGCGGGCGGGGCCCAGGTGGGGGCCTGCAGCGAGGGGTGGCAGCTGGGGCCAGTGTTGGCACACGCCCAACGTTCGAAACTGGAGCGGCCTGAAGCCTCAGGTGAAGGGACCACAGGCCTCGTAAACTGGGACAAGGAAGCGAAACTGGAATCAAATGCCGACTGTAAATTGTATCTTATAACTTATTAAATAAAACGTTTGCTCCTTAAAGCGCAGGCTGGTCAATGGCCTGAGTCTGGCCTGCTCCTCCGATCGCTGGCCGGCAGCACACAGGTGAGCTGCTTGTCCTGACCAGGGGCCTGGCCGCCTCTGGCAGGGGGAGGCCCAGCTCCTCCCTGAGCCTCGGTGGGGATTCATCCAGACGGCCCGCCTGAGCGTGCGGGGCACCAGAAAGGGGGGGGGGGGGCTGACCCCCACACAGCTGCCGGAGAGGTTTGCGGGACTTGCCGTGAGGAAGAGCCCCACATAGGAAACCCACCGAGGTGAAGGCTGTGGTTTTAAAAAGAGCGAGAAGAAAGCCTCTCCTACATATACAAGAAGTCCCCTTGGAGGGAATTTATTCAACCAAAAAAGTGTCACCTGCCCTCCCACGGCCTGTGGACAGACAGCAGGGCCCGTCCCTCTCACTCTCCCCGCCGGCTCCTTCCTGCTGCAGAAGTCCCCAACTCCGGGCCTCCCCTCCCCTTACCGCAGTCTGGTGACACCATTTTACAGCGACAGCACCAGCTCAGGGGCTGCGCTCTCAAAGTTCACTTGAGGCGGACCCTGGGTCCCTACCAGTTTGTCTTCCCTGGTTACACCTGCGGGAGCAGTTGCCACGGTGATGGGAAGTCCTAGCTGCCTCCCACCCCATCCCTCACCTCCACTGGAGTTGAGGGGTGAAAGGAAAGGTGGGGAGACAAGACTCTGGATCCTTCCCTCTGTCTCTTCCTGACACCCCTTTGTTGATCAGGGTGGCGATTGGTTGGCCTCTGGTGGGAGGGAGGGAGGGTGTGTCCTGCCCCTTCTGGAGGGAGCAGCCTCGACTGTGGGTCTGGACTCCCACAAGGCCTGTGGCCTGAGAGGGGTGCAGGCGTTGCCCAGGGGGTCTGGGCAGGCCACCGAAGGCTGGGTTTGCCCCCAGAGGAGCGCAAGGCCGGAGCCACTGGTTTCTATCCCTCGCTGGAGCCTGGCGGGCGTTGGGAGGCAGCGTGGATCAGGTAGCGGGGTGGGCTTTGGCATCAGGCACCTTAGGCGTGAACATCAGGCTCTTAGGCGTGAACTCTCAGGGCGCCGCCCTCGGCGGTTGGGGTTTGGTCACGTGGGGCGGGGAGTCTCAGCCACCCCTGTCTGCTGTGTGACCGCCTCCTACACGCCGGGCCTGGCGGTCCCCTGCCGGTTACTTCACAGACCTCATAGGGCGGTCTGTGCACTTCCGGGCAGCAGCGAGAGCCACGAGACAGCTCTTATCTGCACCTGGGCTGGCTGCTATGGAAACCGGCTGTTCTTTGTCCAAACACCTTAAAAACTGCACCTTAACCCTGGACGGGCCGAGGCCAGACCCTTTCGGGCTCCCTGGTCCTTGGCTGCCAGGACCATCACTCTTCGGGGGGCGAAGGAGGTGAGGCCGATGCCAGCCGCCCTGCAGAGATCCTCAACCCCGGTGGACCCTGCCCTGTCCCGCCCAGATGTCTGCCTCTTCCTCATCCCGTTTCCTCTGAAACCCAGGGCCTCGCTCATCAGCAACGCTGCCAAGAAGGAAACATTCAATTAACATGTCTCTCCAATGCGCTTATAGACCACATGTCTAGTCTTAAGACTTCAAAGGGGCCTGGAAAGCCACATTTTGATGCGTTTGGTGTAAAAGGAATAAGGAGCATAGGGATTTAATTTCCCTTAAAAATTGCACAGCCTGAAAAATTAGCAAAACCATGGTTAATGGCAAAAATGAGTGCTCAATCCTGTCAACCCCCCAAGTTTGTATTTTGACATGGGGAACAAGATCGTTAATTTCAGTGCCCCTTGGCCTTCGTGGGGCGGGGATGAAAAGCAGGGGGTTCTGGGAAAAGAGTGGCGTCAGTCCAGGTCTCCCTTAAGGTGGAGGGGAGGGGCTTCAGAATCAGAGGAGATACTCATGAAAACTCCCCAGAACACATCTTGTTTAGCTCATTTGTTTGCTCCTCACAATAGCAAATCACAACTCTCAGAGGGAGTAAAAATGTCACATCGCTCAAGGCAAGCTGGAATTTGATTTTTTTTCCCTCTGGCTCTGTCCCAAGGATGCTGCCCAAACCCATGGCGGGAGGAATCTTTTTGAACAAAGGGATCCTTTTGCTTGTGATAAGGCTTTTGTCTGGACCCCTGAGCACACAGGGAACTAGCGGTTGTGCTAGGAATTTAGGGTGGCCCACCCACACCCCTTCTCTCTTCTCGAGTCCCAGCAGCGGGCGGAGATGGGGGATTGTAACAGCCAGGGGTGTTACAAGCCTGACTCACGCGGCTCCCAGCCAGGGGTGTTTTGTATGTTGGACTTGCTTATCTCCCCGGACAAAGCTGAGACAGAAAGAATCCATGAGCCTCTTACTGCCCATGTTACACCCTCTGCCATGCCCACCAGACGCCTCTCCCTATTGGTGTGGACATTCTTAGGACAAAATTGGCAGGTGATCTCAGAGAAGAAAACCCTGGCAGAGGTGCCAAGCCCCAGAAATGCCAGCTTCCGGCCCAGCTACAAGCAGCCAGTGCACGTAGCAGCAGAAAAAGCCGGTGCATGAGGAACACTCAGGGCCCACGGGGTCGAATGCTGCAGGTTCACGTCTGGATCCCAGTCCCAGCTCTGCCACCAGCCCGGTGGCTCCGTGCTCTCATCCATCCAATGGAAAAGGAATGGGAAACACAGTCTAAGGTAAGGTGACCAGACGTCCCGCTTTTGGTGGGACAGTCCCGATTTCAAACAATTTGTCCCGCGTCCCGCGGTGTTTTAAGAAAGTTCCGATTTTTAAATCGGGAGACGCGGGACAGATTGTTAAAAATTGGGACTTCGGCCACCTTAGTCTAAGGTCAACCTCTAAAAAGATTCTACCATCCCACCTTACCCTCACTGGCTGGGCAAACCACTCCCCACCCAGAGCCGCTGGGAGAGGGGCTGCCTGAGTATCGGGGAGACTCAGCTTCCCAAGACAGAGTGGAAGGGGTGCCCCACGAGGGGTGGGGGCTTGTAGGGAAGCCATTTAACACGGCGGTTACAAGCATGGGCCCTGCCACAGCCTCCAGCAGATCGCTGACCCTAACAGAAAACAGCGCCTGGTTCTCTCTCCAGTAAACCGGGCAATGGGACTGACTACTCCGTGGAGTGTCTGAGGATGGAGACAAATGTGTGTGAAGAGCACGGCGTCTGTCCTGTATGTGGTCAGGTCCCAAAATCACAACTCCGCATGGACGGTGCCTGAGATGAGTCTCCCCACCGAGACTTAACCCCGGAGGGGCTGTGAGGGACAGAGGACTGCATCCTGGAGGCCGGCGACACCCCCAGGCTGGGGTTGGGGTGCAGCCTTATCCCTGAGCGGGGTGGGCCAATGACAGAACTGCAGGAGGGTGCCCAGCTCCCACCCCAGGCCCCCACCCCTGCGTCCCCAGGTTCAGCTCCTCTTTCCTCAGCACAGGCGGGGGCCAGAGACAGGCCTGGGGCGGACCCCTCAGCTTCCCAGGGGTTGTGTGGGCTTTACATGGGTTAGCAAAGAAAATCATCGTGGCTAATAACATTAACACGAGGCACTCAGGATTGTCTTTATTTTACAAGGGAGTTTGCAGGAGCCTGACATCACACGAGCGGTAACCACCAAGGTTGTCATAACACCCGGGGGCCTAGCTGTGGGAGGCGGCCATGAAGCCCAGCGCTGCAGCAGGGTCTGCACAGGGTGGGCCCGGCATCCGAAGGCAGCTCTCCCTGGGGGCTGGGGGCTGTCCTTGGGCCCTTTGGAAGGCAGCACTTTGGGGGCGCTTCTCTGCTCCCTCCACTCCCCTCCCCTCCTGGGGAGCCTGACCATCCTGCAGGGGAGCCGGTGGACCCCCACCTGCTCTGTCTGGTTGTCTGCCTGGTGGGCAGTCGTTGCCATGGTGACCGCCAGGGGTTGCCTTGGACACGCAAATTGCTGCACGGAGGGCAGCCACTGGGGCCGAAGGTGCAAGGTCACCCAAGCCCAGAGGAGGGGACACCCACTTCTGCCCTCTGGAGCTCTGGCACGTAGACTTACCATCCTGAGGGTGGGGGCGGCGGGTCAGGGAGGCTTCTAGAATTCAGAGGTCAGACCCTGCTCCCGGGTCCTGCCTCCCCTCAGCCCCGCAATACTGACTTTCTCCCTCCATCCTTCCCTGTCCACCCAGCTGCCACCGAGCTAAGGTGAAAGCTCAGCTCATCCTGAGCCTTTTTCTAAGCACCTGCCGAGTGCCAGGCAATATACCCTGGAGGTACAGATGTGGCGAAGAGGAAGGCGGGCACAGAGGAGCCAGCTCCCCAAGGCGAGCGTTTTGTGGTTTTGTTCACTCACAGCTCCTGGCACACAGAAGGCCCTCCGTCTGCAAAGAAGGGTGCTCACGGCCAAGTTTTTAAAGCCTGGATTACAACGGTGTTTGCACAATTAATTAGTGACCACTGAGATGCTCCAGAGGAGACATGCAGACCCAGGCTGTCCCGTTTAACCAGCTGGCTCTCGGTTTCCCAAACTTCCTCAGAGCCCTCATTGTTACTGGGGACAGTCCGTGCAGCTGTGTCCTTCCTGCCTTTCAGCGGTGAGGCCGGCTCTGTAAGTCTCCTCCCACTCTGCCTGGCTCACTCCTGTCCATAGTTCAGGTCTCAAAGACGCTTCCTCCAGGAAGCCTGCCATGACCACCACCTCCCCTTCCCCGCCTCCCCTTCCACTCACCCAGTTCTGAGTCTCTCTCCCCTTCTGGACTGTGAAGGCCTGAGGACAGGGAGCCTGCGGACTCGGTCCCTCCTCATTTACCTTTGGTGCCTGGCTCTGTGCCTGCCACAGGCTCAAAAGCAAAGGAATGTTTGTTGAAGGAACAGATGAGAGCTCAACCTGCAGAGTGAAAAGGTGAGTGTTACCTCCTCCCTGGCTTTCACCCAGGCTTTCAGGGGGAGGGAGCAGGTGCTGCCGAGTACTGGTGGGGTCTCCTCTGCCCCACCCTGCCTGTGCCTCTCTCATGGTGCTTGCCACACTCCATGGCAGAGTTTTGTGTTTGGAATACATGACATGGGTTTTGGAGCCAATCCCAGAGTGAGCATTTAATGTCGCTGAGCTCAGTTTCCTCATCTAGAAGAGTTAAGAGGCCTGGCAGCGAGTCGCTGTGAGGATTCAGTGAAATCCCTCAGGAAAACCCCAGCTCAGGGCCTGGCACGGAGGTACCACCCCATACCAACCACATGCCCTGGAGTATGCACATCCTCGCCCTCAGCCTCCATTTCCCCATCTGAAAAGGAGATTCTGAAAGCCCCATAATCGAGGGGCGACTTAAAGCGTATGGGGCACAGCGGGCGCCAGGCAGGTACCTGCTAGACAGCCGCTGACAGGCATGGAGGGCTGCTCTGTGTCAGGCCCTGCCCACGCTGTGACACGCTGGCCTAATGCCATCCTCTCAATGCTAAGGGTGCTTTCTACGATCATCTGGATGTGCCGACGAGGCCACGCAGCTGTCGGACGGCAGAGCTGTGTCTAGGAGTTGGCATCCAGAGTTGCCATGGCAACCCCCAGCCCCAGCCCCGTGTCCAGAGCATCCTTTAGGAGGAGGCCAGGCCTCTGTTTGGACCCCCGCGGATGCCTTGTGGACAGCAGGTGTACACTGAAGTTTGCTAAATGGAATCGAGGCAATGGCACCCCCTGCATCTCCCCAAGACCCCTGAGCCCTGAACCCCTCTGGGGCAAGCACCTGGCGGGTGGCGGTGGCTTCCCTCCCTTCTCCAGCCGGTCTCTCCTCCGGCCTAGAACGGCCTGTCCCCCCTGCCCTCAGCCCCTCCCCTCCAGCAGGACCTTAGCAACCCAGCCCTCATTGGCTGCACGTATCCTTGGAGACAAGACACCAACAGCGCAAACACAGGCCAGAGAACTGTGGGCAGAATGTTTCCGACCTCCCTGCCACCCCCCTCCCTAGCATGAAGGACCTGCTCACCGCCCAGAGCCAAGCCTGCTGGAAGGAGCGCATCAGGAAGGAGACTGTCGCCCGCGCCACCTGGAAGGTCAACCATGGCCACAAGTACGCCAAGGAGAGGCCCCGGCCAGGGAAGCGGCCCCAGCAGCAGGCCGTCTTCCATCCAGCCCTGGGAGGGGGGTCCCCGCCTGCCCCCGGCTCCCCTGACGGAAGGACCGGAAGGACCAGACTGCCAGAGACGGAGGGGGTCGGAGCCCAGCCACCCGGGGGAGTGGGAGACCAGGAGGCCCGAAGAGCAGCGCGGGCGCCCGCAGGCCAGACCAAACCGGAGACCTTAGAAATGAGGCCGGTGCCCCTGAACACCCTGCAGCTGCTCTTCCAAGGCGTCTCTCACGACGGCCAAGGCCGGGCCTTGTACCTCCGGGAGCGGAGCCGGCAGAAGCCCGAGGACAAGTTTCAGTACCCCATCTTGTCCTCCTGGGAGTACGGCTGGCACCTGGGTAAGGAAAGGGCCACCACCTCTTGCCATCCCAGGCCTCTGCAGGCAGCCTGCCCTCCCCCTGCCCCTCCCCAGCCTCGAGCTTCATCACCCCTCACGTACCAGCTCACCCTCCTGGCTCCCTCTCTCTGGGGGCAGGCACCCTCTCTCACCCAGGCCTTTGCTCATGGTGTGTCTGCCTGGAATGTTCCTCCTGCCCCTCCCTCTGCCGGCTAACTCTCTTATGTCACCACCTCTGGGAAGCCTTCTGAGAGTCCTCCAGGCAGCCTTTTGAGTCTGCAAACACCCCGGGCCCGCTGTGTCACCATTGCTTGAATAGGCATCTGGTCTGGTGAGGACTTCGTAGGGAACTGTGTTAATGCCCTCCCAGCTCCCAGCTTGGGGCTGGTACTCGGTGACCTTGGAACGCATGATCAAATAAATATATAGCCTAGGGAAGGAGGGCTCCGTTGGAATCAGAAAGTGTGAGTTCAAGTCTTGGCTATAATACCGCTTCCAAGTTGTGTGAGCTCCAGCAAGAATCTGGACTTTCTCAGGCCTCGGTTTCCACATCTGAAAAATGGGAATAACACAGCATTTGCCTTCCTGCATCACAGTTTTGGGGAAATCAGGTGGGAAACACAGTGAATAGGAATTATCTTCACAAAAGCCCCAGGAGGTGGGTAGGACATTCATTCATTCATTGAACACGTGATCTCGTTCAGAATCCCAGCCCTGCCCCAAGTGCTCAAAAGAGTGACATAGTTTGAAATTAGGATGTCTGGGTTTGAATTCTGGTTCATTCATTCATTCATTCATTCATTCATTCATTCCTGAGCACCTGCTATGTGCCAGGACTTTTTGTCCCTTGAACACTGCAGACAACAAGACAGGGTCCCGGCAACAGATGTGTCCCTACTACAGAGCAGAGCTTTTTAATCTTGTTAAAATGCAGGTTCTTATCTGGCAGGCAAGGACTGGATGGATGAGATTCTGCATTTCTGAATAGCTCCCCAGTGGTGCTGATGCTGCAGGTCCGTGGACCATGCATGAGAGTCGGGCTATAAAAAGAGAGAAACCAGGAGAAGGAGCTGGAGGCGGAGGAGCTATGGGAGTCAGGGAGGTCAGGAAGGCCCGCTGGGGAGGGTGTATTTGAACAGCGTCCTGAGTCCTATCTCCCATCTGGTTCCTCTGAACACAGCCCACCACCCTGCACCCAAGGAGCGAGTCTCCCTGTAGGGCCCTACGGGTCCTCCCCGTTTCCCCTCCTGCCTGGCCCACCCTCCTTGCCCCCTGCCTCGTAAGCCGCTGCCAGGCCTGCAGCCACCAGATGGAACAAATGTAAACACAGGCTGCCCAGTCAGTTAGTTTCAGGTGAACAATAGTATAGATATGTTCCAAATACTGCATGGGCTACACTGACCCTGAAGATCACTTCTTCTTTATCTGAAACGCAAATGCACGTGGGCCTCCCGTGACCCCGACATGGGAGCCGGGAAGCTGATTCTGACTCTGGAACCCCCTGGGTGCCAGGGCCATGCTGGGCTCAGGGCAGACAGGAGACTTGCCTCCACAGGGCTTGGGCTTAAGCTCACAGTTGCTCAGAAACCCAGGTAAGCTCTGGCCTCGTGGCCCTAACGGTGAGTAACCCAGCCAGTGCAGGGGCCAGATGGGGGAGAGATGACAGACCCTCTGCCGACCACTTCACCAGCCTCCCCACACAGTGACAGACAGAGCTGTGTCACCAGGGGGAGCAAAGAGCCTGGGAAACAGGGGTTAAAGGCATTGTCCCCAGGGCCCCAGCGGGGTCAGCCCCAGTGCTCTGTACACAGAGAAAGCAGCAGTGTAGTGCCTGGCACAAGGTAAGTGCTCAACAAATTAATGTAGTTGTAAAATATAATTCGTTTTTAATATTGTTTTTAGAGAGAGAGGAAGGTAGAGGGATAGAGAGATAGAAACATTGATGAGATATTATCATTATGATTTATTATTATTATTATTATTATTATTATTATTTAAACAGGCAGGTTTTGCAGCCTATGGGCATTGGGGGTGGTAGTCCAGCTTTGGGCAGATCCTGGAGGTGCTCACCATGGAGCACTGGCCAGTGGGGTGCCCCTAGACTGGGGAGCAATGTGATGAGGGGTGAGTGAGTGTGGGGTAGAGATGGGGATGGCCTGCAATCCTGGCACTTGAGCCAAAGCAGGGTCTCCAGGTGGCCATGCTGGGCCAGGCGTGCCCGTTGGTCCTCGGGAGGAGCGGGGTCCTGGGAGAGGCAGCGGCGGCTGCGAGCTGCGCAGAGGACTGACCTTGGCTCCAGGGCAGTGGCAGCAGAGGGTGCCTGCCGGCCCTGGGGCCTTTGGGCTGGGCGAAGGCTGGCCGCAGGCGTGGTGCCCAGCTCAGCCGGGCCTCTCTGTGTTCCAGGGGATGCTGTGAAGAACTCCAGGACTTCGATATATGCCAAATGCCAGTCCATAGCAACCACCTTTCAGAGCAAAAACGGCGTCTTCTATGTTCCTCAGCGAACAGACCAGCTAATGTGAACTCTGTGGGGTTCAGAAGTGGCTCCTTTCTGTGCCCTCATCCAGCTGGACCCCGCGGAGGGGAGATGCTGCGCCCCCTGCCCTCCCCGGGCTGGCAGCCCGTCCCTGCCGAGCACGATGGCTAGTGCTACCCCAGGACTCACACCTGCCCCAGGACTCACTGCAGCTCCTCACGGAGCCCCCACCACCATCCCCAGCCTGGGCCGCCACAGGGCCAACCCCGAGACCCGAGTGAGTGCCCTGACCCAGTCAGACCCACCCCCCTTGGTGCACAGGACGGCGCTCTCACCAACGGAGCACACCGGCCAGGGCGGTGTCCTCAGCTGTGTGGGCATCAGGTCTGAACTGCAAAACCACTCAGCGCTGCAGTGCAAAAAGCAGTGTGGACAGAGCATAACCAAGTTCTGATAAAACTTTATTTTAAAAAATTGGTGGTGGGCTAGCTTTGACCATAGTAGTAGTTGGCTGAACCCGAGTTTAAATGAAATATATTATTAAAATTAATTTTACTTTTTTTGTGTGTGTGGTTTCTTTATTTTAATGGAACTACTAGAAAATTATAAATTGGCTCATGTGGGATCCCTATTGGATCTAAGCACTTTGAAAATTCTGAGGGATATTTTGTTTACCCGGGGAGAAGTATATGTGTGTGTGAGTGGTGTGTGAGAGAGAGGGTGTATGAGTGTGACTGTGTGCATGTGTGCGCGTGCATGTATGTTTGTGTGTGTGTGTGTGTGTGTGTGTGTGTGTGCTCCCGCGCAGAGGGGTGATGAGTGAACTCCGGTGATAACCTAACCAGAGCCTGTGGCGGTGGCTCCTTTGCTTGGTTTTCTGAGAGGGAAGCCCAAGGGCAGACTGTCTGGCAGCTGCTTTTCAGTGGGTGTTTGAACCTGAACCCGCTATAGGCTCATCCTTTCACTAAAGGGCAGTTACCCAAAATACCACCAGGTGGTGCTGTCCGCCTGCCGGGTGTGGTGATTGGACCGGGAAACCCGCATTCTCCGCTGGGCTCTGTCTTCTCTCTGCCGGGTCGCCTTGGACTTCCATGTCTCGGCTGGGCTGTGACGTGGGGTGATACTGGACCGTGAAAAGGTGCGCTTTGGAGGCGGGCTGACCTGATCTAACTCCTGCCTGCACTAGGGGCACATTATGATTTTTGTGGGTCTCAGGCACCTTTGACTTCATGAATCCCTTCTTATATTAAAAAAGGTATTCAGAGCTATATTTCGCATGGAGCTGGTGCGGCTTAGTGGTGGAGTGCTGATCCATGAACCAAGAGGTCCCCGAGTGCCTGGGTTTCGGGCGTGATCCCCATCAGGGAAGATGCAGGAGTCAGCCGATCGGTGTTTCTCTCTCTCTATCCCTCTACCTTCCTCTCTCTCTAAAAACAATATTAAAAATGAAACCTATTTTACAACTACATCAATTAAAAGAAAATATATTAATACTATACATTAACATTTTTCTTCAACCTAAAGTTTTATTTTTTTCCTTTTTATTCTCAAAGAAATCAAACCTCTTCCTTGGCCCTAAAAGTCTCCCGGGCCCTGGACTCTCCGCCTACGATGCCTCATAGAGGAGTCGCCCTGGGCTTCACTCACCAGCTGTGTGACCGTGGGCAAGTTGTTTAACTTCTCTGGGCCTCAGTTTCCCCATCCATAAAATGGAGACAACTAACCCCATCTTTTCAGTGCTGTGGTTGGAATTTAGTGAGGTAGTGTATGCCGCTGTGCCTTCTTAGAACACAGCCTGGCACAGAGCAAGCCTTGGCAAATGGCAGTTGTTACTATTATCATTATTACCATCTTCAAAGATATTTTCAGCTCTAGCTTCTATGAAACTATTAAAAATTCTCAAGCATGCCGAAACCGGTTTGGCTCAAAGGTTCGATTCCAGTGGGAGATGTGCAGAAGGCGGCTGGTCGATGTTTCTCTCTCATCGATGTTTCTGGCTCTCTATCCCTCTCCCTTCCTTTCTGTAAAAAATCAATAAAAAATATATATATTTTAAAAATTCTCAAGCAGAAATCTCAAAATAAATAAGTCAGGAAAATGAAATGAAACACCCAGGGTACTTGATAAGAGAAATAGAGTTTCCTGAAGCAGAGAGAGTCAGGAGGAGTGTTTACAAATGACCAATACATTTCCTCCTGCCATCAGGGAATTCACAGAGGTAGGAACCTGGGCTTGCTCCAATCAGCCCAAACCTGGGTCTCCTGGGGGATATGTGCCAGCTGGGCCGACCCTGGGAAAGGGGTGTGTGTGTGTGTGTGTGTGTGTGTACACACGTCCTTGTTTCCTTGAAATTCCCTTAGTGTCCCTTTATTTCAGTAGCTTCTCCAATTTCTAAGGTTTGGAGCTGCTGGGGCTCAGGGCCTGAGGCACGGGGTGACCCCCTCGTGACTGTGGCCAAGACTCTGTGACCTCCGCCTTCAGGGCCATCCGGCGGCAGCTCTGAGGGGGACACACGGCAGCGGTGCAGGTGTGGCCCCCTGCCATGGCTCTGCCCTCCCACACGCCCACCTGGCTGGGGAGAGGGATGCGGGTGGCACTTCCTCTCCTGGTGTGGAGCTGCCTTCACTTCCCGCTCCAACCCAAGGGACAGGAGCTGCTCCTTCACCCTCACCCCCATCCCTACAGGGACGTGAAGGGCGCGGGCGGGGGAGGCAGGCCAGGGGTGCTGATGAGGAAGAGAAAGTAACAAGGACTGGAAGTAGGGGCGTCTCCATTTCTCGGGGCTCACTTGCCCAAACGCTTGCTGAGCTGAGTGATGAAGTGGGTGGGGAAAACTCATTCCCAATCATTCAACGAGATCCACATGCCTCCACACTCAAAGCGGCCCAGCCTTCCCCGGAGCAAGTCCTGCTCATGAAAAGCAGCCTCCACCTGCGGAGGGCTGACTCGGTGTCAGGCTCCTGGCGTTCTACCTGCATTATCTTATCTAAACGTCACCTGTGAGGCTGGCTCTCTGTTAACCCCACTGGGCGCCAAGGACACGGAAGGTAAGTGGCCTATTCCATGTCCCGCGGCCGGGATGGCTGCACAGCGAGCTGGCCTCCACTTGCTGGGCCTCTTCTCGCCCTCAGAAAGCGTTTAAAATCTGGTCCTCGGTAAACAACTCAGGAAAGAAAGTCTGGCCTGCGGCCACGGGGTTTGTTAAGGCTCCCGGGCAGGTGCAGACCCCCCTGGGCAGGTGCAGGCCTCCTGAGACGGACTCGGGGCGGGGCTGGGGGTTCCCGTGGTAACAGGCGCGCAGTTTCAAACCCTCAGAACAAAACTGATGCCGAGAGAGGGCCTAGGAGCAGGTGTGCCCCCCTAAGGGCCACAGGACCGTCCAGGCAGGTGACCCAGAGCAACAGGCGGGTGAGGGGAGAGGCTGCAGCTGCTTCAGGCTGTGGCCAGTGAGAAACGCCACTCTCTGCCCCCCCCACCCCCGTGCCCAGCAGTTTGCCCGGACTGAGCGCTGGCAGATGCTATGGCTCCTGTAACCTGTTCTGTGCAGGGACAGAGGGATGGCTAGTCACCGAGGAGGCCGCAGGGTGGTGGGGCCAGGTCAGGGCCTTGGGCACCCTCTCTTAGGGTCTGGTCTACTTCCCCTGCCCACCCCTTCCCCCACCACCATCACACCCACCAGCACAGGACTCCCTTCCCAGCCACGACGCCGGCCCATGGGCACAAGGACGCTCTCCCCTGCGACATGAGCTTGTTTGTGAAGTGCCGGCCCGACCATTTGGACCTCGGACACTGGATGTGTTCTGGAGCAGCCCCGCTCAAAGAGGAGGTGACAGAAGCCTGGCAGCCTCGCCACCCCCCTGCCTACCCCCCGCCCGCGCCTGCGAGACCTCCGAGGTTAGTCGCACGTTTGGAGAAACGGTTTTCCCCGCGTAAGCAGAGCCTTTTGATTTCATTCCCTCGGATATTACCTAATTTCAAAAACCAAGCTTGTGGTCCATTTTCTTATATGAAAAGCCACATTGTCCCTAATATGTTCAGGGAAATAAGCAGAGTGGGACCATGCCAATAGTGTGCATTCTCTGTATTTTCCAAGGTTACACATGTGCTCATTGTGTACAGGCTGGCAGAATGTTTAGCTGGGAAGAGGGGTTGCTTCGGAGACAGGAGGGGGGGCGGTGGAGGGATGGGGGCAGGACCCTGTGTGCCTGCGTTTCCTCTGGTGCTGCCCATGCAGGCAGTCATGTCTGTGTGCTGCCTGAACCAGGAAGCGATGTGAGGAAAACAGCAAAGCCAACAAGAGTGGCAGCCAGTCAGGACGCAGGTAGCCTGTGCCCTGCAACTGGGGCCTCTGCAGCTCTTCGGCTAGAGAAACAGGATGAAATCCTAGTGTCTCTGCCAGTCACCTGGGCCTCTGATTCACTGGTCCCCCACAGAGCGCCAGCAGTGGCCTGGGTGCCAATGCAATGCAGTGAATGTGACCGGGGAATGCAGCCGACATGGGGCCGGGCCACTGGCTGGGATGGGACAAGGCACGTGGGCACAGGGAAGAGGCAGGCAGGTGGGACGAAGGGGAGAGTCTGACATGACACCCCGATATAGAGACCTTCGCGGTGTCCAGACCCTCTGGGCTCTCTCCAAATTGGGGGGGAGAGGGAGGAGAACAAGGGTGGCCTGTGGTCAGAAAGACATTTCACAGGAGGACACTGGCAGTCCCGGGGCTGGCTGAGTTGGAGAACGATTCAGAGGCAGGAAGGTCAGGTGGGAGAAGCCTTCATCCTTCATCCCGGTGAGATGTGATGGTGGCCGACCTCATACAAGGGGCCAGATCCCCCAAACAGTGACCTGCCCGAATCCTGGGGTGCTGTGGAGGCCTAGGCATTTCTGGTCATTTCTGGTGGCACAGGGTCCCTCGTGAGGCTGGAAATGGATCTTCTTCCTCCTGCGGCCGCTTCTCCGGGGCCAGGCTGGGCAGCGGCCGAGCTGGCGGCAGGACTCTGGTTCAGGGTGTGAAAACCCTCCTTTTGGCTGCACAAGCCCCGCTTCCTCCTGGGCAGTTCAGGGGAGGCACCAGCCATGGGGATAATGGAAGCGTCTCCTCCCAGTTCAGGTCAAGTTGGATTAAATCCAAGTTGGACAATGAGGGCAGCGGGGCCAGTCTTGTTTCCTGGCCCAGGGAGCAGTTTGCGCTGTGAGAGCTGTTTGTTTAGGGGCAGGAAGCGGTTAATAAAGCAGTGCCCTGGCATCTAGGAGCGGCGGCCCCTGGTTCTCTTCCGGGAAGAGAAAGATCTTTTCCTGCTGGTGGAGACCTTTGAAGGTTGTAGTTTGAATTCAACTGGAAAGTGGTCACTGACCTCCAGGGCCTGTGAGGAGGAAGGGAGACGCACTTGAGAATGAGGAGGCACTCTTACGTTCGTGATGAGCAAATTCAGGCTTCGGGAGAGAAGGTGGAATGCCCACCGTCACCCCACAGAGCACACCCTGCTGAGCGTCACACCAGGCTGCTCAGTCAACTTCGGAGGTCAAACCAAGGTCCACGTGTGACATCTGAAGTTGACTAAGCAGCCTGGACCTGGCATGCGGTTCTCTAAGTCCACCCCTGGACCAGCTCAGTTAGAAGCCTAGGCAGGTGCTCAAATCACAGAGCCACAGGCATTGAGACTCAAGGTCCTATGGCCCAATGTTAGGTCTCTAGTAGTGGCCTCAGTGATGACACCAACCCGTCTGCCCAGGACAGTCAGTGGCTTAGAAAGACAAGGGGCAGCCCTACCTCCTCTTCAGTTAGCCCATATGCTTTCTGGAAGTCAAAGACGCTGCTGGACTTCGGTACCACGGAGTTGACGATCTCTCGTCCTCTCAGCACAATCCTACAGAAGAGGAGGGAAGAAAGTCTTGTTAGTAATCCACCGCTGACATCTGAGGTCAAAGCAGGTCCATGTTTGACATCTGTCGTTGACTGAGCAGCCTGGACCTGCCATGCGGTGCTGGGCTTAGCCTGTGACCTCAGGATAGTGCCCGAGGTTGGGAAAGAGGATGAGCTCCTCAGGGGCCCTGTGGGCACCAGGACAGTGTCTCCCTGGGTGGACAGGAAGCCCTGATGGTGGGAGGGAAGACTTTATATGATACACAGCAGCACCGTGCATTCTAAGATTATCATTTCCTTTGCTGTTATTTCTCACTTTCCCTGATTTGATGAGGGAGAAAGGGGCTGGCTTGCCTTCAATACTCCCTATGCTTCCATGTTGACCAAGAGAGAGCAGGCTGCACGCAGTAAAGAGGCAGGAGAATTAAGGCAGAATTTGCATGGTTCGGTTTTCACTGGAATTATTTGTACATTTATTTTCGACTTATGGCAAATGATGCTGGCTTCTTACCTTGGTGTTCTGACGTTTCCTTTAAAATGATTATTTTTTTCAGTAAGAAAGGAATGTATTTAAAGACAAATATGAAAAAAACCAATGGGTACATAGTAGTTAACTGAGTTTTGGAAACATGGACGCTAATGGGTACCAAGTGGGGGGATGCAGTTGGGGTCTGTGTGGCCACGACAGACTGACAAGAGGAGTCCAGCTTCGGGCTCATGACCATCCACCGAGCGCTCCCTGACTCCGAGGGGCTGACTGCGCTGACAAACACCATCACCTGGCTAACTCTGAACTCTACTCACAAGTAAAGGCTTCACGGGTGGCTGGAGATTCCCTAAAGCGCCCTTCCCAACCCGGAGGGTCAGAAAGGACACAGGGAAGGCTCCCCCATTTCTGACTTCTACTGGTAGGTACATACACAGGTGGGCTGGCAGGTCCTGCTAAGCTCTTCCGAGGCGGGCCCCGCGCCTGGGAGGTGTCCAAAGGATATTTGACACAGAACAAAGACTTCGCATTGAGTCCAAAACAAAAACATTTATATACCTTTTTAGAAACCACAAAAGATCCATGTTGTTAAGGAAAACATAGATTTGACGTGGAGTGGTGAACATACAATACAATATACAGGTAGTATGCACCTGAAACCTCCATCCTTTTATTAGCAGGCATCACCCCAATAAACTTAATAAAAAGGAAAGTATCACACGCCATCCTTTGGCATTCATGTGTGTAACACTGGGGTCTCAGGGAAGACCCGTGTTTAACCTGTTCCCCACCACCCTAATCTGCTGTGACCTTGTCTGTTCTTCTGCTTCAACATTTCCCATCACCTCCCTCGAGTTCGCTGGGAGAAGATTGGGGTCACAGAAGGGATGTGCCCAACTGGCATGTCCCCTGCTGGCAGCCCCTCAAAACGGAGGGAGGTGCAGGAGCTCAGTCTCCCGGGACCTCCCACCTTGCCTCTGCTCCCCCCTTAGAGGGCTGCTTCCGCCTTCCAAGGCGGGGGTGACAACTGCGCTGGACACACCAGCCCTGAGAGCTCCCAGGGGAACCAAGGAGGTCATGGGGTGAAAACGAAAGCCAGACCTCAAAATGGGAGAAGTGATAACAATCGCGGACTCGCAGGTGGCCATCGCACGCTTTCTCCGTGGCAGGCTAGGCCCTGGGAACGGAAGCCAGGGTGGGGCCCGGGCTCCAAGGGGATTCCCTGCCTGCCGTCTCTGCTATGGGAGGCGGGCCATGAGCATCCACAGGCTGCAGGCACTCTCACCGTCTCCCTCCGCCTTAAGGAGCAAAGGTGAACACTGACGGAACAGCCCCAGGGAGATTTTACACATACAAGGGCGTGCAGTTATTTAAATGCGTGCATTTTCATTTAGGGATGTGCAGCAGAAGCTTTAGAAGTGAAAACACTTCTTTGCTCTACCTGCTCTCATGTCTTAGAGTTTCACCTTAAGGAAATCATAACTATATGCATAAAGTACATAAAGAATCAGAAATGTTTAAATAACTGACCCTGAATAATATGATAACCCATCATCCTAATGCCTAATGACGAGGGACTGGATGAGAAAACTGGGACATGTCTTTGTGATGGAGTAATTAACAGCAACGAATGCACTGGGCGCTTAGATGGCAGGCTTGTGTTATAAGATTTGTATGTGCTGCTTCCCTTAATTATCACCCTGTGTCCACGAATGAGGTACTCCTCTAATCTCCATGTGCAGGTGAGAAAACAGAGGCTCAAGTCTCTTAGTCACGAACGTAAGTGGTAGAGTGAGGGTTGGAACCCAGCCGTTTGACACGGAAGCCCACGCCTGCCACTGCCGAACTACGGTGCCCAGCCATGCCCTTTGTGGGCCTCTCTCTCTAGGTGGAGAGGCCTGAAATGGGCCGCTGCTCTCCAAGCCAAATGCCTTGTCTGACCAGAGGGGGGCGCCTCTCCTAACGCATAGGAAGCACCGTCCTGGCTAGCGGTTCGGCAGCTGGTTCCCACCTGTCATATGCACAGTCGGTGCTGCTCCTGACAGTAGTGTCCTCTTTATCCCCGATCAGCCACAGGAACTGGCTGTCGGTCCTCAGGCGGATGCTGCTCCAGGCCTTCTTGGGGACGTAGCTGCAGCCGGCATTGAAGTCCCCCATGAAGATGAAGTTCTGAAAGACATGATGTGGGGCATCAGTCGCCGGATGGGCTTTGTTGCCAAACTCCATCACTCATGCTCAGGAAATGACGGGAAAAACTGTGTCTCTCCCAAATTTGAATTTTGAAGTCCTAAGCCCAGGATCTTAGCAGGTGACCTATTTGGAGAGAGGACCTTTAAAGAGGCAATTAAGTAAAAAATGAGATTATATGGGTGGGCCCTAATCCAGTAGGACCGGCGTCCTCACAGAAAGAGAAGATTAGAAAGGGGGAGGCCGAGGGAGGAGCCGACCTGCTGACACCTTGATCTCGATCCTCTAGCCTCCCTGACATGTTTGTGCCGTTTGAGCCACCCAGTCTTTGGTGCTTGGCTATGGCAGCCCTGGCAAATGCACACAGGGTCTTCCTGAATTCTTGTTGCTTTTTACAAGAAGAGGCCACAGTTTAAAACAGAGTCACAGAGGGACCGTGCGCCCAGGGGGAGGAGGGAGCAAGCTACTTCCAGAGTCAGAGGGGGAAAATGTGGAAAGGGCACCCCCTCCCCACCCACACACACACAGAGGAGCCCCAGGACATGCATCGTTAGAATCCAGACACCATTGTGGGAGGTCAACCTACACGGAGAGACCCACAGGGAGAGGGATGAGGTCTCTAGGGAGCACCCAGTCTGCTAATCATGCAAGTGAGCCAGCGTGGAGTGACTTGTCCAGCCCTGACCCAGCCTTCGAGATTGAAATCCCAGCTGATGTCTGACAGGGCCGCCCCAGACAGGGCAGGAACCAGTACCACTGAGCCAGGCTGCGGCTGTGTCCCTGATCCCCATGAGATCATAAATAATGGATTGTCATTAATATATATGTATAAATGAAGTTGAGTCACAGTTTTGATGAGTGTGTGACAGGCAGGTGTGTACAAGGGAGGGTGTTCTTAACAGGGAGGGGGTGTTTGCTGCAGCTGCTCCCTCCTGCTCTGAGTCACCCTGTCTGTATAATCCATGCGGGGCGGGGGAGGGGGGGTGTGTGAGAGAAGGCTGCTAATTGATTCCCTCGCATCTTTTCTCTCGGGCTCTAACATATGAATGAAGCAACGCCTTTTGTTCCCCAGCAGGAAAGATGAAGGTGGGTGGTGTATCTGACAGCCTGGGCACAGCCCTCTCCCTGCTGTTGTCCTGGAGTTGGGAATTGATTCCCATGGAGATCTTGTCTATGGGGGAAGTGAGAAGAGCCTCAGGTCGCCAACAGGAACACGCTATCTGGGGTGTGCTTTTCCGTGGAAGGGTCTTGGGACAGGATTTCAACCTTCCCCAATCCTGAGGAAGTGCCAGATTTCCTTGTTTGTGCTATTGTTTGGGGCTGCTGCTGACTTTGGAGTTTTCTTCAAACACGTCTTATTTTGACCTCTGATCATGGTTTTCCCTGTGACTGAGGGGCACAGTTGAGGACAGGATGTCATCCTTAACCCTAGTGACTGCCAGCTTCTATTAATAAAGGCATGGTTCACGGAGTGTTCTCTGCGCGCCAAATCCAGCATTAAGTGTTTTGTGAAGTTTCGTTTCAACCTCACAAACACTCGGAGGTGGAAGGACCTTTAGCTCCTGAGGAATCAGGATAGAGGGCCTGCTCGACACCACTCCACTGGGAGGTTCAAGGGGTGAAACCAAAAGCTGAACCCAATCTGCCTCACAAATTTCTCCTCTTGTTCATTTTGGGGCCAGTACCCAACACTTCACAGATGCTCAATTCATTCTTGTTGAATGAGTGAGTCTTTCTCTTGATCTGCTCTTTACAAGGAAGCAATGGAAGACTCCCCTGTGTTCTCCATGCCCCAGCGCTGGGCCATACCTGACTCATTTGCACTTCTAGCAAATGAGGAGGAGGACGGGAAGGGGAGGAGGACAGGAGCAATAGAGTCACATCCGACAGGAGGAAAGGAGAATGAAGAAGAGCCCCCTCGAGCACTTCCATGGTTGCCAAGCTCTTCCCCAGACCTCACAGCCACAGGGGTGGCATCCTGGTTTCCCAGGTGAGGAAATCATTGAGGCCAACGGGATGGTAGGTGTATGGTCCTGCTGTGAGAATGGCAGCCCTCCTCCCCTCAGTCCATGAGGTTGGGGTGGAGCTGACACAGATTTGGCCGGTGAGAGCCTCTCAGCCCCCTGGTCACAGTGATGGGCTCAGGGGTGGACACGTGACCCAATCAGAGCCAATAAGACTCCCTCCCGGGTATTTGCTGCATTGTGGGAGAGGACATTTGTCATTTGGTCTAGAAGCTGCTGGTGGCTGTTTTGCCGTCCCAGAGGAAGGGGGGGCCAAGGTGGACAGAGACAAGCCACGCTCTGGTTCCTCTGCCGGAGCCCTGGACCAGCTGTGCCTGAGCCATTCCTGGACATCTTAGTTACCAGAACCAAGAAGTGGCTTCTGCCAGTTTGAGATTCTGTCACTTGTACCTGGAAGACTTCAGACCTCTGTGTGTCACTGTTCTCACCTGCAAAGTGAGGATGGTAAAAATAGCGACCTCGTGGGGTCACTGGGAGGATGCTGTACACTCGTCCCTGTCCAGCCACAGCACTGGGCCAGCACCAGCTGGTCCCTCCCTGAGCATTCACAGCCTTTGGGAGGGGAGCAGGTGTGTGGGGAGCGGGTGTGAGGGAGCAGGTGTGAGGGGAGCAGGTGTGAGGGGAGCGGGTGTGAGGGGAGCGGGTGTGAGGGGAGAGGTGTGAGGGGAGAGGTGTGAGGGGAGCGGGTGTGAGGGGAGCGGATGTGAGGGGGAGCGGGTGTGAGGGGAGCAGGTGTGAGGGGAGCGGGTGTGAGGGGAGCGGGTGTGAGGGGGAGCAGGTGTGAGGGGAGCAAGTGTGAGGGGGAGCAGGTGTGAGGGGAGCGGGTGTGAGGGGAGCGGGTGTGAGGGAGCGGGTGTGAGGGGAGAGGTGTGAGGGGAGCGGGTGTGAGGGGAGCAAGTGTGAGGGGGAGCAGGTGTGAGGGGAGCGGGTGTGAGGGGAGCGGGTGTGAGGGGAGAGGTGTGAGGGGAGCGGGTGTGAGGGGAGCAAGTGTGAGGGGGAGCGGGTGTGAGGGGAGCGGGTGTGAGGGGAACGGGTGTGAGGGGAGCGGGTGTGAGGGAGCAGGTGTGAGGGGAGCGGGTGTGTGGGGAGCGGGTGTGAGGGGAGCGGGTGTGAGGGGAGCGGGTGTGAGGGGAGCGGGTGTGAGGGAGCGGGTGTGAGGGGAGCGGGTGTGAGGGGAGCGGGTGTGAGGGGAGCGGGTGTGAGGGGAGCGGGTGTGAGGGAGCGGGTGTGAGGGGAGCGGGTGTGAGGGAGCGGGTGTGAGGGAGCGGGTGTGAGGGAGCGGGTGTGAGGGAGCGGGTGTGAGGGGAGTGGGTGTGAGGGAGCGGGTGTGAGGGAGCAGGTGTGAGGGAGCAGGTGTGAGCCCCAAGACCCACGCGGGCGGCACCAGGCAGATGGAGCCAGAAGGACATCTAGGGCTGAGGAAGGGCCCACATGGGGGCTCCGAAGGGGTGGTCTGCACGGGCTCTGAGCCCCTCACCCTCTGGGGAGTCACTGATCCCTCCCCTGGACCAGACCCCGCCCCTGCCAGAGGGGAATAGCACACAGGAGGGTCTCACCTCTGCCTTCCACCGGCGTTTCACATCCCTGTAGACGTCGGCCAGCTCGTCGATCTCTTTCACGGAGGCCTCGGGGGTGGTGTGCAGGGGGACGATCACGAAGTCCTTGACGGCTGGGGAGCAGGAAGGAGGCAGAGGTCAGCACTTCCCGGGCCAGGTCCCAGGGCAGGGCGGAGGGAAGCGGCTGTCCTCCCAGGAGGCACCGCCCTGTCACGGGCCCCGCTTCCAGGGGGGCCAGCCCGCGGCTGAGAGGGGCCGGATCTTAGGGTCACGAGGCGGCTGCTTTCTGGACATGAGAGCCTCTTTCCTCCCACTCGCCCTGCGTGGCTAAGAAAAAGCTGGGAGACCGTGTTCCTTGCTGGCATGGTGGGTGTTTCCACTTTCCCATTTTTTAAAAAAACAACACTGTATTTTCTGTTGTTAACAAATAATAAGGCTGGCTTTTGTACTAAGAAGTTTTTTTTTTTTCTAATGAAAAAACATCGAAGCACATCAGTTTATACACCCTTTGCAATCAGGAAAAAAAACCCACAAAAACTCAAAAATGTTATTTAAAAAATGAAGTGGATGTTTGGGAAGTGTCTAAAAACCGGCCCCCACCAGGAGGCACTGACAGGCCCCAGCAAGGGCTGCGGGCGGGCGGCCTCGGAACCTGCCTGGCCACTTGCTCACAGCGCTGCTGTGCTCTGGCCGCCTCCTCGCCTAGTCCTCCGGCTTCCCCTCATTCCTGCTTGGGAGCTGGGTGCTGTTGGGTGGTCACACGATGGGGAGCCAGGACCTAGAGCCTCATCTCCCACGCTCCTTCTCGCACCTCCACTGCACCCCCATCCTCTTTGTGGCCCCCTTGTACACCCCAAGCCCTTCCCCACCTCTGAACACGTGTGCTCACTCTGCCCTCCCGCTACAACCTGCCAGTCCCCTCTGACTGATTTCTGCAGGTCACAGCCTAATGTCACTCCCTGGGGCTTTCCCTGGCCCCCACCCCATCGAAGGTGGGCCCTCACCCTGCTAGGCAATACATCTCGCTCACTTCCCTCATGCTCTGAACTTCCTGGCTTTACTTCCATTCTGGCCACTGGAACCAGGGCTGTGAGGGCAGGCTTACCTGTCCCCTCACCCTCTTGGCTCCAGTATCTAGCACCGTGCCTGGCACGTTGGAGGTGCTCAAAATGTTCATTGATGGACTGACTGGCTGGCTGACTGACTGACTGAATGAATGGATTAAAAGATATATGAACAGCTAGCTGTTCATCTTTAACCCCAGATAGAGAGGACATAAGGAGCTTTTCTCAAATAAGAGAGAAAACTAAACAGGACATGGCTGAGGTGCCATCCCAAGGAGGGAAAAAGGGGTAGAGAAGAGTGGAAGTTGGAAGCTCAGTAAGACAGGTTTGTTAGCAATTCACAAAGACTCCTTGGGAGAAAATACAATCAGCAAAGGGGTGTGGGGATGCTCTGAACACTGCTCATTCAGCTAAATGTGAATCCTGTGCGTGAGAAAGGATTATTGTACATGCTCTCTCAATAGCCCCCACTTCCTCTGTCTCCTTCCTGGGAATTCCCTCCCCACTCTCCCATGTCTGTCAGCACTCTGCCTCTGAGGTCATTGACCCAGGGCAGAACTAGTTCAGGGTGTTTATATTTGTAGCTATAGGTGTGCACACTTGCAGCTCTGCATGTGTTTGTTTGGTTATTACCTTCTCCCCTACTAAAGTATAACTTCACGAGAGCAGAGACCTTGTCTGGCACCTGGGACAGTGCCTGGCACATATAGGTATGAAACACATATTTGCTTCTCTGCAGCTCCAAATGGCAAACCAAATGTATTCTTGACTTCACTTGAGTGTCACATAGTGGGTAAGAGCATGAGCTCCTGAGATAGTGGCTTGGGTCACAACCCTGACTCATCTACTTCAATGGGTGCTGGGTGAGCTTGGCTCAGGGACTCCATCTTTCTGAAGTGGAGACAATCCTAGTTCATTTCAAGGAGTCTAGGAGCCTGGCACTAATCAGTGATCAACAATTGTTAGTGGCTAATACAAGAACTATTGTTGTTCAAGTTCAGGGTGCAATCGTTTGGAGGAGAGACTTCTATGAAGTTTCTGGAGGGAGACCCTAGGTTGAAGACTTCAACTTTGCTGGCCATCACTGGGATTTTTTTTAAAATGAAGAAATGGTTGTACTTGATTGGGACTGAGGAAGTAAGGTGAATAAGTCCTATCAGCCTAAATGCTCCAAAGACAGTAGAGTTATATTGATTCCAGAAGGTGGGGCTCCAGGTTGGGGAGGTCTTGAGTCTTGGCATTCTGAGAAGCCAGCCTGGTGTCATCAAACTATACTGCATCTTCTACAGTCATTACAAGTTCATATACATATATATATATTGATTTCAGAGAGAAAGGGAGAGGCAAAGAAAGATATGAACATCAACAATGACAGAGAATTATTGATCGGTGGCCTCCTGCATGCCCCCTATTGGAGATTGAGACAACAACCCTGGCAAGCACCATTAACTAGAATTGAACCTGGAACCCTTCCATTTGTAGGCCGATGCTCTATCCACTGAGCCAAACCGGCTAGGGTCAGTATTAGACGTTCTTAATGGCCTTCTCCATCAAGCCTAAAGCCTCCCTCAAGATACTGCATAAACCCCAGGGTCACAGCTCACACGTTAGGGCTGTTGCCCATTTGTTCTGGGGAGATCATGGGCAAGAGAGGTGTGTGGGTCTCACCTGTTTGGGGTGACTGGAACCAGACCACAAAGGGCTCTCTGGAAAATACATCTGCGTCTCCATCCTGAAGGTCATGGTAGAGGTATCTTTCCTTCACGGTCACTAGCTTTTCCCTAGAAGAGAAAAGAGAAGTCCACCCAGTTGAGTCAGCTGTCTTCTTACTTCTTTCAACAAGTAATTATCTAGGTTCCCATGGCTTCACTAGCCTCCCCTGTGGGCTCGGGAGCTGGAAAGGATCTTTACCTTGAGAACAAGGCTCAGTCAACTCTTTTCAATGGCCAGGGTCCTTTGGGAGGCAAAGAGCTGAGCAATACTAAGTATCTGGGGCATCCCCAGTTAATGTTTGGACTTAAAACAAATTAGTAGGAAGAAGGTGAAACTATGAAGTTCTGGAGTCAGCTGTGTGGGCAACTCAGGTTTCCATCCCTGGACCAGGACTTGATTATGAAGAAGAAAGGAATCCTGAACCCTTGACCAAGCAACCACTGAGTTAACCAACACATTAGGTGTTAGAAACCTGCATGTGTTTTCTAGTTTGAAGAGTTAATACTTTGCACCAGTTCCAATTTTGATGGCAATTACTTTTAGTGATATTGAGAACTGGTTAGAGATCAAAATTTCATTTTGAAGAGAAGATATACATTTTGATTAAATTCATGGCTGTCATGTATACATAAGCCATGTTCCAGGAAGTATAGATGATACTTACTTGTAGATAAAGGCATACTGTTCTTTATATGTATTTCTCCCGAGCCGAGAGCTAATCACACAGTTGTATGTTGTGGCTCTTGAATTTCTAGAAAACAAAGATTTTACATTGGGTCTTAAAAAAAGAAATTCGTTTCCTTATTGCAGAGATTCCCCTCTCTCCAACCTGCCTCCATATCTCCAAAGGAGTCTAATAAGAAGGGCCATCATTGGCTGGAAATGTAACATCTGCCAGGATCTTTATTTCTAGTCCTTATAGGTAGATACCACTGTTACCCCATTTTTATAGTTTGTAAGCACAAAGCTGAGATTTGAACCCAGATCCTCCTGAATCTATGTTTTGGCCTGTACTTGTAAGAGACCACTGAGACCATAGAAGCTTCAGGCCCGAATCAGCCCAAACCCCACTCTGGGCCATGGCTGGGGCTGCAGCTCATATTCCCCGTTAGAGCAACCTTTTCTGGTCACCTCCCCACACACCATTCCTGAGCATTTATTGTATGCATGATTCTTAGTCACATTTTCTTTGGACACTCTTTCCCCAGGCATTTTCTAACAAGCCCAGAACTATAATTTCAAACCAGCTGTTGTTTATGTTCTGGGAGCTGAGATACAGCCATGAAGTCCCATTGACCCTAACCCTCACCTTCCCAGAGAAACCCGACTCTCAGTGTGTTTGCCAAATCTGCTGATCACTCCACCCTAGAGAGCCTGACCTGATGTTACTCCCTCTGGCTGCAGAGAAATCTAGGGCATGTCTAGCCCCAGGTATGGTCTCAGGTTCATTTGGAAGAAAGCAGAAGGGACCTCTGTAAGGTGACCAGACGTCCCGCTTTTGACAGGACAGTCCTGAATTTTAACAATTTGTCCTGCATCCCGTGGCATTTTTAAAAAGTCCAAAAGATTTAAAAGAATCTTTTGGACTTTTTAAAATTGTTAAAAATCAGGATTGTCCCATCAAAAGCGGGACATCTGGTCACCTTACTTAGGGGCCAAGTTAGACCCTACAGTAACTACTAGTAGCAGTTTGGAGCATATCCTTCCAGTCTTTCTTCTATGCCCATGCAAACTCAAACATACTCTTATTTCTCTATAATGTGATATGATTAATAAACTGGGTTGCTCCACCTATAATTCTGAACTTGTTCTGTTCAGTTGCAGCCATCTTTCCATGCTGGCCTGTTTAGATCTAACCTGTTCTGCAATAAACATGATTTATAATGGCTGCGTAACATCCCAGTCTGTGGTCATTTCATATTCCTATTGACACCTGATCTTTCTTTAGAACAGCACTTCTCAGCTCAGCCTCTTGTCTGTTTCTTTCATTTCTCTCACTGTCCTGGCTCCTCATCTGTTCCCCTTATTTTGTTGTATCCTATTCAAGCCAGCTGATTGAAGGTTCTTAGCTAACAGAGATGGAAGCTCAGGCCACGTTGGCCACGTGTACTGGTTTGGTTGGTGGTCAGAGTGAGTGCTTGCTCTATCGCTAAGTTGCTTCCCTGGGGCTTTGCAGGTGCCCTTGCACTTGACCTTGAACCCACAGAGGGTCTGGGGCCCCATCTTTACCCATTCAGCCTCTCCATCAGCGTGGGGCAGATCTGGTTGGTGCTGTCCTTGATTTCCATCAGGAGTATGATGTCACAGCGTTTGATGACCTGCAGAGAGAGAATCCCCAAGGGGCTGAGGGCACTTACTACACATAATAAAAATCCTTTGGGGGGGCACTTACTATGTTTCAAGTATCAAATTGGGTGCATTGTTAAATTAATTAAATTCTTGCCTAAAATAAATGAAGGGCTCCCAGAGGGAGGTGCTGTTACCGTGCCCATCATATAGACAAGGAGCCTGAAGCTCCGGTGAGGTGAGGAAAGCATCGAGAGTCACCCAACCAGTGGCCAAGGCAGAATGTGAGCCTGGGCAATCCAAATCCACACCCAACTTCCCACCTCTCGGCTTTGCTTGAATAATGACTATAATAATAATCAATATTTATTAAACCCTTAGTCAATGAAAAGTACCAGGCTAATATTGAGGTATAACCACCCTGATAATAGCTATAAGACCTGACATTATTGTGAGCCTACACTGAGCCTCACCAACTCGATGAATGACTTTCCCTCTTGGCCGTGCAGAAGGGAACCAGCTCGGAGGCCTGAGTGGCGAGCTGAAAGGGACAGCCCGCAGAGATGGTGCAGTCAGGATTTGAACTTCGGTTGTGTGACTAAAAGGCCACCATGCCAACCTGTTAAAACACAGCCCTGCCCTGGAAGACGGGTGGTCCGGTGAGGGGGACAAATGGAAACAACTAGCTCCCTTGGGAGGGACATGACATTTGGACTAAACAAGTCCCAGCTGTTGGAATGTTGAGGAATAATTAATTCCTTCTGCCCAGACGCCAAGGAGGAGAGGCCATCGGAAGGTCCTGAAAGGAGAGAAGGAGCTTAGAGGGTAAAGAATGCAGGAGAAGTTCCTCTCCCACACGATTTCTCCATTACATTATTTACAAAAGTGGCAGCAAAATGACTAGCCCATAGGTTCAAAGTATGGACTCTGAGTCAGATGGCCTTGGGTTCATGTCTCTTTTTTAAGAATATATTTTTATTGATTTCAGAGAGGAAAAGAGAGGGAGAGAAACATGGAAACATCAATAAGAGATACTCATTCACCAGTTGCCTCATGCATTCCCCACACTGGGGATCCAGCCCACAACCCGGGCATATTCTCAGACCAGAAATCAAACCGTGACCTCCTGGTTCATAAGTCAGTGCTCAACCACTGAGCCACACTGGCTGTGCCTTGGATTCATGTCTTGACTCTGTCACCCATCAGCTGTGTAACCTTGAACAAGCTACGTAAGCTTCCTGAATGCTAGCCTTTTTACCTGGGATTCAATGACTTAGTGGATATAAAATTCTGCCTAGTCCACAGCACAGAACAGATGCTCAGCAAACAATGGCCATATTTATCATACAGTTTTCATCTTTTTCCCCCCCTCAAACCTAATATTACATTGTGTTTCCCTCATAATCATTATTCAGTTTTCAAATTCATTCATGACACATTTTTTTCTGTCCCAACTTCAGGTGAGAAAAATATGTTTTCCCAGGCTCCATTTCCTTAGGAGGAGTACCTGAGGAGGAGGGTCCCTGGAAGGCTGTCCCGCCCCATTACCCAGTGAGACTCTCCGGACTGTTCACAGAGGGCAGGGGGAGGGGCAGTGCATGGCTAGTGGTGAGGGAATCCCCGCAGGCGGTGTCATGAGTGAGCCTGGGAAGCGGGGAAGGGGCAGCCTGGAGAACTCTAGAAAAACCTGGGCAGAAAGCAGCCTATGAAAGCCTCTTTCATGCCCCTAAACGGGGAGCAGCCAGCATGGTGGGGAAGAGCCGGGAAGGGTCTGTCAGGCCTCAGTTCTGCTCCATGACCTTGGGCAACACGCTTCACCTCTCTGAATGCCAGTTGCTCATCTGTCAAAGGGGTCTACTCATCAGAAGGTTGTCAGGCTGAGCTTGGAGGGCCCAGGACAGTCAGCACCCCTAAATTAAGTGATTGGGTGCTGTAAGCTCTGCGAAGCGCTCCCCCCACATCCACGGTCTCACTCCCAGTGTCTCGGAGCGTCTGGTACATGGCCTGCCTTCAATGAGTGTTGGATGGACAAGCTCGACCCTTGAAGGCCACAAACGGACGACGCCAAAGGCAGAGGGAGCCTTTCCCGGATGGGATTTGGCAACTGGAGAATTGCCCGTAGTGCCAGCCAACAAACCCAGGAGGGAGAAGGCAGCCTCCCTCACCCCCCAACCTTCCCAGCAAAGGCCGTAACAACTACAGCATGGTGGAGCTGGGCTCATCTCTGACGAGATGAATCCAGTGTGGAAGCACGGAAAAGGCATTTCCACGTACGTGGTTGGATTTGGACCTGGTCCTTCTCCTTACTAGCTATGGAAGCCTGAATAAGTCACTTCACCATTTTGAGTCTCAATAATAAAGTGAGGACAATGCCGCCTACGTCACAGTATTAAATAAGACATGAAGTCCCTGGCCTATAGGAGGTGCTCGGACAAGGGCCCCTGTACGTATTACTGTCCCAGGAGCCTGGGATGTGAGTCTCACGGTCAGTGCTGCAGGTGGCTCTGTTTTCCGGTGGCCCCTGTTTACGGGTGGCTTTGCGATAATGGAGAAGGTCAGGGCCTTGACAAAGACTTCAGACATGCGTGGTGCCTGGTGTGATGGGCTGCCCATCCGCCAGCCCTCTAGGTCACGGCGGCTTAAGGGAGATGCTGACGGTAGACCCCCTCCGTGGAATCACCAAAGAACAGCCTGTGGCGACATTTCCCGGGTGGAATAGTGAGGAGGGTGACAGGACTTCAGCAGGTATTCTGAATGGGCCCCTCCTCACGGAGGAAGGGGGAAATTGTTTCTTCACATGTCAGAGTTTCCAGCTGAGCCGGGGAGTCAGGGTTCTCATAGGCTTGGCATGGCTGTCCTGGCTAAAAACCAACATCTGCAAGGCCTTGGGTACCGTCCAAAGGGCAAGGATGAGCAGGTCTGAAAGGAGCGTCTGAGCTAGGACAGAGTGTGCCCGTCACTGCAATCCACTTTGCCTAATGACAGAGTGGCAGCCCCTGTTGGGGATCACCTGCCTTGTTGCCTCCCTCACCTTGACGTTGCTCAGCCTCACTGCACTCCAGGTTGTGTAAGGCCCATGTTCCTGAAAGGCCATGGAGGCTCCGGGAGCGGAAGGGACTTCCTTAGCTCACTTAACCTGCTGCCTGGTGGGATCCGAACCCAGGCCCCTGGCTTTCCCACGATAGCACGGTGCCCCCGGAGGTTTCTAAAGTTCTAACACCCGGTCCTAGAGTCCTGGGAAAGTTTTTAGCAACCATCCCTCCCTCGCTTCCACTCTCTCTGAAAAGCAATGGGAAAACATAGCCTCAGCCCTAGCCAGATTGGCTCAATGGATAGAGCGTCGGCCTGTGGACTGAAGGGTCCCAGGTTCAATTCCTGGTCAGGGCACATGCCCGGGTTGCAAGCTCGATCAATGATTCTCATGTAGGAGGCAGCCAATCAATGATTCTCTCTCATCGTTGATGTTTCTATCTTTCCCTCCCTCATCCTTCCTCTCTGAAATCAATATATACATTCTCAGGTGAGGACTAACAAAAAAAATTTTAAAAATTAACCTGTGGGGTAAAGAGAGTCAACGACTCAAAGAGAAGTGTGGGCAGAGTTCCCAGGAATTGGTTATATTGTCCAAGAAAAGTCTTACCTAAGTGGAGAAAAATACTAGAATTGGGAGTGGGGAAAAGGTTGATGGGGTGGGAGCAGGGAAAGAGGAGGAAAGGAAGAAGGAGCGGGGGGAGAAAAAAAGAAGAAAGAGAGGGGGGGGAGGAAAAAAGGAAGGAGGGAAGGAGGAAAGGAAGGCAGAAAGCAAATAAAACTCTGTGCGGCAGGGATGGTTAAAAGACCGGCTGGCTGGGACCCCAGCTTCCCACCTGCCCACAGGCTGTACGATATCACTTCACCTTTCATTGTTCATCATCTCTACAGGGGGGATAGGTACCCTCCTTCCTAAGGGTTATTAAATGAAATCTTGTACTTAGAGAGCTGGCACACATTTGATAAATGGTGACAAGAATTATAGTATCGATAGTAGCCCACCCTCTCCTGAGCTTACTGGGAGCCAAGTATTGCTTTCGGAGCTTTATATTTATCAGCTAATGTGCTTTTCAAAATAGTCCCCCATGGCCCTGACCGGGTAGCTCAGTTGGTTAGAGCATCATCCTGATATGTCAAGGTTGTGGGTTTAATCCCAGGTCTGGGCACATTTAAAAATCAACCAATGAATGCATAAATGAGTGCAACAACAAATCAATGTTTCTCTCTCTCTCTCTCTCTCTCTCTCTCTCTCTCTCTCTCTCTCTCTCTCTCTCTCTCTCTCCCCCGTTAATAAATAATTAAAACAACAACACAGTCCTATAGGGAGGTGATAATGACACAGAGAAGTGAAGTGACCATTAGAATTACTGCTGTTGTTACTGTTATAAAATTTCAAGCCAGCTGCTACCTTCGCCCAAGGAACTAACTAACTTCGAGTCTGAGTCTCTTCAAGTCTGAAAGCAGTGGACAGGGGTCCAGCGATCCTTCCCACCGAAAGGGGCTCACCTTCACAATGACGTCCATGACCTTCTGGTTCTCCCTCTTGCTCTCCCCGAAGGACCTGATGTTGAAGGAGCAGATCCTGAGGGCGAGGGCGCTGTTGGTGGCGAGGAGGAGGAGGAGCAGGGCGGCCAGCAGCCGAGGCATCCTGGCGCTGCTCCTGGGCTCCGGGCTGGGTGGAGGACGGCAGTGTCCCAAGCACAGCAGTGAGTGGAGTCCCAGCAAGTCTTCGTCTTCAGGCCACCTCCTCCCACTCCGCAGACTTATAAAGCCCGCAGACAACAGGAATGACTGGATTCCTGACTGCTACTTTCACTTTTCTGAGGAACTGAAGATCACGGGTTTCATTCCCTAAGGAAATGAAGGAAACGGGCTAATCTTTTAGGATCCCCTGTTGCTGTCAGCTTGGCGAGGAAGTTGGCCTGTCTCATGTAGGCGCATCCCCTGCAAAGTCACTTGTATCTCTGCCAGAGACAGTCCTGCCATCCGGGAGCCAGCTGTGGCATCTGGTTCTCTCTCGTGTGGTCTGGTGCCTTTTCCTGAAAGCTGACGAACTTAGAAGTGGTGCGCCCCAGAGGGCATCTGGGGTGATGGAGCCTTCTGGGGGGGACATTCTGCTGTTTTCCACCATCGCCGGGATTTGGCAGCCGGCTCTCCCTTGAAGACACACCCAGGCTCTGATTCTGTAACCACTCTGATGGGCAGAATTAAGGTCAAGGTGAGTTTGAATGAGATAATTTTTAAAGACTGTTTTCCTGTGTACACTTGAACACGCCACATGCTAGCAGTGTGCAGCCAGGGCGAGGGATCCCTGGCCTGCCAGCACAGGTCAGGGAAATGTCCTTGGGCTTGAAGGATGAAGAGCCGGTTAAAGCCCCCGGAGGGATCCATGACTCAAACCGATGTTATCTTAAAACCCGTGAGAGTCATGTGGCCCCAAGAAAGACGGTTTTGCAAGAATTGGGGGACTTCCGCTCCAGTAAAATTGATTCTTAGAGATTTGGGCAGGAAGATCCGAAGATCTGCAAATCATAAGAAATATCAAGTTCAGTCAAGTTATAAACCCAGGTGAGATTTCCAGACTTTGGCAAAGAAATTCCTTCTGTGAAGAAGGCAGATGAGCATGACTTGACACCAGCGTTGGGATCTCTGGACCACCCCCTTCTTGAAGTGATGGGCGTGTGGCCGTAGCCCAGGGGATGTGTGTATAATGCCAGCATGCATCCAGTCAGCATCCTGGCCAAAATTTCTGGCCAGGGACACCTACGCATTCTAAGGAGATAGCCCCAAATAGTACGTGGAAGGATGTAAGGTTTTTTTCTGAGCTGAATCCCCTGTTATCTACGGTCCAGACCTGGGGTCTGGGTGAATCTCTGGTAAATGAAGCTCTGGCCAATGGGGTGGAGATTGTCGGCCTTGGCAAATGGCATCTCCCAGCCAGAGGAAGAATTAAGTGAGGCACATGTTTCTTTGTGTGTGTCTTTTGAGAAGGAATGTGTATATAGGTAGTATTTTATAAACTTGTAATATTTTGGCCTATTAAATTGACAATTTTGTAATGCCAACATAAAATGTGCAATTGCTGGAGAGGTGGGCATCGACTTAGATTTGTAACTTGAATTTGTTGCAGTTCTGGAACATTTATAAAAATTTTAAGTTGAGGTCTGGTAGCTCAGTTGATTAGAGCATCGACCCAGTATACCAAGGTTTAGGGTTCAATCCATGGTCCAGGCTTATACAGGCCTTAAACAATGACCGCATATTTTTTTTTATTTTTTAAATATATTTTTATTGATTTTGTACAGAGAGGAAGGGAGAGAGATAGAGAGTTAGAAACATCTATGAGAGAGAGTAATCGATCAGCTGCCTCTTGCACACCCCCTACTGGGGATATGCTCACAACCAAGGTACATACCCCCGACCGGAATCGAACCCAGGACCTTTCAGTCCCCAAGCTGACACTCTATCCATTGAGCCAAACCGGTCTCGGCCAATGACCGCATATTTAACTGGAACAACAAATCTCTCCCTCTCCCTCTGTCTCCTCCCCAACTCCTCTTTCTCTCTAAAATCAAGCAATAAATTTTTTTTTAATGTTAGGTTAATAGTGTTTTATAAGTTCAATTTGTTAGAATACTAAGTACATCTGACCTTTAGATAATTCTAATTTAAAATATGGCATCTCATATTTTACCTGGCAATCTTTGCTGGACTTATAAAAAGAATAAGAACTTTCATAAGGCGAACTTAAAAGCATGACATTTTCCAAGGCAATCACCACCTTGTCAAGGTCCTGGGAAAGGTTTTATTTTCATTCCCAGCGTGAAAAATCGGCTAACGTATAAGATGACCAAACGAATCTGTTTTTGCATTAGTAACTTCGATAATTTAAATATTAATCTGAAAAATAAAATAAAATAAACCTCTGAAGCGTGGTTTCTGCATGTAGATATTGCCTTTGAGGACTTTAAAAAAAAAGAAAAGAAAAAAAGTCACATGAACAGAGTGAAGAGATTGGCCCCATTCTGTAATTAGCACACTCACTGCATGGAATCGGGCTTTGAAAAGTAGCTGGATTCCAGAAGAAGAACCCTGTGCTTCAGAAATTCTCATGCTTCATCTCACTCACTGCTCCCCGAAACCCTTTCTGTGGCGCCTCCATTTCACAGATGAGCAAACCAAGGCTTGTGCCCAAGGATACACAGCTGGCATCTGGCAGAGCTGGAATTCAAACCCAGTCGCTGACTCCAGACCAGCCTTCTCCCCGCCAAACTGGGCAGAGCCTTCGTGAGGAACTCAACGGCTAGAAGGGCGTCCACTTTTTACTGGTGCGCTTTGGTATTCGGTTCTTTTAAAAACATGCACTTAATTTGTCATTAAAAAGGAAAATGCCAAAAGCTTTTTATTTTTAAAGCAGATTTTAAACAGAGCCCATGCCAACATGTCTCTGGGCAGCTGAGCTGTGGGCAGCTTTTGTCCAGTTCCAGGAGCCATGGACAACGGAGGGCCGGTAACAAGGCTGAGCTGGCTGCCCCGGCAAAGCCGAGACTCTCCCTCACCCTCCGCTGGGCTGGTGTTGGAAGTGAAAAGGGTGAGGCAGTCTCCTCAGGAGCCTGGAGCCTGGAAGGAAGGGCAGCCACAGGCCTGACCCACGCTGAGCACAGAGGGGTTCTTCCTCCTGCCACTCAGTGGTGATAGAGGGCATTTCCTGGGGCATGAACTTCAACACGAGTCTACAGGATGCTCCTGAAAAATGGACAAATACACAGCACTTCTCTCTGGAGATTGGTAATTCACATGAGCATATTAAATGTTCTGAGACTTCCTAAACTTAAAAAAGCTGCTAAAATGTGTTGAAACAGGGTGTCCTGAATTTAAGGTCAATGGGACTTTTTTCTTCGTATAATTCTGTTTAATATCTTGAGCAACATCCACCTTGACAGATACAAGAACAGTCAGACCTTCAAGGCCGTAAGCTCAAGTTCTTGTCACTAAGTCCCTATACCCAGGAGTCCCACGCGTGTTCCATGGGCAGAAAGGAGGACCAAGAACTCAGACACACGGCCACCAACCTCCGTGGCAGCTGATGGGCAGGTGGGCCCTGGTGGGCAGGAGTCAGTGGGGGCCAATCCCCCCGAGGTGCAGGACACCTCAGAGTCTGAGGAAGGCAAGATGGAAATTCCAGAGGGAGTGAAGGTGCCACGAGCTGAGTCACCCAAAGCAGCACAAAGGAACAAGGGGCTGGTGGCAAGTCCCGATACCGACAGGTGATGAGTCCCGTGACCCAAACAGGTGTTCCAATGAGTGATGCTGCTCCTCGCCCACCAAGGAATGAGCCCAGCAATGCTCCTGCAATGTGTGCTGATCGCCCCAGTCATCTCATTTCACAACCAGCTTGGGGTTTGGCGCAGGGGAGGCGTGTTATGTAAGGCTGCCTGATGGGGACAGACTTCACCTTTGTCTGATGGTTTCCGGCCGATGCAGCAGACCCCGGGTTCAGAACTCACGCAGTATCTTCCACACGGGCCTTGCCTGGACCTCAAGCAGGTCACTTTCTGAAGGGCAGGCCTTGGCGTGGCCCTGCTCTGGTGAGAACCCTTCAAACCATCTTTATCTGACATAAAGGCCAAGCTCCTTATGGAGGCCTTTACTTGTGCGCCTCTTCAAGGTCATGTTACTCTCCTCTTCCTCCTCCAGTGGGCTCCCCACACATCACTTAGCTTTCAGTTCCCACCTCAGGGCCTTTGCACAGCTTTTTCCTTCACTTTCATTGCTCTTACTTCCTCCCACCCTGAGGTCCCAGCTAAAATGCCACTTTCAGCCCATCAGGCTCTTTCCTCTTATTGACTTTCATGGCCTCGTTCCTCTGTTTTGTTGGCTAATCTCTGTCTGCCTCCCAGACAGCTCTGTGAGCAGGGACACCTATGTGTGTGTGTGTGTGTGTGTGTGTGTGTGTGTGTGTGTGTGCGCGCGCGCACTGCTTAGAACAGGTCCGGCATGAAGCAGATGCTCAATAAATCCTTATCGAATTGCTGGTATGATGCTCTGACTGACTCCAGAACCCGCTTCTTGACCACCTGTGAGAGTGCTTACCTGGTAGATCTGTGACGGTGTACTGAGTTTATAACTGAAGGGCAGGCTCAGCACAGTGTCTCAATCAGGGTGACATTCTGTCTTCAGTATAAACTGTGCACAGAATGGATTGCTGTCACTGTTTTACAGATGAGAAAATTGAGAGACAAAGAAATCAGGCCTCAGCCGCTGACTGTGGAATGATATCAAAGGCAGGTATTTGGGTTCTCAGGATTGATTCTTTTGCCAACCCTTTCTTTATAGGTTCAAAAGGGCACAGGAACTTGGACCTTATCTGGTCTATCGCAAACTCTGTGCCGATGCTGTTGCAATTAATGGTTTAGATCTTCCAGGGAAACTAGAGTGAGGCGAATGGCACACTGGCCTCTGAGGCAAACTGGAAATGGGAGCTAACCAACTCAATAATCAAGATAAATAATATTTTAATGCAATATTTTTTAAAAATATATTTTATTGATTTTTTTTTTTCACAGAGAGGAAGTGAGAGGGATAGAGAGTTAGAAACATCGATGAGAGAGAAACACTGATCAGCTGCCTCCTTCACACCCTCTACTGGGGATGTGCCCGCAACCTAAGGTTGCATGTCCTTGACCAGAATCGAACTCGGGACCTTTCAGTCTGCAGACTGACTGCTCTATCCACTGAGCCAAACTGGTTTCGGCTAATGCAATATTTTGAAAAACCAAAATTAATGCAGAAACATCCATGATGAACAAAGTATCAGCGTCTTTAATAATGACAGAATCCAACCCGGAGCTTCCACAACCTTGCCTCATCCACCTCACCCTAATCCTGCCCCTGGGACCTGCAGATCTGTGGAACCATTCTGGGCACTCCCAGAGTGGAAAAACCTGTTGGTCAAAGGATGACACAGGAGAAAACAGAGCCCTCTTCTGCTGATAGTCAGCACTGTTCCTCTCCTGGGAGCCACGTGCACCACCTTTGTGCAGCTCAGTGCTGGGACAGACCCTCTGGGCACCACGATGTTTTTCACCCCTGCCTCTTCAGGAGACACTGAGGTTGAGAGGTTGCAGGAGGTCACAGGCCACCTTTTTACCCTGGCCACTGCACTGCTCAGGGCCCATTGCCTTTCTCCCCTCACCACCGGCGCAAACATGCCCAAGGACTTGTTCTTGCTTCTTTGGCCGATGCTAAAGCTGCCTGTTAGCACTTATTAGGCCTCTCCAAGCTGACCGACCATGAGAGGAGTCATGAGGAAACGGTCTAAGAGGTGGAGGGTTCTCACAGCTGCTGACTAGTGGGCCTCAAGCAGGGAGGTGGCTGCTTGCCTAGCTGCACAGTGTCTTGTTCTTAAGGTTTTGGTAGTTTCTCAGCTTTGTTCTACTTACGTTTTACTTTTATTTTTCAATTATTTTAAATGTGCATAAAAATTGCTACTATTGCACCAAACTCTTATGTACTCGTTACCCGGATTCATCAATGAATATTTAGCCCCATTTGCTTTTTCATTCGTTTTCTATATATAAGGACATCTCTTTTCTTCTTCTTCTTCTGAACTGTTAAGAGTTAGTTGGATGCTTTCTGAACTTTTGCCCCTAAACACTTCAGGGCAGTTTCTCAAGGACAAGTTTATTCCCTTGTATAACTACAGGACAATATAAAAAGCGGAGGGTTTAGCAATTATAAGATATCATCTAATTTATGAACCTTACTCAAATCTTACCAGTTACACTAATAATGTCCTACACAGCACCTTTTCTTTCTGGCCCAGGATCCAGTCCAAGATGGTGCACTGCCCTCAGTAGTCCTGCCTCCTTGTCTCCTCTAACCTGAGCAGTTCCCCGGCTTCTCTGGTTTTTATGTCCTTGACGTTGTGGAAGTGTACAGGCCAGCCATTTTGTTGCATCTCCCTCCGTTTAGGTTTGTCTGAGGTTTCCTCATGATTAGATTCGGGCAGTGTATTTGGGGCAGGACCGCCACTTGTGTGTCTCACGGAATGTCTTACGGGAGCTTCCCCTAGTGTTCACAGGACAGCCGGTGACTGAAACCCAGGAAGCAGATTGTGATGTAAAAGCTCCTAACCCCAGCACCTAACTTTTAGTAAGTGCTTGCTGTCTGAGACCGCATTTGTTGATTTGGGGGCGGGTATTCTCCCCTTGGAACAACGTCGTTGGGGTGCTAATGTTGGATCACAAGAGTAATAAAACAGTAATAGCAACTACAGGTATTGAACTGTATTTGGCCTCATATTACACATCTTTTCACGTACTAGGCCTTTAAGCCTCACTATCACCTGAGTACTACTTTATCTTCATCTTATGGGTGAGGAAACCGAGCCTCAGAGAGGGTCCATCTCTTGCCTCAGGTCTTCCAGCTAGGAAAGGCACTGCCAGGACTGTTCAGCCCCTGAGTACCTACACCATGTCGTTTCTGGCACTTACCCGTGACAAGGGCCCGCAAGTATTCCAGCTCGGAACCCTGAGATAATCCATGTCCCCCTGAACCCCCCGCCCCAGACCGCCAGCATATGGGGATGTTTTCTCTCCATATTCTGGAACCCCCCTGCCTAGCCAGCACATAAGGGGCATGAGAGCTTAGGAGACACCCAGGCTGTGAGTAGAGGGCCTCAATAGGTTGTGTGATGTTCTCTAGAAGTCATCATCATGGATTGGGCAATTACTTACAAGTCCAACCAAAACTCGATCTATCCCAAAGAGAAAGAGCAACTACGAGCAGATGTCAATCCTTATCAAACAGTGACTCATGAATGAGTCTCAAGGCAGGAACCCCACTCCAGGAGGAGAGTCCCTGCCACAGGCAGAACCTGCTCCAAAGTCATCTCAGAACCAGATTAGATGTAGGCCAGTGACATTCACAATCCACAACCTTAAGAAACCAGCCTCGGAGACTTGTTGACACAAGCCGCTCCCTGCCCGGGACTGGGGATCATCTTGCACTGTGGGTGTTTTGGGGAACTTTACTATTCACCCATTTAACAACTCACCCTATTAAGTGTGTAGGAGGGGGATGGGGGCGGGGGGGGGTAACGAAGTTAAGTAAGACAGTAACACAGTTCCTGCCCTTGGGACTCAGTAGGTTGCGGAATCTAATTTAACTAAAATTAGATAGTTAATTGGTCTTAGCTTTGGATTCATAAATTTCCTGCATCCCTAAGCTATCATTCTACATCCATTGGCCACAGAAAGTTCATGATTTTGAATGACCAATGTAAATCTTTTTTTTTTTTTTTTGTAAAGACAAAATATGTATATACAGTTGGAGGAAATATATGTTCAAATAATTCTCTCCCAAAGATCATGTCTGAGGTTCCACACTTTCATCAAATATAATGGTTTCTTTTGAAGCAGAATGTACTACTAGACAAGCCAATAATTTAGTTTTAACTAGAAATTATAATTACAATTTACTAAGTGAAAATGCCACATTGAAATTACGATTGATTATGCTATAGTTATAGGTTAAGCAACTTTTTCCTAAACCAGTGTAGCGATTCATTCTTGACACCTCTTTCTGTGATAAAGACATTCTCCAGACAGTCTTCATGGAACAAATTCATTCAACAAAGCTGATTATACATTCCATCAACTACATTCTCTCACCGAGTGGGCGGAGTCTGTTTCAAATGCGGGGACAGTGGGGCTCTTGCCGCCAGTCCCTCAGCAGGCACAGTGGGGACCCGCCCTCCTCTGTGATCCTCTTTAGCACATCCTCGGCTGAGGCACCTCAGGTCCTGCCACCCTCAGGAGAGCTGCCTGGTCCTCCATCCCCTCAGCCTGGCCAACTGCTACGGCGTCGAGTCCTCCTGCAGATTTCTCCAAATGACCCTCCCCAAGGTCCTGAACATCCCCAAGGTCCTTGTCCAAGACAGACAGGAAATGGGTTCCCCAAAAGGGGCCTCTCTGGACCTTAAAAAGTGAAATTTACTGGCATTGTGCTACAGAAATAAAAAAATAAAAAACAACCTTAAAGATCTGTCCTTGGAAACCCACTGACTTGCAATCTCGGGACCCTGACAGAGAATAAGAATTGTTGTAAGTACAGCACTCTTACTCCATCTAACAATGCCAGTTAGGTTTTGTAAGATGTAGAATCTATGACGCCTACATCGTGAGAATGACAGGGGCACCTGAATGAAACGGGCACTGTCTCCCAGGAGGTCCTAGGATTTACAAGACGCTTTGGGGTTACCATCACAATAAGCCTCTGTGGGCAGGGACAAGAGATGCCACAAACCAAACACGAGGCAGGCTGGTGAATGGACGGGGAATGGAGGAACACCACTGGTCAGACAGCACATCTAACCGGCAGGCTAACTCGTGGAGGTCAGGTCTGCAAATCCCAAGGGGCGAATGAGGGACAGGGACCCCTCTCCCCCGGTTCTAGAGCCTGGGAAAATCTAGCCTCATCTCTCTGGACTGAACTCTTGAAAGTTTCCAGAGTGATGGAGGCAACAGCAGGGATGGGGTGGGGAGTCCCATGTCCCATGAGCTAGGGGGAGGCGGTCCCTGAGGTGGTTCTGAGACTCCTTTAAGCTCCCAGGGAATGCAGGGGTAGCTCCAGACATTCTCCTTCCCTGGTCCCAATCTGGGCGGCACAGTCCAGAGTGGGTTCTGAGGGTCCTCAGTGGGGAATGCTGCGATTTGGCTGAAATGCAAGTTGCATTAATGGTGCTTGGCAATGGCGTCAGGGTTGACTACAGTGCTGCGTATTTTCTTTCCATTTTTGGTAGGATGCTAAAGCTATGGGTTCACTAACTATCGATACTTCACAGAGGAATAACCCCGTGGAGGCATCGAGGAGGCTGAGCAGGATCACTCTTCAGTAGTAGACAGCCTTGACCAGAACAGCGGCCACAGTGCCCAGGATGGTGAGGAGCAGGAGACTGAGTTTTCCTCTGCTGAATCGTTTCAAAAGGAAGAATTTCGCCCAGTCCACCTTTGACTGGCTGTTGGGGGGATATCTGAGTTTGTTAGCACCTTCTCCCCTTAAACTTTTCAATAAACAGGCACGTTGATGAGAAAAGGTATCGAAGCTATGCTTTCCGTGATACGCTCCCATCCCGCTGGCTCCCACGCCCCCGAAGGGCAGAGAGCCGAGCATGCAGTGCATGATCACGTCGTTGGCCGTGACACCCCCGCTGGACGTGCAGTCAATCATCCGCCGGACGAGCTTGCGGTTGCGGGAAAACACGTAGAGAGCCAGTGGCTTTTCGCGATCATTGATGAACCTTATGGCTTCGTCTGCATCCTTCACAGGCACTACCGGAAGAATCGGCCCAAAAATTTCTTCCTGCATCACCCTGGTCTCGGGATCCACGTCGGTGAGTACCGTCGGGGCTATGTAGCGGGTGGCTTCGTCCGTCTCCCCACCCAAAGCGATCGTCTGTCCCTCAAGCAAACGCAGGAGCCTCTTAAAATGACGAAGGTTGACGATCCTTCCATAATCGGGAGATCCTCTTATGTTTTCTCCATAAAACTCCTCCACCGTCTCCTTGATCTTCTGCACGATTTGGCCCTGGAGGGACGGCTCGCAGAGAATGTAGTCGGGAGCAATGCAGGTTTGCCCACAGTTCATGTACTTCCCCCAGGCGATGCGTCTGCAGGCCACGTCCAGGTCACAGTCTGTGTCGATGTAGCACGGACTCTTCCCTCCCAGCTCCAGGGTCACAGGGGTCAGGTGCTTGGCAGCAGCCGCCATGACAATCTTCCCAACCGCCGTGCTCCCGGTGTAGAGGATGTGGTCAAACCGCTGCTTCAGGAGCTCGGTGGTTTCCTCCACGCCACCGTTCACCACCACGTACAGGTCAGGGTCTAAATACTGGGGCAGGAGCTGAGCCAGGAGGCTGGCCGTATTTTCACTTACTTCAGAAGGCTTGATAATCACAGCATTTCCTGCAGCAATAGCTCCTATCAGAGGCTGCACGGTGAGGGCGAAGGGGTAGTTCCAAGCCCCTACAATCAGGGCGACCCCCAGGGGCTCTGGCTGGACGTAGGCTTCATCCATCATAGTGAGCAGGTTCTTCTTGGCTGGCTTAGCAGCAACCCACTCAGGAAGCTGCTCCAGCGCGAGATCCACTTCCCCAAGAATGGTCATGACTTCCTGGATGTACGCATTCAGTTCACTCTTGCCCAGGTCGGAGGCGATGGCCGCCAGGATGTCCCGCTCGCGCTCCTGCACCATCCTGCGCAGCGCCTCCAGCTGCTGCAGCCGGAACCTCAGGGGTCGCGACCGGCCGCTCCGGAAAGCGTCGCGAACCTGCTGGACCAGGCGCTGCATGGCTCCCCTGCCCGATGCGATGCGTCCTCTGCACCCGCCAAGCCGGACAGCCCGATGCGTCCTATGCACCTGCCAAGCCGACAGCCCGATGAGACCTCTGCACCTGCCAAGCTGGACAGCCCGATGCGATGCGACCTCTGAACCCACCAAGCCCGACAGCTCGCAGCCGCTGGGGGCGGGCTCCACCCCGCGCCGCGCGCCTATTGGTCGGAGCTGGACACGTGACTCCGGCAGCCCCGCCCACTGCAGGGAGCTGCCGGGCAGGTCCAGACTGGGGTACAGTCTCCCGACCCGATGGGTAAGGGGCGGAGGAATCCCGGAGCGGCCCCGGTGCCGGTAGGTTGCGGGGAGCCGATCAGTGTACATCTTGGACTCAAACCTTCTGGACCCCCTTTGGCCACCATATTACCTGCACTATTGGGACTTCTCTGTGGAGTTGGGGAGGGTGACCAACCATCTCGTTTGCTGAGACGGAGGGGGCGCTTTCGGTGTAAAAGCAGGGCAAGTCCCCAGCTAATCTGGATGAGTTGGACGCCACAGTGTTGCAACAGGGGCAGCAAGAGGGGAATAGACAGGTGGGAGAGAATTAGCCAACTTTTGTTTACAAATTCAGTAATGCTCAGAGCAAGTTTATGAAGTCCACACCATCGGAACCTTGTTTATAGAGAAAGCGAATCCTGTGTCCCCAGGCCTGACTGCACAGCCTCAGAGATCACACGTGTAAATGTAGTGGCATGAAGTCTCAAGACTGTATTTGTAATTAACTCTCAGAGATTGGAAGCTGACTTCCCTGGAAGCAGAAGTCATTAGAACTTATGTTTTCATGGAGGACAATCATATCCAATCAGACTGTGTTCACACATGTATAGCCACAATGGAGGGAAGCTGCATCACTGAGAAGAGGTGCATTTCTTTTTTTAATATATTTTATTGATTTTTCACAGAGAGGAAGGGAGAAGGATAGAGAGTTAGAAACATCGATGAGAGAGAAACACTGATCAGCTGCCTCCTGCACACCCCCCAAAGTACATGCCCATGACCTGAATTGAACAGACTGTCAGCCTGTCCTTTCATCCCACAGGCTGACAGTCTGTTCACTGAGCCAAACTAGTTTCAGCAAGAGGTGCATTTCTTAAGGAAAAGACGCTCAGCAGCACTTTCCTGAACACCCCCCAATGCCCATTTCATCATTTACAACTTCAGAGGAGTCTCCACAGCAGTCTGCAAAATGCCAAGCCCTCAAGGTGCTCATGGAGCACCATGGGGAAGCAGTGGTAGAGAACATGGGTTCAGGAGACAAGTCTCTATTGCACCAATTGCTGGCTATGTGACCTTGGGCAAGTCACCTAACTTCTAAGCTTAGCTCCCTCCCTCATGTGTTAAACTGTGGACATAACAACGCCATAGGCTGTGGCTGTTGTGAAGATGAAAAGAAATGGGATAATGCATAAAAAGCACAATGCCCAGTACCAGGACAGAGTGGGCAATTCATAAATGGACACTCGCGCCGGGCCAGTGTGGCTCAGTGGTTGAGTATCAATCAGGAACCAAAAGGTCCCCGTTTTGATTCCTGATCAGGGCACATACCTTGGTTTCAGGCTCTATCTACCGGGGGGGGGGGGGGGGGGGATAAAGGGAAGGGGTGCAGGAGGCAGCCAATAAATGATTCTAGCTCTCTATCCCTCTCTCTTCCTCTCTCTAAAAACAATAAAAACATATTTTTAAAAGAGGGGGGGGATGTACACTAGCTACTAATTGCCACCTGCCTACATATGGTTTCAAACAAAAATAATATACTTGGGAACTAACACAAAGGAGCAGATGATAGCTATACCTCATGACGGGCTTCTCCTAGCTTTACCTGCCTGTCCTTCTCTGCTCTGTCCCAATATCCATCCTGCTTCTGACTCTCTGGCCTGCCAACTTCTGCTCCTGGCCCCTTTGGGTATCCAGTGTTCCCAGTTCCCAGGACCACAGCCTGCAGGGAGGCCAGGCTGTGATCCATGCATACAGATGTGTGCCCTGGCTCCCTGCAGGACCTCAGCAGGCCCGAGAAGAGACAAAATGGGAACAATGAGGATGCTTTGTCCTTTTGATAAATTAAATCAGGTAGCACCATGATTTAGATGGCATAATGTGACACACATCTTTGAAAGTTTCCTTACGGTGTTCATGCTTATATGGTGGGATGCTAAAGGCAACACACCAGGAACAGCTAAGATATTGGAACTGCGATGTGGGTGATGCTTATGCTGATAAGAAGCCTGAGAGACATCCAGCATGAAGCCTGGGAAAATGTGTGTTTTCTTAGTAAGAAGAATTCTGGGCCCTGGCCAGGTTACTCAGTCAGTTAGAGCAGTGATCGGCAAACTCATTAGTCAACGAAGCGGCAAACCGCGACTTGAGAGCTGCATGTGGCTCTCGAGCTGCGGTTTGCCGACCACTGGGTTAGAGCATCACTCTGACACACCATGGCTGTGGATTCAGTCCCCAAGGCACATACAAGAATCAACTGATGAATGCATAAATAAGTGGAACACATATCTATGTTCCTTCCTCTCTCTTTCTCTCTCTCAAAATAAATTTTAAAAAAGTTTTTTCAACAATTCTGCCATACACACATACACACACCTCTGCTGGCAACCTTCACCCGTTTATTCCCAGCCTACATTTGGGGTTCATAGTCTATTTCCCACCACTGATCTTTGACTAGTCAAAGAGCTTTAGGCCTGTCGAAGGACCATGCAGCCCAGTAACTGCTTGCATGAAAAGCGATGATGCTGATAGCTCAATTCTGCACACTTCCTCCGTGCCAGGTGCAGTGCTAACCTTGAAACACAATGTTCAGTTTGCTCTTCTCTGCAGCCCTTTGATGTTAGTAGCGTCGTTGATTCTTCATCAGCATCCCCTATTTCCACATGAAGAAACTCCGTTTTAAATAGTCAAGTAGCCAATCACTCACCTTTACAGAGACCAAGCTACTAAAGTGGCAGAGGTGGATTTTAGGAAGCCAGAGCCCACCGCCTTCACGTGAGATGTGTTCCACCGACTCAAACTCTTGGAGCTTGGGTTTCGTTATAACTGTACTGCCATCTGTGGATCTGGGCCAGCCCAGCAACCATGAGGCCCCGTTTCCTTGGAGTGCTATACATCCCCAGTCTCAATCCCCGTGGTTCAGAGGAGGCAGGGAAGGTTTTTGTAAATATGACCCAAAAAGCACTAAATGTAAAGGGTAATTTGATGAAATTAAAATGAATGCTTGTTGATTCAAAAACACTAAAGAAAGTGAAAATCCACACACTGGGAGAAGATCATTTCAGCACACATAACTATGAACCATTAAGACATGGACAATTAGAAAAATGGGGAAATGACAGGAGCAGGTATTTCACAGACACAGAAACATGAACGGCAAATAAACATATGGAAAATTGCTCAAGCCCATTTGAAGATTAAGATCACAAAGAGGTACTATTTCACAACCACTAGGTTAGAAAACAGTCTGCTTGTGCCAAGTATTGGCAAGATCCTAAAGATAATTTTTTTAATTTTTTTTAAATAGTTTTAATTAAATTATCTGTATATATACCATTCCCCCCCCCATACATGCCTCCTTCCCCAGAGTTTTGTGTCCACTAAAGATAATTTTTTCCATTCTAAAATATTAAAACTTCACCTTTTATAGTAAAGTCTGTAATCTATCTGGAATGAATTGGGGTTGGGGTGGGGCATGAGAAAGTTGTCTTAGTCCCTATTTTTCTACATGAATAACCAATTGTCCCAGTACTTTTTGCTGAATTGACCCTCCTATCCCCACTGATCTGAAATGTCACCTTTACATAGACCAAGTTTCCCTACCTGCATGGGTTGGGTTTGTTTCTGGGGTTTCTGTTCTGTGTCATCAATGTAGTGATCTATCCCTACATGAATACATACTGCCTTATTAACTATTTATATATATATAAAAAGCCAGGAACCAGAATGCTAGAACTACCAAAATGACCAGAACAACCGGTCTCTATGACACCCACTGCGGCTGGCCAACTGGCCCAATCAGTAGTGGGCTGGCCAGCCAACATCCTGTGGCCTTTCCTCTTGGCCAACCCTGCCCCCAATGGGACCTTCCCCACCAATGAGGATGAGACCAGCCAACTTCCCACATCCCCTCTTCCCTGCCAGCCCAGCCCCGATTGGTCCCCATTGGCGTGGGCCAGTCAGACCCCACCCATGCATGAATTCAGTATTTTTATATACTGAATTCTAGTATTTTTATAAGTTTTGATATCTACTTTTTCTTCTCCATTGGGAGTATTTTGGCTTCTTTTAGACCTTTGTTTTTCCATATGAAGTTTAGAATCAACTCATCATCTTCTAGAAAAGCCCTGTTGAGATTTTTTATTGTAATTGTTTCTAATTTCGAAGGTAGCATTGCTAAATTTCATTATTTATAACAATATTGGGTATAGTTTTTGTTTGTTTGTTTTTGTAGATGCCTTTTAATTGGTTAAGGAAATTCTCTTCTTGGTTTCCTATGAGTTATTACCATGAGGGACTGTCAAGTGTTATGTTTTGTTTATTTTATTTATTTGCCTTCCTATAGAGTTTATTGGGATGACCCTTGCTAACAAAACTATACAGGTTTCGGGGATACAATGCTATAATACATTATCAGTGCACTGTACTGTGAATTCACCACTTCAAGTCAAGTCTCCATCCATCCCCCATTTATCTCCTTTTTTCCCTCCTCTATTTCCCCTCCCCAGGGCAATCACCATGAGTTTTCTTCTCTTTTTTTGCTCTATCCTTATACTCACCTGCCCCGCTATCCTGTCAAATGTTATCTTAAAAATTTGAATCTATTAACATGATCTTATAGTGCTCCTTTAACATGTTGATGTGGTAAC